TATATAAAAAGAGTGTACAATAGAAACTCCCCGGTCTGGGAGTATGTAAGATATGAAAGGAAATTGCCATGATATTCCGGAAAATGTTGACGTGATAAAAGTGCATGGTGAATATTCAACTCAGTAAAAATATTGATTTGAATATGCTCTAAAGCTGCAAATGATGCAAAGATAATTTAATTCCCTACATTTTGCACTGCGGCTTGCACTGCAGAGCCTACTCTGCATAAGCCATGGGCATTATCACGTGACAAAGATCCAGGGTATCAGCACGTGGTTTATCTTGAGAGGCCTACATCATCATTTTCAATAAATTCTCATTATTCATCATTGACTTATTTTTTTACGTCGATGAATCTATTTATGAGCAAATGCGGTAAAATGTCTATTTATTAATTTAAAAAAAAAAAAAATTACTTTGCTTTGAAGATAAGCTGAAAAAAAAGATTCAACCATTTCTCCTTTGAATATCTTGACGTGCTTTCCTTGCATGTGAAAGAATTTTTTTTACTGCTAAATTTTGTTTGCGGCCGATTTGATGCTTTGCATCAATTTAACTTGTTTACTATTGTACCAGGGTCAAAATGGTTATTAAAACCTAAAGAGGTCCCAGTAGTACTGAATCAACGTGTTGGTCCACAACAGCGATGTTCCATAGGCTGCAGGATTTCGGACGATTCTGTACTTCAACGAGTTGTCCACCAACTTAATTCTTCAAATATCATTTGTGAGATCAAATATTAAAAGTAAATGACTGTGTAGTCTCGTTTACCCCAGACTCTCGCTCTCGAGACTTTGCCCGAGCGGCCAAGGTCTCGAGAGCGAGAGTCTGGGGAAAACGAGACTAATGACTGTGTGACATTTTTCATTTAAATAAAATTCCGAGAATGCTTTTTTCATATGTGCGTGTTTGTAAAGGGGAAGGGGGGGGGGGGGGGTAGTGACATATCAGTCAGGGTCGGATTATTTATGTTATTCTCATTTGATAATATATAGTTTTATTCTTTTAAAGGACAGATTATTTATTGTCAAATGCAAACTCCCCTCTCATCAAAAACAAATGGTCGTCCTCATAGATTCTGAAGTCCAAAAGTAATAAACGAGATGTAAGATACTTAGAAATTTAATAATTAAATCTCTCTGAATATAACTGCATTAACAACTGAGATGCTTTATATAATAGAGCTGAGGATCTTTGAAATCTTACAAATAATCTAATTACTTACTGTATATGCTATTATTTGACATTGCACGTTTACGCCGCCATACAATTACAAGATTGGCCTGTCCGGATTTACCCGCATTGTGTCCGGATTTACCCCACTCTGCCAATACGTTTTATTTTGCTAATATTTGAATAAGACCTGAAGGAAAACAATCTAAAACATTTATTTATCGAGGATTATGTATGGAATTCACACATCGATTCAAAACTGGGTTACCCATCAATCAGTTTCGCGCTGCTATTCCCACCGAATGACGCTTACGTGAGTTTTGTCCGGAATTACCCGAATATACCCTATGTAACATTCATATATTGATAAAGTCAGACCTCACATTAAAAATCATCAGCTCAAAAGGAGATGCCACCAATTTAGGTAACCCACCGATATAGGACCCTCCACGATAAATATTGGCAAAATTATTTGGGGGAGGGTACTACCCCCCTCCCCCACCAAAGAAAATATGAGTCGTTACTGCAGCCAAGACTTTGCTAGTTTGCAGTACAAAGTGGTAAAAATTTAAAACTGGCTATAAACATGATAAAACACTGTGTGGCGGACAGTATTAGGGAACTTATACTGCCTCGCCAGTGAGCTAGCTTTTCTGATGATGCGGTAGAGTCTCCCTCCAGGCAAGTTAAGGCAGGGACGTAGCAACGGGGGGGGGGGCCTGCCCCCCCCTCCCCACTTTTTTCCCCAACATTACCTTTACTATAGTAAATATACATTGAAAGATTGCTTGGCCCCCCACACTTTTTACCAGGGTATAATAATATCAGGGAAATGTAGGGAAAAAATTGGAAGTGAAAGTAACTTGCCTTTGAAAAAGCTGACAGGGGTTGCCGTATCTGAAGTCAGATTCCGATCTGCTTCAGGAAGCTCTAAGACTAGGACTTTGTGTCTAGGTACGGACTTCGTGTCAAGGAACGGCACTGGTAGCCGTATACGGCATTGGTTGCCGTAGCTGAAGAGGCCCAAATACTCATAGAGAACTCATGCTAAGCTTCGGGTCGAAGCTTCCCTGAGCGGGGGAAGTGTAGCGGACAGTTAGTATATAGGGAACGTATACTGCCTCGCCAGTGAGCTAGCCTTTCTGGTGATGCGGTAGAGTCTCCCTCTATTTCAGGCAAGTTAAGCAACGGCGAGCCTGTTTAACCCTTGGATGGGAGACTGCTTTTCGTTACAACTGGATTCATATTTATTCAAATTGGGGGGGGGGGGGGTAGGGGGCTATCAAATTTTGCCAAAATTATTTTCAAAACATTATTAATAAAATTGTATAAGGCTATGTATATTAATATTTGATTCTTTTTCTGAATAACCATAATGGTATCATTAATACATGTACCATTGCAGACAGAGATAAATTTTTTTTTTAAATGTTATATGTATCCACTGAAAACAGTTGGGGGAGGGGGCGTGTCAGTCGATCAAGGTCAGGATATTCAATATACGAGTGTATCTAGTTCCCAATCGTTTAACCCCATCCACCTCTCCACAATTTACATAATAATATTGAAATGGATAAAATAATGAAAAATGATAAGGGCTCTAGAGGGGTGTTGCTAAAACGAGGAACGGAAAATGTATTATATTTTTTTTTATTTTAGATTAAATCACCTTTAACAAACAAATTTGTAAACAATATATATTTTAGAAATTCAATCCCCCATTATTTAAATAAAGTTGATTTATTCATGTTCATAAAATCTCTTATTCACAAAAATTGCAGTCATAGCAGTGACGTAGAAACGATTTTGAAAGGGTCGGGGGGGGGGGGGGGGGGGGTTAAAATTAAACTTACCTGAAAAGAATTTGCCAAGCGAAAAAAGAAGACAATTGTTTGATTCGGGAATCGGGAGGTGGGATAAGAGTAAACTCCAGCATCTTTCATTTTCTTAAACTCCTTTATGGAGCTTTTTGTATAATATCCCCTGTCAGTATTTTTATAAGATTGTACCATTTTAAAATTGGCAGAAAGCAAACAACTAGCTGCAGAACTGCAGCTCTCCGAAAAAACATATATTGATAGACCGGAGAGCTACAGTGTCACCCATTGAAAAAAACTGAGTGTATATTTATTGCGCACAAAAAAAAAATGCGCTGTTTCTCGATTTATTTCTCCATGTTCTTAAAACTGTCATCTCAAATTTCACAGGTGCTTGTGGACAGGACCCCCCCCCCCCCCCCTTCGATATAGACCCCTAGGCTTTTTCAATTTTTTTTTTCATAAAATATCTTTCATATTTGTGATAAGTTCTACATGTATACCAGCAAATCGAAAAATTACCTAAAACAAACGTTTTATTAAATCTACCCAACATTCTCTATATAAAAATCATATAGAGAGAGTAGATATTTTTATAGATATTTTTATAAAATGTAAGTTTAAGCAAATTTTCTGAATTGATAGGATAGATTATATCACAAATGTGTCATCCATATATAATTTATGTGAAAAAAGTCTAACAGGCCCGGGGGTCTATATTGGGGGGGGGGGGGGGGGGGTACTGTCCTCAAGCACCTGTGATGTAAACCATGTCGTTAATTGATAAAGGAGTAAGGACTTTATTTAAATCTAGCCGTTTTTGCAATTGAGGTAAGAATTTGGAAGAATTAATCCAGAACCAAGCGCATTTTTTATGCGCAATAAATATACAGGTGGAACTGTAGCCCTCCGGTCTATCAATATATATTTTTTCGGAGAGCTACAGTTTTGCAGCTAGCAAACAACTTACTGAAGGCTCAAATATTATATGTTCAAGTCTCAAAATTTATATGAATGATACTGAGTCCGTTTGAATTTAAATACTTGTAATTTCCCTTTTATTAATTATAAAGAAACTAACTTAAAAATGTAAGGAACATATATATTCATATGATTGTTGAAAAATTGCAAGTAAGCCAATACAATTTATTATGTTTTTTTTCATTTCTAAACAATTGGCAAAATGCTAATCCTCATATTAGGGGTATCTTCTGACAATTTAGTTTTATTTAATTTTTAATTTTAATATTTTTCACTCTTAATTATTATTTCAAAGAAAATTTTTACATGTTTCAATATCTAACAAACAATTGTTTATAATTTAAAGTACCATATTTGACTTTGTAACACATTTGAGTTTGAGCAATTTTTTCGAAAATTGGCAATTTGTAAATCCCCATATCTCAATTATTTATTATTTCCCAAGCTCAATATTTGGCAAAGATAATGTTTAGAGTTATATTTGTACAATAAAATCAAAAAAATTAATTTCAAAGATTGGTCTTGGAAGATTTTGGGCATTAAATTTGTAATACTTTTGGCAATTCTTGAAAATTGGAATCATGCCAATTTTCAAGAGTTGTCTGCCCTTTGATATATTGCATATTTGATTATGATAAATGTCAATTTTGAAAGAACATAGTATTATGTTATTCAAAATACCTTAATGGAAATGCAAGTTTAATTTTGAGTAAAATAAATCAAATGTGAATTTTACCATTTTTCTTGAATTTTTTAAGTGCATTTGCACTTAAATGTGCAAAAAGGAGGTGGCGCTGCCTACGGCTGCCATGTTGAATGATGGGAATTTTTTTGGTCGTTTTTTAATAACATATTATAAAGTCTAACTGCCCACCAAATTTCATTAAGATATGACAACCTTCGATTTGGACAGTTCTGCATGGTTTTCTCGTGGACTGGCTCTTAAAAAACAAGAAGTCTCGGTATGAATCTTATTTACTATGACTTATTGCTGGACAATGTGTGACTGATGATGTTTTTATTTTCAGTGCATCCATACGCCGTAGCAGTATGAGGGGAGAGAAAAGCCCGCTCTTCATGAAAGAAGCCCGGGAGGAGGCCCTTCATTTCGGCTGGGGACAGAGCAACGAAGACTTAATGGTCAGGGCCAATCAAATGTCTTCTCTTTGTTTAAACATCCAAATATATGTCTTAATCATGCAGACCTGTTAAAATACTGAAAAATATATTATATTGGTAGTTTAATGTGACGTGTATTTCATAAATGTAGTGTATTCCTCATAAATTGAAGTCAAGTTGTCAGTGAAATGTTACCAGATGAACTCATTATTCAAATATCTAAAATAAGATATTCAGAGTCCAACAGAACCACCAATAAGTGTAAACATTATCATATACATCATTATAATTCTTGCTTACACTTTTAGTTATTTCATACTGTACTTAATATACGTAATGGCTTTGATTGAATTGTTTCACTTTCTTCCTACATTTTGATGTCGTATTACTATTTTCCACATATTAAATTCTCCAAAGAAACCTAATGCTAAAAATTGAAAGTTTGGAGGAACTGTATTTTATGCAGGTTATAATTAGAGTGATTTACTTTGGCAGGAGGAGGATAAAGAGAACAGTCCAGCAACAAACATAGAAGATGTTCAGATCATCATAGAGGAGGAAAAACCGGAACCAACTAAAAAGGTGTCACCCCCCTCCCCCGAACAACCAAAGACTGTAGATACTACAGCATCCCCCAGACTGTCCCCGGGAAGCACACAGACAGACAGACCACCAGGAGAACGACAATCCTCAAGGTCAAATAGGCCAGAGTCTGCCCCTCAAGGTCAGCCCAGTCAAAGGCCAAGACCTCAGAACCCTTCCCCCAACAGCCGACAAGAGAGGCCCACATCCACCCCCAGTAGCCGTCAGGAACGGCCGACGTCTACCCCCAACAGCCGACAGGAACGGCCGACATCTCACCGAGAAACTACCCCTGACAAACCTAGAACAAACAACATTCCAAAGTCTGTGTCGGAACAGGAGCGACAGAGGCAGCAGGAGAGGCGAAGTGATTCCTCGAGTCCGCGCGTCAAATCAAACTCGTATCAGTTAAACAGCACTGAGACGGGGACCAGCTCAAACGTTCGCTACCCTTCTGGTCCCTCGTCCATAACTCTGGCCGATTTAAAACGACAGCGTGCAGAGTCAAGAAGCAGAGAGAATAGCCTAACGGACATAAGTTCTCAAGTTCAGAACATGTTTATTAACAGTCTGTCCTCTAACAATAGCAAAAAATACAGTTCATCATCGCTGCCTGGCAAAGAGCCCCATAAAGATAAAAATGGACATAATACCAACAACAACACGCAAGGTTACCACCCAGAGGCGGTGCACAAATTCAAAGCACCACACAGTTCTCCCGTCATCGGAGAGGACGATAAACAGGGCTGTTGTGTGGTCATGTGACATTAACGGTAAAATATATTGCAAGTGATAAACTGCAAGAAAGCGCACGGTCGCCAGCTTACAACATGATTCAGAAGCAGCATTTGTGTTTTCATATGATCAAAAGTGGGTAGGACTTGGTAAAAAGTCAAGTGACATCAGTTGATGTGAAGTAACGAGTGTGGGGTTGTGTCTTAGTTATCTGTGCTGATATGTGATATAATTTTATAGATGAAGGTGTGTTGATATGAAGAATTTTACGGTGATATATTTCCAAACATTATGTATATTTAGAGAGGTTGCTTTATACTTGCAAATTTGTATTTATTTTGTTATACATATTTACCCTTTCTAATGGGTAGGGTTTTGTTCATATAATAGCAATGGATGCTTTTGCTAGAATTTGTGCTCAAATTCTTCTTTCATTGCTCAAGAAGTGAAATGGCAAAGCAAAAAAATAAATTTATGGCCATGTTACAAAGACTTTTAAAAATGGATATTCCAAAAAATAATGTCAGCATAAATTTTACTTGTTGTCTTCTACAAATATTACACTCATAACAAGAATCATGTAACTTCATAAACATTGGGTTAGAATCTGTCACTGTTTCATTGTCCACTGTAGATGTGACATTCCAAACTTGTATACTGTATAATGGGTCATTTTCAGTGGTCAATTTCAGCTCAAAGAAAAAAAAAACTTGGTAAGGGAAGTAATTTAGGCCATATCTGGGATTGAAAGTATTGCGAAAGTGTTTTACATGTTAAAATACGCGTAGTTTATATGGATGAGGAATGTCATGGTTTGAAGTGACAGAAATGACCCATTATACTGTAGTCCTCCTGCATTCCCTTGTGTTCCCTAGGATTACCTTTAATAATCACACTTTCATAGGTCATACACTTTATACTTGAAGAATTCAGAGATATTAACTGTTTTGCTAGCCAATCAGATTGTATTAAAAGTAGCTCATTTCTTATCATGGCCAAGGTATCATGTACTTTTTTAATGCAAGATGGAATATCAAAGTTTTTTATGTGGAGAAGGATTTAAAAGTCATAGATTAAATAAAGTATCTGTAATATAGGCAGCCAAGATTGATTTAAAAAAGGGAGGTAAATCTCCAATGATGTAAAGCCATAGTATGTATCGATATGATGCACATTTATTGCACAGCAAGCTGTAACAGGGTTTCATCATTATGATATATGCAATATTTTCTGTACATTTTATATTTTAGAAGTGCTGATTCGTAGAAGCTTTGTGCACATCTGTATTCCAGCTATTTTATTTATGCAGTCCTTTTTTATGTTGAGCACTTGATGTTTGTTTCCTTTTTATGTTGGTGATTGCAATAGAATGTGACTAACAGGAAGAATGATTAATTGTTTGTTATATAGTACGGTTTTTTTAAAAAAATTGAAAATAGTCCTGAAATTGATGAAATATATTTATTAGTTGTACTCTAATTTGTAACATTTTCCCCTTGTTTACAAAGATTCATTCCAAATACATTGTAGATTTCAGGGTTTTTTTCATGTATCTCAAAAATAAATTCAGTAATCCAGGTTTCAATGTGAATTGTCTTCTAAAATTGTCAATGTGTTGAAGAATTATAAAACTACTTAAAATAAATTAAACACTCTCACATCACATTAAATTTTTAAAGAAAATAATTAAGCATTTCCTTTGCATGCAATGTGGGTGAGAAAAACAAAGACATAAATAGTGAATATTTTTTGTGCATTTCATGATAATGGTATCAATGTCAGTTTGATCTTGCAGAAGTCAGAAATATAAAAGATATATAGCTGCTTTAAAAAATATATAAATGTATGGGTTGTGTCAGCATATTAATGCACATCAGGAAATGTATAGTTTATTTGTTCTATATAAACACCTGGCCAGTTTCACTGTAAATGATTTAGCAGCAATAGGTACAAAAACAGAGTGCTTTATTTAGTTGTTTTTTCCTCCATTTGATTTATCCTAGTAGTATTGAATAAGATATTAAAAACTTTAGTCCAAAGGACTTAAAAATTTATCATTTTCAAAAAAAAAAAATCCCTAATATATATTAAGCAAGAAGAAATCAGTATCATATGGCTGACTGCCTGGTAGGTTAATTATTGATCTGGTTACAGATTATGTATCGATAGAAAAGATATAGGAATTGCTTGCAGGAACCTTTTATACGGCACTGTGTAAAATGTATGTTGTTTTGGATACCAGCACACCTAAGATGAAACTTTGTAAAACTAGTACAAGGTAAATTTTCCAAGTTTAATGAATTGTGTACACCTGTCTTCACATTGAACTTATTGTTAAAATACATCCATTCCATTCCTTTTTTAAAGAATGCATAAAGATGAAATTATTTTTCAATGGAACAAATAAACAGACAATACAATGTTTTGTTTTGTTTTTATTTTAATGTAGCAGTTTTTCCCTAATTTTCTACAACTGTTATCTGTCAGGTTAGATGACCTTTGATCTTCTGGCATCAAAATCAATAACAGTCAGCTAATCTGAAAACAATGTACCAAGTTTGAGAGTGATCTCAAAATATTCAGAAGAAAATTATCAAAGTCAACATTAGTTTTACCCTGACATTTGACCCCAAAATCTACTAAGTCAACTATTTCTTAAGGGATACCTGGTTTTCAAGATATTGAGTGATTAAGGTCTTCCTATGTCCTGTTTGAATTTTAGATTATCTGTCAGTCTGATAGTTCTTAGATATTTTAAAACGGATCATTATTAAATCACTTAAGTCAGATTGACTTCTGATCTTGTGACCTTAAAATCAAAAGCAGTTACCAAGTATTTATTTCAATGGGAAACCAATAAAATTATATGATCTTATGTTTGTTAAGCAAATGATCATCACACAAAAAGTTGTGCTTTTCATTCCCAAACTAAAGTGTCATGATATATCCTGAACAAAGACAGGACTGTCCCTTAAATCTGGGGGCAGGGAAATTATTTCCCCTCCTTTAATGATCAATGTAATCCCCTGATTCCTCCCCATTTGGAGAGGAACCCCAGATCCTCTACTTTTTGAGCTTGCCCTTCTACTTCAATTCTACCTGTGACATTACTTGTCTCTGTTATTTATTGAGAGGAGGAGGAGGAAAATATATAAACCTTAAGACTCCAACAATGCAATTCACTTTTAAATTAACATTTTATTTATCAAATGCAAGTAAATGTAACACAATAATGTGTTAAAACTAATATTAAAATAAGCTATAACAAAATATATAAACCTACTACAAAGAATTGTATAACATTCCAGTACACACATACAAAATAATACATCAATTAACTTGTAGGAGAGAGAAAATCAAAAAGTTCATACATCGCTTATTTGTTTTATCTGCTTCCAGCTTATTTACACACTGTTGCCAGGTTCATTTGGTTTTATGTATTTCTGCACATAAATCCCCCACTTACAACACTTCTAACAAACAATTCTGAATCATTTCATTTCACTTAATTTTTCAAGTTAAAAAAAATTTCTTTGAAAAAAAAAATTTAGAAAAAAATCTGATACAACCAACCTGACAAATGAAGGAAATATCCTGTAACAAAAAGTTTTACTAATGCTAGAATTTTTCACAAATTTATATATAAAATTCTTAATCAGCACATAAAAAATTTGGACAATGTGTGAATTTGGTAATTGTAATGAAAAAGGTGATGTTTTTTTGGTATCTTGCTATATATTTACAGTAAACTTTACTGGATGTTAATATGTGTATCTTCACCACATACAAACATATTAAGGTTCATTAATACTCTGATAAGATAGATAACTCTTAATAAAATATTTGTATTCTTTCATAACTTTGACAAGATGTCATTTTTGACAAATTTTGCCTTGCAAGATGTTCTAAAACTCTTGGCATTTACCTAAAGCAGAATGCATTCCTTGTGGAAAATCATAATGTGCATTAAAGAAATTTTTTTTATATGAGTGAACAGAGAAATATGAACATATGAGACATATACTAGTGTATACATAAAATACCTCATATAATGACAGTATTGCAGCAACTGTAAATAAGATAGGAACTAAGTTTAATACATACATTACATAAGTAAATTGCACCTTAATAATCCCCTTGCTAACAAAATAACACCTGTATAAATATATCTTGTACATACATGTTTTAACAATTGTCATGTAATACTAAACATTACACATATTATACATGTACATAAATTTACTATACAAAACCTTCAAAAAGGGTTTTACTGCCACATGATAAAAGGAGTCCCCTAAAAATGAGCAAAGATAACTGAAAACGGTTCTTGAAAGAGATTTACCCCACTTAACATCAGACAGAAAATTAAATATCACAATATTATATATACCACAGGAGACACATTTATTGGGAACAAAAAAAATGTGTTGAACAAGCGTCTATTTTTACATCAACTGATGAACACTCACTTTGAATAAAATGACAGTGGTAAAATATCCAAGTTAAAAAAACTTTCTGAGAGATCTCAATAAGCTGTGTTGGTACATGTAATTATTACTGGACTAGCTAGGACCAGTTTTACCCTGTCCACAAACAGATCTAGTGAAAGCTTAGGCAACATTGCCCATTGGTCAATCAAATTATAGGTTTGTAAAAAAAAAAATTAAAAAAAAAATCTGAAGAACTGAGATTGTAAGAGCAAAGTGATTTCATAAAACAGTACATTAAAATAATGTTTCAGGTGTTATAAAGTCCCCAAACCCATGGATATTTTTTCAGAAATGACACTTTAAAAGTACATGTATATCATGATAACAGGTACAAGAAAGACTGTTAGGCAGCTGCAATCTCCAGAATTGTCTTTTCTTGAAATTCATATTTTCAATTTTCTGGATTGTTTAATTAACTTTGTTTCTTTCCTTTTAGAACAGCATCAATCTTTTCCTTGTCTGCTGGAGATTTGTGCAGGTGCTGTAATGTAAAATGAGATAATTATCAATTTTTATTATGACCGAATATTTAGTACAAAATGTACTTGTATATAAATATGTGATTATACTCTTGTTTGAGGTAGAGATACAGTAAAGCTCATAGTGTTTAGCTGTGTAGAGGAATGTGCTTTAATTATTGCCCATGTGTATACAGTCTGTACTTCTAATGCATGTATACAGTAAAACTCGTTTAGTACGAACACGGTTATTGCGAATTCACAGTTACAGCGAAGTTATGATACCCAGCTATATAAATTTAATGAATTTGTAAATACGGTTATAACGAATGGATATAGCGAAGTAATATGCGTTATAAATGTATATATAGGATTAGGTGTGGAAAAATGAGGGAACCTGGAAGTAGTCGACCAATATAAATCCAGGGTAACACCACAAAATGTCAACCCTAGACCTGCATTGGGATAGCTCACACTGATTAAGTATTCAGAGATACAGGTATTTTAAGAATACACTTTGATAACACCTGTATCTGTGTTACCATTGATACACCTTCATGTCTTACTATTCATATACTTAGTCAATCTTACCTTAGATACATCTATTTGGTAGTGCTGTGTAATGTAAATAATTCCATTTTTAATTCTCACATTTCTCTAAGATTCTTTTACTTAGCATTGTACAAATCAATGGATTTCAAGTATAAGTATATGAGGAGAATTTTTGATTCAAACAAAATTTCCCTCTTCATTGTAACAGTATTTAACAAACTTCTGAAAAAAGTATTGTGAGTAAGTTTGCAAAATAATTTTTTCCCCACTTTATTTTTGAAGTGCCAATTCAGTTTGTAAAATAATATGACCTTATTTTTTAAGTGCCCATCCAAAGTTTGTGGCCTATCCATGTACACTGAGCGTGTTTCCATGAAATATTCACATAAAGATGTCACCTAGTTCTGGACTCCACGAGCTATTACCACCTTGCTCCATATTGACACTGACTATCACTGTAAATATACTAGTCCAATAGTTTCATTCACCTTTTCTTGGAGAGCTAGCTTGGACTGATACGCTGTTTTGGCAAGTTCAATCTCCACCCAATGAGGCTGGTCTGGTATTAAGATGGCTACGGCTACCTTGATGGCTAGAATAATGTGCTACAACACAAAACAAGGAATCATTAATAGCTAGAATAATGTGCTGTAACACAAAACAATGAATCCTTAATACACATCTTTAAAACAAACTATGTAGTGTCATTAAACCTACCATATGAATCATGGTGTAGTTTATCATATTAGCCATAATCATGAAAGTACAGTTAGGATGCAGATGGTCTTTCCACAAGTTTTACTTACATTCTTACAATATATCTTCACTGGTATAAAAATTAAGGCACTGTTGATTGAAGAATTTCTGATTTAATTAGATTAATAACAAACCTCCACTGCTACGAATATAAGGACAATGTTGACTGGTGTGATGTCCGTGGGTAGGAGCTTTTTGACCTCCGGGTTCATCCCAATCAATGCACAGTTTGTCATCACGGCCATAATGCTGATCAACTCAAAAGCCACCTGAATTTACAAGGAAAAATCACAAAATGGGATTTCATACTCAAGCAGAAAATGAAAATCATCGGAAATTTGAACTGGTGGAAATAAATAAGTCTATAGTAAATCGAAAGCACCTTAAACTTACATCATCACTAGATTTATTCAAAATTACACTTCATTGTTTCATTCATTTCCATCATAGATTAAAAAAATATAGTTATAAAAAAAAACTTACATAAATTCTGACAGCAATAAGTTGATATTATATCATTAGTCTACAAACCTGCCAGGCTCCAATACTAGAAGCAGACTCTGCGAAGGGTCTCTGGAAGACTCGGACCATCTTGAAGGCATCTGAGCGAATTTCTGTGATGTTGTTTAGGAAAGCCCACAATGCAGCCAGAGGGAAAGCAGAGGAGAAGAGGAACACGTAACCAAACTGTAGAAACATCTCTAAATAGTCGTCCATCGTACCCTGAAAGACAGAGAAGGGGTAGTATTACTGATCTTTAATGACATTTCCTAGTAATAATTCACTGTCAGAGACAGCTTATTTTTTTCCATTGTAACCTACCATGTATTCCTCTATCTTGCTCTCACAATTGATCCCCGTTTATTTCTGAACATCTACACATACTGTATACCCCTTCTTCTCCCTAATGACTACTCCCCAAACACCCCGTTTCTGAATCTCAAGACATACCAGGTATTCCTCCATCTCTCTCTCTCCCTGTCTATTTATATCCCCTATACATACCAGGTATTCCTCCATCTATTTATATCACCTTTACATACCAGGTATTCCTCCATCTATTTATATCCCCTATACATACCAGGTATTCCTCCATCTCGCTCTCCACCCCTGCCTGTTTCTGAACCTCCTCGTCTATCTCTCCATTGAAATACTCCACTTTCTGTAGGGCGTCCTGTTTCTTCATCAAGTTGTCCACTTGTTTTTTCCGTCGCTTCAGGAAGACAAACGGTACCATGGCCTCCTGAATCTGACCAATCACTTGCTGGGTGATGAGTAGGCCCGCCAAGTGCTGAAATCCACGAGATTCAATGTAAACAAGAGAGGGGACTTAATAAAATCAAATTTAACTAAGAAATACTGACCTGAATGACTTAATCACTTGAGATGTTCTTTGTTTTATTTTATTGGCGTTTCTGTTATTAACAAGGACATTTCCAGTAGGCCAAACATAAAAGCCTTAAAATGTACAAATACAATGCATGACATGACCATGCCTCCTAGTGAAAAGGCCAGAGAGTTAAAATTACAACTTTTACAATGCGAGAAATGAGTTTGCGAGAAGAATAACCATGCCGTCCTCTATGTGCCTATCAACAACAAAAGGCCTGAGAGACCAATGTATTTATATAGGATTTTTAAAAAAGTTCAATAATTAACATTATTTAATAAGCCCTTATCATAAACTATGTGGACAAGGAAATAATGTGATACTTACACTTCTTAATAAGACCATGTCTTGGAGGTAGAAGGCCACGTAAAATAGTGAAATAAAGCAGTTCACAAAGTCAAACTGGAATAGGAAACAAATCAATAATTAGACTCATAGCTAGTAAAACTCAATAATGGAAACAAATCAGTAAGAAAACTTGTGACAGGAAGACTTGTGTGATCTGACAGTGAATGCTGAAGAACTGTTTTAGGGAATACTCAAATAATAAGTTTTTACTTACCAGGATAAGTTTGACAATTAAATGATTATCATATGCTGACTGTAATCTATGATTTTCTGCAAAAGGAAAAAAAATAGAATCATTGAAGAAAACCTGGAACACAATCTAATGCCAAGAATATGGCATTTATCATACTGCACAGAGAAAATTCTTCCGACTTTAGACCCTCTTGCTAATGAAAGTAAATACATGTATTTAAATTTTTATGATGAAAATCCTGTCATCACCTGAATATTTAGTACTAAAGAAAAGAGCTGGTCAGAATGGAAAGTATCAAAGCTAAATCTTATTTCTGTCATTAGATTTCACTCTTTATGTCTTACCCCAGTCATTGAGTTTCTTTGCCAACTTCCTGTAAAGTGCATTCAGAACAACAATTACTATTGCATAGATAGCTGTAGGGACGTGCAACACTAAGAAGTTCAGCCAAGATTTCTCTGAAGAATACATCTTTAATGCCCAGTCCTCCATGGCAAAATACACCAACATGAGGTAGAAAGCGATTGCGAGGGCCAATGAGATGACGGGAACTGTAACACAGTAAAATCGGACATTACGCTTCCATTTTGGATAAACTGGTTCTGGTTTTCCTGTCACAGGGTTCTCCCCGAGGGTTCCGTAGTAATTAGCCCTCGGTTCGTCGTATCTAGAGGACACCATGTCAATGGTGCCCCAGCGATACGAGAGTTCAGAGCAATAACGCTTCCAGACTTCTAGAAAAATAGTGGCCCAGATTAGATTAAAGACGGCAAATATGGCTTCCCTGTACATGCTCTGCCAGGACGTGATGAAGTAGATAATCCCAATGAAAGCTGGAGGAATCAGAGCAATGGTGTAGTAACCCAGGAAAGCAAAATACAGACCTATCTTCTCTCCAAAGTAGTGTCGTATATCATCTAAATGTAAAAAAAATAATCATTTTCTTACATTTTAATAACTAATGAGAAGATGCTGTTAAGGCTGTTGATGGGTTGAATTTTTAGTTATCCAATAAAATGGGCCAACATGGAACCTGTTTTAAATACTTTAGTTCAAAAGCAATTCTGTTACTTGTTCACTGTTCAGTGTAATCAGTCGACACCGCTGTAGACGGACGTATGCTATGCAGCACTCGGTAGCAAGAGTAGTAACATAATACTTCGTCTAATGCAGGAAAGTAAGATACCAAATAAATTTACAACACATTTAATTCGCGTTCTTCAACGACCTTTACCTATGGGTGGATTCATGTTCCTCACGAATAAAAGATGACGCGAATAATAGTTGGTTTACAGTATAGCTGTACAAGTCTGTGTAGTATACAAACAAAAAAGATAAACGTAACTGCAATAAAATGTAAACAAAGGTAATGCAAGATAACCAGCACGAACAAGGATTGCCATTCCATGCAGATACCCGTTAAAATAAAGCAGTCAGGTGTAATGAATGCGACAAGTATACCCTAGTGTTGATGTATCGTAGGTAATGATATTGAAAATGGCGTATGCATATCTATGAGTCGTGTTCAGCTTTAAGTTAAAAAGCAATTCTGTTACTTGTTGATCTATGTTTTTTTTGTTAAGTTCTTTATTTACCTATGGGCTGTTCCTTGAACACACGACTCAGTTGATACCAGTCTGCCCCGAGTTTTTTCAGTTCCTCAGGTTCATGTAATGGGTACATCTTGGTGATGATGTCACGACTTAAGTATTTCTTCACTATAACGACAAATATTCATTATGATGACAAGTGATAGCTGGCAGACTTTTTTTCACCTCTTAACAATGACAGTAATTACCCTTTTGTTCTCCTCTTTATTGTGACCTACTTACAGATGCTCTTTCCGGTCCACAGTGTAATTTTATCGTATCCGGGGATATGATCCTCCTCCTCTCCCGCACGTACCGCCTCAATCTCGTGGAGAATCAGCTTCTGTTTTTCTGCCGTTGTCAGGAAACTCTCAGGGTCCTCTGTAACACAGATTTATGTTACCATAGTAACTCGTCATTTCAAAAAAACATTCGTGACATCTACATCAGAAGTAAGCTTCACCATACTTCTCTGCTTCTTGTTTTATTTTTTATGTAAGATGGAAAATCTTATGAATACCCAGTAGGTTGAATAACCTGGTGGATGTTTCTATTTTTAACTTACCAATCCCCTTGAAATTGTCCATGTCTTCAATGGAGAATTCCCGGTGGCGGCCATCTTTGTACATCTTAGACAGTCCCATCATGTCGGCAGCTGTCAGTAAACGGCTAGCCTTCGCTCCCACGTACAGCACAGTTTGCTAAAAATCAGAGTAGATAAGTCCCTAGTCATGTATAATATCTAATAACATTATCACAAAATATGTACTTCTGATAGCCTTTTATGTCATTAATAGTGAATGTACATGCTCAAGCAAATAAAACCAGGTTTAAAATCTGCAGACCTTTATTTAAGGGTTGGAGAGGATGGGATAGCAAATTGGTACAACACTAATCAAAATGGTTATTTCTATAGATTCATAAAATCAAAATAACATCCACTACCATTGCCAAGTGCCACCATAGACACAATCCCTTTCCCCCAATAGTAGGTAGGATACATAGTAACTTGGATACCCTGTTATCAAGTTCCTGTTTTAGAGAACCCTGAATACCACTTGGCAATGGACAATTTCTACAGCATCCATTCTGATAAGTCTTAGAGCAAGAACTGAAACCAAAACCCAGCATACACAGAACCAGCCATTCTTTACAATCTGTCATAGTGATTCACTGAAGAATTACATGTAATTTTAAAAATAAGCACCATATGTATTAACCATCACCATGTACACAATAAAGACTCCGTCTGATATATTGGACGTATAAATGTTATATAAATGGGACAAATTAGTGTGATGTTTCATACCAATAACCTAGTATAAAACAAGGACACCATACAGTGCTTTTCAAGTATGTCACCCTAGTGATTAATCTAAGTGAAATTAATTTATCAAGCAAAGTCTCTCTGTACAACATCAAGTGTTCACTCAACTGGCTCTGACGTAAATGAAAAACTTTTCATAGAATATTCCAAAAATTTTCTAAAAAGAAATGAAAACCTTATCGGCCTATGCTTTAGAGTATCCACTGATGTAAAAAAAAAAAGAAAGAAAGAAAGAAAAGAGAAACGGCTACTTCTGAATTCAATTTGAATTGGTCAGTAGATTTTAGGGCTGGGCAATAATATCGATATTTCAATATATTGCAATACAACGACAAAAAATATCGTATCGCAATACGATTTTGTAATATCGATATATTGGCAATATGCAAAGATTAAGGAATTTTGTCATTAAATATAAAAATGGACTTACCCAACCATTAAGTCAGAAGTTGTTTTGTGGGAACATTTCTGAGTATATCTTAAATAAAATCAACAAGATTTTTTTTCCATGTTAGTTACTTATCATATGTTATGTAAATTCTGCATGTAAATTAAAGTAAATGTAGTAAGAAAATTTCATTTTTATCACATTGAAAATATTGCAATACATATCGCAATACAGTTAAAAATATCGCAATATATCGCAATACGAAATCTCGGGCCAATACCCAGCCCTAGTAGATTTATATTTCTACATATGGTTACCGTATATATTCTAGCCTTAAAGTTAGTCCACTTAGTATACATCTGTTGTATATATTTTTTTGGATTAATTTTTAGAAATAAAATGCCGCTGACCCACTTATAAATTGGTACATCATTTTGCTCGAATCTGTTCACTATTTCAGATCAAGGCATTTAATACTGATTCTCACATTTCAATTTGAAATAATATTTTGGAAAATTGCATCGATAACTCTTTTTTTTCCAACAAATTAATTACATACCAATGCCCTAATAGATTAATCTGTGTTTTAATAATAATTTGGGAGATGACACAGATATTAATTTAGTATTCTCATCAAGTCAACTTCATATGAGAATTGTCCACAAAAATATCAATGTTTCTAGGACTCACTTATAAATCAAACATTGCAACTATGTAGAGTAGTCATGCCTCTTTGTAACTATATATGTCACAATGTGCAAAATTTTGAAAATTATTTCAAATACAAAATTCTATTGAGTAAATGATCTACACAATAGATTGGTAAGGAATACACTGTATCTGTTGGTGTATGCAGTCATGCTCTACTCACCGATGGCGCCTGCTAAGATATCATGTAAATGCCATCAATTTGTGAAAACCATTGATTAATTTAATAAAGTTAATACACATCTTTTTAAAACAATCTTGAATCCTTTTTTAGTCTCAAGGACCTTGACCTTTTGACTTACTTGTTTGTAGGTCATCACCACGGCACTGACCTCTAGGTCGGCCCCACCTGCAGTCTCTGGCATTTGCAGTTTAGATATCATCCACTCTATGGCGGGCTGCTTAGCTCCCGCAGCAAACTCCAACACAACCAAGGGCTGGAAAGGGGTGGGGGTTTTATGACGAAACACATTCTGTAACCCATGGGACTCCTCTTCTGCCATGATGGGCACTGAAAACAGAATCAATTCTACTTCATTCTCTTATACACACACAAAACACACAGATTCAGTAGTCATGGTATATTATACTGAATAAATGTTTAATTATTGCTACTAAAACCGTCTCATGTAAATGTTTGCCAATGCAAAGTGTTGTGTGGCTACAACCACCCACCCCCGCTTTATTGCACAGGTATGCGGTCTATAAACAAATCGTTGAATAAATTGCAATTATTTACTGTTAGTTAAACAGTGCATTATACAGTAACAAATTCTGAAAATTTTGGAAAAAATGGGCGGGGCACATGCATTCGCCTACACTTTTTACACATGATTCACATAACTAAGTATGTCGATCTCTGGAAGGAATTTAAAAACAAAACTAGGGCCTAGATGTCATCGTAAAGTTGTCCAGGTGTGCACATAAACCAACAAAAAAAAATGGTGTTCATTGATAAATATCACGAGGGATTCTGCATTCTGACAAACCTCTCACAATTTCGGTATTATAGGCGACTGTCCCTCTGTCCCGACGAAATACCTGTCAACTTTACCTTTCACATCGCTCGAGTTCATTCTTGGCTCACTCAACCGTGACGTGCATTTTTAAAAGATGGCGGATGTCACAAAACGGACGAACAGACAAGATGACAAAAAACGATAATATCGGCGAGGTGGAAGTCTTCGAAAAATTCCATTCTTTTTGTCCCTATAGCGAAGTTTGAGAATTTTCAAAGTGATGATGTTAAAATGATGCCTTGACTATTCTAGCACACCTGTCTCGCACCTGTGATTTCAGACAGGTAAACAGAAGGTAACATTCATATTTTATTTTCCTTCAATTAATTATGCCTATAGTTCACCGAACATAATACCGAAGTTTAAAGTTTAATATTAAAAGAAAAACATTTATGACTGAAAAGCACAATTATAATATATATGTTTAATGCATATATTAGCTCATCACTGTCCATATTATACTGCTTGAAAAACATTTATGACTGAAAAGCAGCATGTATGTATTTTATTACTTGTCTTTTATATGTAACATGGTTGTATGCCAACATGTTTGGTGAATCAATAAAGAAATTGAGAATATATATCGTCTAGATTCGAATTGCTGGCGGATCATACATTTTTATGCAGTCAAAGGGTATATAAACTTGTACTGCAAAATTTAGCTACTGTAGATTAGTATATTAGTAAAACTACTTTAAATATACATCAAAATAATACGTAGTGTGTATAAGCAACATTTCCCCCCTAATATTCAAACTATATATCCACTATACATGGCAGGCCCATGGAAAGCTTTCACTTTACAGGAGGGGGGTGAGGCAGCCAAACGTCATCAGAATTAGCACAACCAAACTTCATCAGACTTTATTATTGAAAAAGCACGTCTATACTTTCCAATGTATCAAGAAAATTATTGGCCCTTTGTGCCAGGCATGGTTCCTACAGCCATGACCAGTGAATGGCTTCAAATTTAGACCATTACTCAGCACTCAGGGTCATTGATCAGTAAAGGATCTATATTGTGCCAATGCTTGCTGTCACACATGGCCTCAGTTTCTAAGGTCACATCCAACAGACCTAGGTCAATCACGCCTGGGGCCATCCTTAAAAAATTGTTTTTTTGCGGTAACGCGACCGACTCACCAAAATCCACCCTACTGGATTTTTTTAATGGGTACAAAAAAATTTTTTTTTTTTACATAAAATTTTCTAATTTTATGCTATTGACATTTTTTTTTACTCCCCATTGCACCTAATTTAAAAAAGAATAGGTGTGATATTTGAACTGTTACAATAAAAGAAAAAGAATGCCTTAATTTTCTTGTTTGATAAGTAACTCAAAGTAAAATCTAAGACATAGTTAATACCTCTATATAATCGAAATTTAATTCAAATGCTTTTTTTAAAAAAAAAAAAAAATAAGCCTACCTACCTACCCACACCTAAAATGATGAGGCGCGTTACCGCAAAAAGAAATTTTTTTAAGGATGGCCTGGGGTTTGAACCCGCAACTTTCCAATCTTTACATCTCATGTGAGCCATTATACCCCACTTGGGCAGCTAGGCCCAACACATTCTAATCACATGCTGCATTTTTAAAGTTATAAGTTACAAAAAAAAAATCAATATTATGCTTCCAGGTTCAGCCATGGATTTCAGAAATTGGTATGAGATCCTGCTCATCTTGTCAGTATGTGCACAACTTATCTACCCTTGTCCGCAGTACTGCGACTGTTCACGATGGTCGGAGGTCAGATGTCAACAAGTGGCCATGGGCGATGTCATGAGCAACCTTCCACTGGGGACCTTGAGACTGGAGGTCAAACAAACAACCTCGTCCTCTCTGACCTTGATGGACATGAACACGTCGTACACAGCGGTCAACAATCTCAAGATCTATAACAGTTACATTCAGAGGATCGACGATGGAACTTTCTCCTATTTGAGAAATCTTCAAACATTAAACCTTACTCGCAATAATTTGCGCACAATATCAAAAAATGCCTTTCAAGGATTAACTCAGCTGACCAAGTTAGACTTGTCACATAATGACATACAAAATATTGATGAAGTGTTTTATTCTGTTGATCGACTTCAGGTGCTTTACATTAACAGCAACTCACTGACGGCGATAAGCAGTGGTGCATTCAGTGCTCAGAAACAGCTACATTATCTTCAGCTGGATAGGAACGAGTTCCAGAGTCTGACTGTAAACTCCTTCAATGGGTTGTCCAACTCCCTTCAGACTCTGTACATGAGGGGCTGTGAACTGAATACCATGAACATGCTTCTCTCTCTTCGACAACTGAAATTCCTGGATTTGGGAGAAAATGCCATATCTAAACTGCCACAAAATTCTCAGCTGCGACAAGCCTTTCCTCAACTCCGTTCTCTTTTTCTGGATAGAAATGGATTTACTCGTCTGGCCGATGGACAGTTTTCAAGCATGAATCTGGATACATTGGACTTAGCATCTAACAGGCTGGACCAGGTGACTGACTTATTGTTTAGTGGGTTAGCTGTGCAACATCTGAATCTCTCTAACAATGCAATCATTAATGTGGGCGCGTCTTCGTTCAAACAAATAAAATCACTCAACAGTCTCAACCTGGCCCAGAATCCCATCGGCAGTTTCCCGCCAGAATTATTCCGTGGAATTTTTTCTCTACGTGAGCTGAACCTTTCTGCGTGTGCACTAAATAGTTTGAGTGAAGACCAGTTCAAAGAAATCTACCTGTTTCAGTTGGACATTTCCCGAAATTCTCTCCCTTTTCTTCCGCAAGGTCTGCTAGATCGTTTGACAATGATAAGTAAGTTTTATATTTATGAGAACCCCTGGCACTGTGACTGCCGTATTGCTCCTCTGAAGCAGTGGCTCGAGCGATTCTGGTCTCGTAGTTGTAACCCCATGCAGTTTCCTGTGGAATGTCAGCCGCCTCTGTGCATGTCACCGCTATCCTTAACCCAGCGTCCCATCACTGACCTGACTGAGGCGGAAATTAACACGTGTGCACCCATGGAAGAGCTATCCTCGGCAGATACAGGACTGGCTGTGGGACTCGGTGTCGGAGCTGTTCTCTTGTGTCTACTCGTCGCCATCATTATCTTCATCATCTGTCGTCGGAGAAAAAACAATAAACCAGGAGGACAGTTTCACCTCTGTAAATCACCTGCTTCTGATGTCACCAGCCATAACGAAGAATTCGAAAAATCATCTAAACCTCCAGTCAAGCCTTTCACTGATGGAGATCAAGTGTCTATCCAGTCAGACAAAAGCTTTGTTGTGAGACATTTCTTTCAGACAATGGTGTCTACTGACCCTAGTGCAATGTCCAATCCACCCGAGAGAATGCGTAGGGATACATTTAGGACTACTTACAGTGGCTCTAACCCCTCATTGGCTAGTTCAGCTTACAGTTATCCAATAGGAAGGGAGACGGCTATCTGACATATCATCATTATCCTCATAACCAAGATATCGTTAATCATCACAAACTATAGCAATAAACCATAACTTCATTATATCAGCATGAAACAGCAGAGTAATCAAGCATATAGTAAAAGTCAAAGTTGAATCATTTTTCAGCCATTTTATTCCTCAGACACAAAGTTAATCAGTATTAATTAGATTAATGTTACTGTTTATTTCATAATTGAGATAGCAATTCTAAACCAATGAGTGTGTTGCTTTTGATAATTTCACCTCTTACCAAAAAAATTGTAATGAAGCTTTTTTTGAAAAATATATTTATCTTCAATTTTGATAGTACATGTACTTTTGAAAAATTGGAAGAGATTAAATCTTGTAAATGGTTTAATCTATAAATTAACAAACTGAAGGTATTTCATTGTTAGTTTGTATCATGTGTTTGATTGAATCTTGTGGGAAAAAATAATAAAATTTAGGTTTTATCATGTGTATGATTATAATACATGGACTATAAACCAAAACAGGCCAGTTCTTTCCATCAGATTGTTTGATATATAAGTATATAATTGACTGACTCGGTAGTTGTTTGATAATGTTATGCTGAGAGAAGAATGGATTTAACTTACCGGCAAACAAAAATGTGCTCAGATTTTCTGTTCATCTTAGACTTTTGTGAAAACTATATTCAGTGAAAATGAAAGAATGAATATAATAATGTGATATATAACTTATTTGGAGCATAATAATGTAGTCAGACTAGGACAGCACTCATGATGTGAATGTGATGTCTTAGTTTTGAATTGCGGGTTCAAGAGATATGTTTTTTTTTATCATTAGCTTACTACAGGGGTACATAAGTTTACAGAAATCAGGAATCTTATTGTACTTTATACCTGCCATGAATGTATTTCCTATATACTATATTAAGGCTGCTACATTTATCAATTTGTGTGTATCAAAATCACATCTTACAGTGAACTTCATGCATTCTTAGACAGTAGTCACCAAAAATTAAGACTGAATGTGAGAAGAAAGGTTGTCATTAATTTTTATTAAACAATGTAATTTTTTTTTAACATGAAATGTATTTTATTAAAACTGAAGGAATATTTCTAAATAAACGCAGTGAACAAATAAATAAAATTATAACTGTTGATAAATAACACTTTTCGACATGTACTTCCTAAGCAATGTATAAACAATAGTTCAATTCCAGAAAAAAATAATTAACACATGATAAAAGGGTAAATATTGAATTTCAATTTATGTCTTGGAAAGAAAAAAAGGTAAATTTAACACATAAAAAATTGGTAAATATACAAAAAATTATTTACAAGATTAATTCAGTTTTTATAAACTTGAAATTCCAGCTTGTGATTAATTACAAGGAGAAATTGTTGATTTCATGGAAAATAATTTAATTCTAGTTGAAATATGTCAATTGATTGGTTCAACGGTTTTATCCATTTTGTATAACATAACTTGCCAACGTCACAATGAAATATGTCAAAAACGTTTTACTCCACTTGACGTTAACTTTTGAAATATGCAAAATTTGAAGCCTTTTTCTGACATCTTCGCTAAAGGGTTTGTTACAACAAAATTGGCCGAAAATTTTACAAACGAAAGATTCGCAAGGTTTTTACTAATCGACGATTTTCGGCTGAATAAAGTCTGTTCGTGTTTTATGCACAAAATAAAAGTAATATTTACAATGGATGAAAGTTAGGACGTGATCTATGTAAAAACAAGGGATTAATTAATTTGAATTTTTTTCTTTTAATTATATATGTTTTCAAGAATTATTGAAAGAAATTGTTGATTTCATTTTAGGATCAAATGTACGGCTCATTGATAATAATTTACGGCAACAAGTAGAAATTATGTCAAACTCTTTAAAAATTGGTTACTTTCTACCACTTTTAGGTGTGCCCACTTTTGTATGAAGTTGTTTGGATATTTTCCACATGGAGGTCGCCATATTGTTTCAAACGTCATATTGATCTACGTATGTTACAGCTATTTTCATTGGACAAATATTAAAGAGCTTTTAAACGATAGGCGGCGCAATCAAAGTTCCCGTTTGATAGGACTAAATCTGCCAAGGGTTGTAGAGTAGGTATCGGATCGGAAACCCTTGGCTAGCGAAGATGTTTTCTGAAGGAAAAAATGGAAAATTTGTCTCATTGTCTACTGTACATTGAAATTAAATTTTAAAAGGAATGAAGCTTATGTCAACAAAAGTTGAAATAAGCTTCATTCCTTAAATAATGTACTGAACAGTCCAGGATTTGAAACAGGGCTTCCTGAATCATTAGTCAGGTGCTCGCTATCTACCTGTCTACTTAGCTATTATATAGATAGTTTTCGATAGGCCAGAATTTAGCGAGAGTTATTTCCCGTTGGTCACCATACTGGAGGTCCAAATGATCAGATTCCTTCATTGTTCAACCAATTTAAAAAAAAAAAAGTATTTGCTATTTTGAATTAGAAATCATTATTTTTCTGAAGTATATAGATTTTTGGAAGCCTCCTTTATTTAAAAAATATTATTTATTAAAGATTTTCCACCAAATATTTCTGCTACAACCTCTTAAAGTTGGTAAGACAAAGAGGGAAAAATCACCGGGTCGACCTCCAATATGGCGACCAACGGGAGGTAACTTTCGCTAAATTCAGGCGTATCGAAAACTAACTATAAAGGGACACTAGATCTGTAGATAGAATGTTCTATCAATTCGTAAAAATGCTATCATATTGTCCTACTGATTCAGTGAGGACTCGTACCGAGACAGATTATTTCAACTATACATCACTGACAACTGAAGGTCCTGACTACTACAATAGTCAACAACTACCTGCTCTCATTTCTGGTCCATAATTATACTTAAATATTTTTTAACTTAAATTTAAGTGCAAGAGTGTTGAGATATTTCAGGGATTATTGTTGAAATATCATTGTCTTCACATTTATTCCTTACATCTCATTCAATATGAAAAATATTTTTAAATCTTTCTAGACCTTTATGAACTTGCAATTAGCCTACTAATACAGCTCTTCTGTTCAAACTATACTTTGTTTCTCCTGATGCAGTTGCACTGAGAGGGAACAAGCATGCAATTCTGGGTCCCTGATTTTCTTTTTAGAATTCCTTTTACATGTACCTACCTCCTTTTGAAGTCTTTTCCCTGTAGTTTGATCAAACAACACAAAATTTATCTTAGTTTTGTTCCCGGATCAGAATCACCATCATCCATCTATCGTGTATCGCGAGCCCGACCCTTTTTACAAAAAAGAAATTCCTGCTCACTTCTCTATCATGGCATGAAGGGGAAGGAAGTAAATGTTGCTTTGTGAAAATACACTGGTCGATTTATGGAGGCGGGCTCGAACGACCTCCTCTCCTTGGTCATTTTATCATAGATACACCCCCCACTTTGAAAAATTTATAGATCCGCGCCTGCATAACGTAATTTATGTCTCCGCGTAATACATTTTATTGTAACAAATCGAACACGTGCGTCCTCATTTGGAAACTTTTTTACCGAGGGAATTGTAGAATTGAGATAGCGTGTTTTGCATCGCATTTTTAAAACAAAAAATGTAGAACAGTTTTATCTATATTCCTTCCATAAATCAAATATGTACAGTAGATTAAAAGAGGGGTGTAAGAGATATCTTAGATTCGAATGTATACATCGAAGAAAAAGGTTTTATCGTTTTTTAGGCAGGGACATGTGCAAACAATAATTCTCTACGGAAGATCGTGTTATGTCAAAAAGTTCATTAAAAAATTACTCGGTGGTTTTAACCAGGATTAATCTGAAATCTTGTTCGATACGTGGACCAGTACATGTATAAGACACGCAATTAATAAGAATATTTTCTAAAAGCATTTAAATCCTCTTTGTGATTTTACCCCTCGGGTAATTGGAATTCAGTGTTTTTACAAAAGATAATCATTGTATGTTCTTCTAAAAGAATTGGATGTGCTTGATTTTTTAAAACGAATACCATTAATTGTAACGTCTTAATTTTCTGTTTTTGAATGAATTTTTTAATTTTAAAACGTAAAACACCAAACAATAAAACAATTTTATATTTATGGGATTTTAGCATATTGTAAAGATCTTATTGTTTTACATTTATATTAACAAATACATGCAATCAATCAATTTTTTTTATATTTATGGCGCATCCAACATTTTTTTAGTCTCATTGACAATATCGATGATTATAATTACTATCTGTGACCCATAATTAGCACATCCGTTTTTGTATTAGATTAAAAAAAAATCTACACGTGGTCTTTACATTAAGATCTGTTGATTACATTTAATTAATTATCAATATTTGTTTTCAACTGCTTTCGTTGAAGAGATACACCCCTTTTAAGTAGACACCACAAAGTCTGACACGTCTATTTCTTTTTGCTTATTATTAATATTTCAAACATTTAATGCATAGGGCATTTACGTCTCCAAGTTTACTCAATACACAGTGGCGGATCCAGAAGTTCATGTGGGGGGGTTTTGAGGCCCTAAGGGCCGAAGGGGGAGGGCATGGGAGGGGGTGTCCCCTCCCATAGGTGGGGGTTCGGGGGGCCTCCGAGAAAATTTTGTTTTATGGTTCTAAATGGTGCACAGCAAGCTTTTTTAAAGCGATCATCACAAATTTTTAAGAAAATGTTTTCAATTCAATTTAACTTTAACACAAGACTTTTAGACTTTGCTTTAAAAAAAATGTTAAATCGCTTTTGATCAAAGTTGTCTTAGTGTACTTTAAATGCACCTACAATTAATTTAGTTCCACTGGAATTTTTAAACACTAAAAAAATAAAAATTGAATTCTTTTCAGAATCCCTAACTTGTGCTTTTCAACTTACTTGAGTATATACTGTCAATATGATTTGGAATATAAACACACGTGTACAATTAATAAAAATTCAAACTGTCTTAACTGAAGAAAAAATTTACATAAACTGGAGAATCTGTCAAAACTAGAGGGGTTTGCTAAGCCAACCTGGTTTTGTAAAAAAAATATATTAATTTAATTTTAAAACGGTAAGTTATTCATAGTTTTGAAAAACATGCATTTTATCAGCAAAAAAATATTACTGAGCAGCACCATAACTATGCACACTAAAGAGTACTCTTGTGACTTTTATATGGTTGATTACCTGTGTTTGTGTGCAAGCGGAAAGAGAGTTAGTAGTGGATGTACATTTCACAGTTGTACAAACAAAGGGTTTATGTTTATCAGATTATCAAAAAAAATGTTATTTACAGTTAATTACATGATTTATACAAGGATGTCAGATAAGGACGCTCTAAACACTGTAAATATTTTTAACATTATATAAGACCAATGTAAGATTAAAGAAAATTTACATTAATTTTTTTTATTTTCAACATTATATAAGACCAAGAAAAAGAAAATTAATTTTTTTTCATTAATTTTCGCAATGTAAGTACACAACAGTGATTTCACCTCACAAACAGTCCATTGTCTTTGAAAATAGTTCATGCGCAAATAAGGCATGCACGTACCCTATGTTCTAAATAAACGGATAGTCTAAATATGCATATCTTTATACAATATATTTTTCTCTGAGTCCAAAAAACAGTTTCTGTTAGTGTTTAGAGCTTCCTTAAAAGTAGTACTGGGTTAGACATATCACTTATACATGGCATACAGGTAGAACAGTCATATGCAAATTATATTAGTAAATACGCAATATACAATAAAACTAGGTCATAGATATCAGTAATACAACGAATACAGGTAAGACTAGTTAAGAATATCCACCAAACATAGTATACAGGTAAAACTAGATCATAGATATCAGTCATTTACAGCATACAGATAAAACTAGGTCATAAATGTAATCTATAGCCTACTTTTACCTACATGCTATGTATATATATAACTAATATCTAGGAGCAAGTTTTCATGCCTTCTGTTTATAATTCATATCAATTACAAAAGGTATGAAAAAATTGCTCCTAGATATCAGTTATATATAGCATGCAAGTAAAACTAGGTTATAGATATCAAATATGATGCTCTGTGAATGGTCCACCTCCCTTTCCTAGTGAGTGAGATTTGTTTATCTCAAGAGTGAGTTTACCTCAAAATGAAGTTCTAAAATGATTATTTGGGTTTTCCATCTTGAACAACTATAGATATTCTTAGTTACATTTTTTCTCCAAGATACCCAAAAAAAGGCTAGTCCTGTCAAACACAGGCACTTGATTCAGTATTTTTCTTAAACCATTAGTATAATAATATTATATATGGGTTAAATTCTTATAGAATTAAGTCTTTGCATTTAAATCATATGGGAGACAGAGGGAATCATTTTGTAAGCTCAGCAATCATGGTACCTCTACTTCCTTCTAATGTTGTTTCGTCATTTGATCGTTAGTTCATTTGATTGATACTTTATAGTTGACTATTCATTGACATACCTACTAAAACACAACCTTGTTGTATAGATATCTTTATTAACAAGCTGGAAAGTGTAAACATGGATATCCAACAATATATGGTGTGCATAATTCAGAGTTAACTAACAACAAAAATATATAAATAGTACAAAATATTCATTTATCTAAATAAATCTAGTAAGTTGATGTTCTTTACGGCAAAACGCAAGATAAAGGTGCAGTCATATTCGTTTTTGAGCTCACAATCAATTTGAAATGAAGAAATAAATAAACACTGGTTTGTGGTTTATGAATAAAATTTTTTTTTGAAAATGAAAAAAAAAAATATACATGAACACAAGTGCAAAATATACAAATCCATACCTTAAAAAAGTGAAGTAGAGAAACAATCAGCCGTGCTCAGATGTGTTAGGTACAAAACCAAGAGTTAATGCTGATGACATAGCACTAAGTGTCATTAAGACCAGGTGAGCTATAAGGCCTATTAACCATTACAACTCTGCAGTCAACATACAAAAATATAACCTCTTCACAGGCACTGAATGCAAAATGCTTAAAAAGAGTTTTCTTAGAAAAAAAAGAACAAAACAGAAAAAATATTCATTTTCTGAAGCTTGCACATGTATTTTTTCAACACAAGTCGAATTTCTGAAGGTATCGGTCTTAACTTCAAAGATAAATTCTTTAACAAACAATGTGATAAAATTAAGTCGTTAATGGGATAGTAAGAAAAGTTTGCATCAGGAGGAAAGCCCATCCAAGTTACCCTGTATGTTTTTATTGATAAATATTTTGTCTGAAAAAGTCCACAAAAAATGGCTTGTAAAACATCCTCTTTTTCTTAATTACTGTTTACTTATATCAATGAATCACCCCTCATTTGCTATTAGTCTATATAGTTTATAGTCTATTGCAGAAAATTTAATATACATAAAATTGACAATTTGCCTTTACTTTCTTTGCTTCCAAGCATGAATAAGAAAAAAAAATCAACCAAAACATTCTTTTTTCCAAATATAAATACATGCACCTTTACTATACCATTAACGAGCTCTATATCCAACCAGAAAGTAGAAAAAAGTTTTAAAATGAAACAAAAAGTAACTATGAACTAATTTTGCAGTGTATACAATTCTTTTTACCAAATGTGTTTTTCATTGGTGCGGCAGCATCTAAATATTGCAAGGAGATATAAAAACAAAACACCATTTAGACTTGCACAGCAATGAAAATATTGATACAGTTTCATCTAAATTATATCAGAAAAGGGACAAAAACATGATTAACTTTAAGGAAAAAACATATCAAATTCAACTAACGGTACATAATTGTATAACTATTCAATATCCTGCAACTAAGTGTTTCAAGTGTAAACTGAACAGTTTTCTAACGCTGACAGTTTCTACTAAAGAATAGATAACAGAAAATACAAATAACAACTCAATGAAAACAAAGAAACCATTTGAAATAAAATAAAACTGAGATTCATTGGTTACAGACCTGACCTTGATTCCTGTTAGATCAAGGTTAAAATACAAACACTAAGGTCATTCCCTTGGCAACCCTGGCCTTTTGTTCTACAGATCTGTGATTTTTCACAGTTGTGTGGTTTTATTGTCTCAAGACAACACAATTTTGGTGCAAATCTAATCTTATGTAAGTTTCTATGATTAACTTGCTTATGGGCACCCGATAAAGTCATTCCAATAGTTCTGAATGAAAATGAAAAGCCAAAATGTTCCAAATAGAAATTTAAGAAATACATGTACATTTATTTAACTGTAGAATCATTTGCTAGAGCATCAACACAATAATACCTGGTGCAAAATTAAAAAAAAATCCATGACTATGTAAATTATAAATTACAAAACTGAGGGTATGAAAAATCTCATAAGAATAGTTTCAAGCAGAATATAACAATAATATTTTTTCCATCTGCTTAACATATTTAAGATGTCCTGTGAAATAAAATAAAACCCTCAAATATTTACACAATTATGAAATCCTACTAAGTGAAACCTGAAGATTAAATGGAGGCCGAGGTTTGCAGTTTGTGTCACAATGAATTGTTAGGTGCCATAAAAATAAAACAATGAGAGTGTACTTCTTAAACTGGTGTACACAAATGAAGGATAATGTAAACTATACACAGTGTCTTGGTTTATCTTGGTGTTTGGGGGATTATGTTGTAATTTTACTCAACAAAAGATAATTTATTACATTTTTACTCGTGAAATACTGTAATTTATTCATTGAATAAAAATGATATCCTGTCACAGTGTGAAAGGATATCAAAATGATATCCTGTCACAGTGTGACGAATAGGTTTCTCTTCCCATAACGAAGATTGTTGTAAAAAAAATCTTCCTTGACCTAATATAAGATAGATGGAAATAAATAAACAATTCTAACAGCGAATAAAACTGTAAAAATTACAAAAAATATGTTGCTAAATTCATGTTTGCACCTCACTTAGATATGACGTCTCAACCGCTCAACTATGACATCAAGTAGCCTATGCCTGTATACCAAAAACATAGAGGTAAAAAAAATCAAAGAATTTTTTTTAAAAATGTAGTAAACAGAAAATTCAATGTTTTGTTGTTGAATATGAATTGTTATTTACTTGTTAACAATTTTTGTATTTTCACTTGTGCTTCGCACTCGTGAAAATATAAACTATAGATAGTGTCTTGGTTTACATATCTTTTGGTGTTTGGGGGATTAGGTTGTAATTTTACAACAACAAAACATTGAATATCCTCTATATATTACACAGTGATATGCATTGGCATGATTTACTCATTCAGGCAAATAAAGATGATTTTACACTTAGGTAGGAAGTGATATTTTCATGCTACCTAAATAGTTGATTTAACAAACGTGTTGCCAAAGGAACCTTTCTTACAGCAATAGTAGCCTGTATATCAGATCATATGATATATTCACTCCTCTAAATCATTCTTAATATGAAAAACATAAAAGTGTACAATGTGATGCCCATCCCCCCTTTCTGAAGAGATATATAAAATGCATATGAAGATACAAGGGCATTATGTTACAAAGTGGAAATGTAAATAGTGATATGACATCATAGGATTTCAGGTTCTGAGTAAATGGTAAAATTCACTGACCTTTCATTGCGACATAAATGTTTATATCACAGATACAAATTACAACCCTCTAAAAAAATAAAATGTACAGAAGGAATAGATATTTGATAAATACTGAGGGTTAACCTACATCTAATACATCTACGTTTTATACATTTTATGACTTTATACAAGTATACATGTACATATATGTGTACTCGAGTAACAACTATACAGGTATACATCTATGCTTAATTCTGAAAAACAACAGAATGTAAACAAATCTCCCTCTATTGCTTCATCATCATACGTACATTTATAAATAATTTGTCACAAACTGGACAACAGAGAACTGGATTTATAGTACAATCATTTACATAAATCAAAATTGGAATGAAAAATTTACCGAAGTCCTTTACACTTGCTACAAAATCTGTATACAGTGAAATTGGATCAAAAGAAACTTTGAAAACAGAAAAAATGCTTTGGTACATTAAATAGGATTTCTATTGCTTTGTATAACTTCAAAGTAAGTAGGATTTTGTAGTAAATGAGTTCACTGTAGGAAAGTTAGTCTGTATAACTACAATACAAAGGATATACAAAACAGCTTTGTTTGAGTCTACATCAGTAATATATAGCAAAATACTAATACATGATTTAATCTTATGTTCACTTTACAACATCTGATTATAGTTCTCCTTCTCTATACAATGTATACACATAAATGTATATGACTAAAATTTTGTGAATTCCTATGATTAAACTCTACATGTATTGTAATCTCTAGTCTGTTTATACACCTACAGTACATTATCTTATTGTTGTTAGAAATAAAAAAAAAGATATACAAAAAAAAAGGTACATTAAGGCTTTCAGTTATACTGATAATTAAATATCAGATAATATAAAATAAAATATATGATACTGAACATATAATACTTTAGAATGGATACACTGATAAACTCAGTTTTTGATTATATTTTACAAGTTATGCTCTCAACACTGAATTCTTATTAATTCAAAATTACATTCTCTGGATGTACAAAGGTTTGAGGAAAAAAAAACAAGTGTAGAACAAAGTAATTACTGTAAATGTGTTATATTTAGCGTGTACGATATTTGGCGGAAATTGTTTTGAACAAGTTAGCGTAGATTTAATTTAGCTCATTTCTTATCATTCTTATTTACATGCAAGTACAAAACATTTAGCGTTGTACTTTAATTAGCGGAAGTGTCTTTCTGCCAAAAGCGCTAAAAAGAATACACAGCCAAATGTAATACGTTTACAGTATCTTATCAGATTAACAGAAATATCATAATAACACATATCACATTAAGTGCAATTCACTGCACTTAACTCAAGGATTTTTATAGAGAAAAATAAATTGTCTACAACGTGTCTTACAAAACATTATGCATATTCAGTTGGCAACTTTTTCTGCGATTCAATGTAACAACTCTGAGGTTCCATCTAATGCAGAAAAGGTCACTTTGATCTCGTTTCCAAATATTTGCTTGGTTTTCCTGCCAACTTAGTAAGCATGAATTAGTAGAGGACTTGATCGCGGCCGAAATTCTTGATACAAGTGTCCACGATGCTCAGAACTGACGAAGCAGCATCGTTAATGATGGTCGTCAACTCGTTTGGTGTCAGGTTTTGGATCTTGATGTCTCGATTGGTGAAACCATGGCTCAAAATCCTTTGCATTGCCTGGAAAAAAAATCATATAAATGAAAAGAAACCAGAATGAGATACAACTTAACTTACTTCTGATATTGTGGACTACAAAGGATCACGACTACATAATGTCATTCAACAGAGTAGCACTTCAAGAAAAAACTTCCTACTATTTCTGATAATAACTATGCATTGCATGGGAAATGTTCCCTTTTTAACATTTACCTAATGAATGAAAAATATTTTTTTCTTAACTTTGCATTGAAACATGAAACATTTTGCTTCTTGAAAGTTTTTATCATTCAAACATGTCAAAAGGTAATGTAGTTTTAAATTTTCAGGGTAAGGAAAAATTTGGTATAAGTTATTTCTAAGGCTACTGCATATAATACTCAATGGTTGATTCTACATCTCTATTCTACATCTCTAACATTTGTCTTATCTCTGGTAATGTTTTTTAATGATGGATTGGGGGAAACCTTTAAATTTATCTGTGAATCACTAATAACCTATGATACACATAAGGAAAGTAAATGTAAAATAGTAAGTAAATCTGGTGAATTATGAATTTATTCCCGGCTCAGTTTTTTTTTTTTAATTGAGAAATCCTTTTGAAACTTTCTCTGATAATGTACATGTACATTAGCGCCAGCAAGCTTAAAAAGTGATGTTCCTTTGGGGCTGTCTGAAGGAAACTTACCTCCTGCCCCAGGGAGCAGATCTGTGAGCCTTTGGAGGAGCATTTGAAGCAACTGAGGGCTTTATACACAACGTTAGGAAACTGACAATTGTTAAAATATCCCAGAAGTTTAACATTCAGGTCCTGGAATGCCCCGTCAGCCCCAAAGTGGATCAGGTGCCCTACAGAAAACAGAATGACAGATTATAAATTACTGTACAGGAGTGATGTTATTGAACAAAGACAAATACTCAATAAAAAAACTTTTAATTTTAAATCTGAGTGTACTAATACTTTCCTAGGAAAAAGTTTGGTAATTTTTTTAACATCTTGAAGTCCTGCCCCATTGCATTTTGTCAGAACAAAGATTTTAATAGTTAGAATAAATATTACACCCAACAGATTATTAGTATCTCATATCACTAACAATGCTTTAGGTTTAATAGAAATCTCAGCCAATGCTTTCAGAAATGTTTAAAATCAGCATGCATACCAGCTACATAATTACCATTCCAATCATCATTCAAACCCTAATCACCTAAGTATATACATTATCAAGGGTTACAGATACATCATTCATTCACTTATAAATGAATCAACGACCAGTTTTGTCTTTATTTCACAAATTGGTAATGTGTGGTTTAAAAGATGGGTGAATAGTCAAGTCTGACTTTGTATTATTATTATTTATTTACTATTTTTTAATCTACAAGTATTATCATGTTGTCATCCTGCGAGATGATATAGGATTAATCTATGTTATTTTATTTTGATGGAGTTTAGCTAGGGCCCCATCACTGGCAGCTGCCATATAGATTTGTGTAGAAAATTCCAATGTTGTAGCATTGGTATGGGAAATAAAATCTTTTAAAAAGTTAGACAATGTATCAGTACAGGTAAATGGGGAAAACTTCATACTAAAATAAGAAAAACTAGTTGTGTGTTTACTGTAGTGTTTGTATAAATAGGTGTATGTTTACACCAGAGCTGATCCAGTACTGACCTTTGTATCAATAGATGGATGTATTTATTATGATGTTGACTGACCTTTGTATCAATAGATGGATGTATTTATTATGTTGTTGACTGACCTTTGTATCAATAGATGGATGTATTTATTATGATGTTGACTGACCTTTGTATCAATAGATGGATGTATTTATTATGATGTTGACTGACCTTTGTATCAATAGATGGATGTATTTATTATGATGTTAACTGACCTTTGTATCAATAGTTGGATGTATTTATTATGATGTTGATCCAGTACTGACCTTTGTATCAATAGATGGATGTATTTATTATGATGTTAACTGACCTTTGTATCAATAGATGGATGTATTTATTATGATGTTGACTGACCTTTGTATCAATAGATGGATGTATTTATTATGATGTTGACTGACCTTTGTATCAATAGACGGATGTATTTATTATGATGTTGACTGACCTTTGTATCAATAGATGGATGTATTTATTATGATGTTGACTGACCTTTGTATCAATAGACGGATGTATTTATTATGATGTTGACTGACCTTTGTATCAATAGATGGATGTATTTATTATGATGTTAACTGACCTTTGTATCAATAGACGGATGTATTTATTATGATGTTGACTGACCTTTGTATCAATAGATGGATGTATTTATTATGATGTTAACTGACCTTTGTATCAATAGATGGATGTATTTATTATGATGTTGACTGACCTTTGTATCAATAGACGGATGTATTTATTATGATGTTGACTGACCTTTGTATCAATAGATGGATGTATTTATTATGATGTTGACTGACCTTTGTATCAATAGACGGATGTATTTATTATGATGTTGACTGACCTTTGTATCAATAGATGGATGTATTTATTATGATGTTAACTGACCTTTGTATCAATAGACGGATGTATTTATTATGATGTTGACTGACCTTTGTATCAATAGATGGATGTATTTATTATGATGTTAACTGACCTTTGTATCAATAGATGGATGTATTTATTATGATGTTGACTGACCTTTGTATCAATAGACGGATGTATTTATTATGATGTTGACTGACCTTTGTATCAATAGATGGATGTATTTATTATGATGTTGACTGACCTTTGTATCAATAGACGGATGTATTTATTATGATGTTGACTGACCTTTGTATCAATAGATGGATGTATTTATTATGATGTTAACTGACCTTTGTATCAATAGACGGATGTATTTATTATGATGTTGACTGACCTTTGTATCAATAGATGGATGTATTTATTATAATGTTAACTGACCTTTGTATCAATAGATGGATGTATTTATTATGATGTTAACTGACCTTTGTATCAACAGATGGATGTATTTATTATGATGTTGACTGACCTTTGTAACCATAATGGACATCCTCATCAAAACGAACTTTTGCGACAAACCAAAGGAACACATATTCTAACTGCATTTTCTCGAGGCGACTGAATGATTCGACTTCCGTAGTCATGCTGCTCAGTTTCTGTATCTGTACCTGACCTTCGCGTATAACTCGTGGGACAGAGGTCGTCAGTACACCTATATATAGGGAACGAAGGTCATGCATTAGTGAAGTCATGCACAAGGCCCAGTGTTAGACATATCACCCTTGTGCACTGAATTTCCCATGCTATTAGAAAATGCCCTTGTCATGATACAGCTGCCCATTCTGTGTAAAGCTCCATCATACTCTGAAAACTAGAGTCAATTTGAAATGCAGAAAAGTTTGAAGTCTGGAAACCAAAACTTCCCCATGCTCTGAAAGATTACACAACCATTAATTAATTGTTCAATCCCCACAATGATTGAAAAATTACAGTGTTTAAATCTTTTTTTTTAACAGTACATGTATATAAGAAGTTAAATGTCAAGATATTTAAAACTTTTCTAAAAATTAAAACACTGTGAAATTTCAAATTATGCAGAAATAAGCCATGCATATATAGGTATATATAAAGTGAGTTTTCAACATGCACACGATACTTTGAGTCATCTAATCCCAGAAGTTAAAAGTACATTTCAGGTTCCTTAAGTTTTTCTAAGACTCCTGTTTTTGATACTTTTTAGTTCAAATGTAAATAACATTCTACATGTAAATGTCAGCTAGCTACAGATATGAATGTCACAGTTTGAAAGATGTGATTGACAGGCATGTTAAAATCAGAATATGGGGGCAATTTGATATCAAAAATCCCCATGCACAACTGACAGGCCATTAGTATAACCCTTGTGTTGAACATAAGCTGTTGATTGGGACATTAGCATAACCTTTTCAAACCACTACCAGTTGTTTGGCCTACGCCTTGTTGGCAATTAGCTGTTTTGGGGACATTAGCCTTACCTTTGTGACTGAGTAATAGTTATTGGGGCCATTAGCCTCACCTTTGTGACCGAGTAACAGTTACTGGGGCCATTAGCCTCACCTTTGTGACTGAGTAACAGTTATTGGGGACATTAGCCTCACCTTTGTGACTGAGTAACAGTTATTGGGGCCATTAGCCTCACCTTTGTGACTGAGTAACAGTTATTGGGGCCATTAGCCTCACCTTTGCGACTGAGTAACAGTTATTGGTGCCTTTGTGACTGAGTAACAGTTATTGGGGCCATTAGCCTCACCTTTGTGACTGATTAGCTGTTGTTTGGGGCCATTAGCCTCACCTTTGTGACTGATTAACTTGCGGGGGTCAGACTTGCTCAATGTCCTCAGAAACAGCTGCTCTAGCTGTACTTTTTCTGATTTGTTAAACGCTGTCACTGAGCTGACAACATTTGTTTTGTTAACTATGGTGAGATTTTCTGGTTTTATGTCAGGAGGGACAGGAATAGAGAGTACACCTGTCAACAAATAAAATAAATAATTATGTCACCTGTCAACAAATAAAATAAATAATTATGTCACCTGTCAACAAATAAAATAAAAAATTATGTCACTTTGGTAACTGGCTCTAAAACCTCTGAAACAAAGAGTGTTCGGATAATTCCTGAAGAAAGTCCATCAATGTCAAATAATATCAGGTGGAAAGATAATTCAATCTCCAAGCGATTCACGTCTTGTCTTCAGTTCACCTTTAAGAGATCTTTTTGAGAGAGAAAAATCATCAACAACAACAATATGAATCAATACCAGCAAATAAAATTGACTGCCAAAATACTTATCAATACAGACAAAACAGCAAATATGTGTAGCTAGCAGTACTGACATAGATATTTAGTGAGCTTTTTATGACAGTCAGAGTAAAAACCTAGATATATCATGGGTAATATAAGGAAAACAAGTTGATTAACCCCTTCAGGCTTTATTCTGTATTGAAGGAGTTGATCTGATTGGATAAGTATTTCCTGACCTTTAATGTCATCCTTGTTGCCCAGAAATGGTCCTAGAGTCTCCGCCCAGACCTTGTCTCCCTCAACATCAGCAACGTCCCCCACAGTCAGGGACCACACGACAGTAGGAGGGGTCTGATATATCTAAAAATAGAATCAAAAACTGTCAGGAACCACATAACAGTAGGGGGAGTCTGATATATCTAAAAAAAGAATCAAACACTGTCAGGAACCACACAACTGTAGGAGGGTCTGGTATATCTAACAAGAGGCCCACGGGCCTTATAGGTCACCTGAGTATTATGTAACAACTTTCAAACAATTAAATTTGATTCGTGTTTTAAACCAGAGGCCATGAAATTCACAATTTACAATTTTTAAAGAGGCACCATTGCTTATCATAATTATTAACTTAGCATGTTTACTCCATTTACTTAATACCCAGAGGTATATCAGAGTAACAAAGAGAAAATGCACTTCCACTTTATACCCAGTTGTGCACCTCACCCTAAAGGAACCACTGACCCATGGGCCACATATTCAAAATTTTGCAAATTTATCATAAAATGGTTGATTAATACTAAAGAGCAGATTTCAAAGCATTAATTTATTTTCAGACTATGTACCCCCCCCCCCCCCCCTCTGACCCTGGGGGCATAAAAAAACACTTTGCTAGATGCACCTTTCTTCATCATAAATATATTGGCATAAAACCCAGAAGCAAAGGAAAATATTTTCAAAGAAATTATTTTTACTACTGAGTATATAATCAATAGAGCCACGCCCTAACACCAGAACCCCTAATCCTGGGGCCATAAAATTCACAATTTTGGAAGAGGCACTCTTGCTCATCATAACTATGTGCTTAGTTAGTTTATTTAATACCCAGAAGCAGAGAAGAAGATTTTCAAAGAATTAATGCATTTTCACTATATAATCAGTAGAGCCCCACCCTAACACCAGAACCCCTTATCCTGGGGCCATAAAATTCACAAATCTGGAAGAGGCACTCTTGCTCATCATAACTATGTGCTTAATTAGTTTATTTAATTCCCAGAAGCAGAGAAGATAATTTTCAAAGAATTAATGCATTTTCACTATATAATCAATAGAGCCCTGCCCTAACACCAGAAGCCCTGACCCTGGGGCCATAAAATTCACAAATCTGGAAGAGGCACTCTTGCTCATCATAACTATGTACTTAGTAAGTTTATTTAATACCCAGAAGCAGAGAAGAAGATTTTCAAAGAATAAATGCATTTTCACTATATAATCAATAGAGCCCCGCCCTAACACCAGAACCCCTGACCCTGAGGCCATAAAATTCACAAATCTGGAAGAGGCACTCTTGCTTATCATAACTATGTGCTTAGTGAGTTTATTTAATACCCAGAAGCAGAGAAGAAGATTTTCAAAGAATAAATGCATTTTCACTATATAATCTATAGAGCCCCGCCCTAACACCAGAACCCCTGACCCTGGGGCCATAAAATTCACAATTTTGGAAGAGGCACTCTTGCTCATAATAACTATGTGCTTAGTTAGTTTATTTAATACCCAGGAGCAGAGAAGAAGATTTTCAAAGAAATAATGCATTTTCACTATATAATCTATACAGCCCCGCCCTAGCACTAGAACCCCAGACCCTGGGGCCATGAATTTCACAATTTTGGTAGAGGACTCAATGCACATTACATTCATGCCAACAGTTTGCCTGCTTGATGTCCAGGAGTAAAGAAGAAGATTTTTAAAGATTGCAATCATTTTAGTGGTTTTGGCCCCACCCCTCAGGCCCCCGGGGGGCGGGGACCATGAAATTCACAATTTTTGTTCCTCTCCACCCATAGATGCTGTATACCAAATTTGGTTGAAATTGGTTCAGTGGTTTCAGAGAAGAAGATGAAAATGTTCAAATGTTAATACACGACACACGAAGCACGACGCCGGACGAAAACGGATAATAATAGGTCACCTGAGTTACTCAGGTGACCTAAAAATAGAATCAAACATGGTCAGGGACCACACAACTGTTGGGGAGTCTAGTATATCTAAAAATAGAATCAAACACTGTCATAGGGGGAGTCTGGTATATCTAAAAATAGAATCAAGCACTGTCAGGGACCACAGAACTGTAAGAGGGGTCTGGTATACTATATCTTAAATATTGTAGAAATAGAAATGCTATAAATTTTGTAAGTACACGTTTGTACTTTGCTCTAGCTGTTGACATAATTTTTTCTCTTAAAATGAGGACTGAAAGATGTAACACAAACATCACTAAAAAGAACCTCATAAGATGGCATATAAAATATAAACCTGAGATGTGCCCTCAAGGGAACAATAAAATACATTTTGGTGCCTACCCCCAAGATCCTGTCTAGATGGTACTGTAAGAGATGAGCAATGTGGTATTGTGAGGGTCCCTTCTCATACAGGAAGACAGCCTTCTTCATCGTGTTCTCCAGATTATTGAGCTCAACGTCAAACCGAGCTCCAACCGTGGTAGAAAGAGAAAACTTGTCTACGCCTGTGTGCTTAACGATGCGTGACATTTTTACCTTCAACTTCCAGTTATCTTCTGATATACCTAATCAAAAGATGCTAAAATGCAATTAATTTGTCAACTGTGAAACAATAATGTTATAGAATCTAAATTTATTACTGTATTAATGAGTAATACCAGTTAATGTGTTTTTAAAATGAGAATCATTAAGACAAACCTCAGAAGCTTATATTGGGAATACTAACAATATAATACACTAAATCTACCTAATACAGATATTGCTATTTTACCTTTGAGTCCTAAGTGAGTCATGAGTCTCCTCTCTCTGGTGATCCTGGCCTCTGAGTTCGTGTTCCAGGTCCTCACGCGACACTCTGCCACCGAGTTTTCAGATGATGGCGTGGTCTTTTTGGGTACAAAGTTCTGAGGGAGATTCTGACCAGCATTCCCCAAGCTCGTCCTGATAAACAGCGTGGCTCCCACATTGGGTTGGGGCTTACCCGTCCCAGAATTCTTAGCTACCATCGTCATCAAAGCTGAAATTAAACAGAGATTTTACTTCACTGTAATGTACCTTCTGTACTTTAAGATAACAAAGGGAAGAATTTTTGATAGATCACATCATGTAAAGACTTACAATCTCCGTCGGGATTGGAGGTAAACAGGACAAAGGCCTGACACTGGGGGTCTTTGTTACAGAAATTCTTGGCCTCCGTCAGACTGTGTACGGTGAGGACACACCCCCACAAGACTCGAGATGATTGACAGGTGTAATCGTATTGCCCCGGGAAGTTAGACTGCTCGATACGACGGTAATCTCCACTCTGTAACACACAGTATCAAGCAAGGTATTAAAATTACAGTGATAATTCCCAAACTCCCAGATATGCCGATGCTGATACAGTACACAACATACAGATCTGATATAGTGATGCACTGACACATTATCTTACATCTGGGAAAGATTTAAAGTACTTTTCTGGTCATTTTTACTTTTGGTAAGCAATTTCCTCTATGCATCAGTTAAAATTCAACAGAATAAAATTTCCTTTCATATAAGTAAGAAGAATATGGGCCCTTGATGGTCACCTGAGTATCACAAGTTTCTGAAGCTATGACCTATACAGTCATCTGTTCAGCAGGAGATTCTATTCCCAGTTTTACCCTTTTTACACATTTCTTCATATGTAAAGCATGCTTATAATGAAAAACCCAGGGATGGGCAATTTTTCTTTGAAATCATGGTTATAAACATAATTCATTATATCCGTTAGCTTTACAATACTGTAGAAGTACTTTTTTCCGCGTGGTATTAATTTATACTTTACGCGGTTACAAATTTTCCACGGAAATTTGTGCAAGCACATTTAATATTTATAAATTAAGGCATATAGTGACAGTCTAAAAAATCCGCGTAATTTTCTACCCGCGGATTAAACAAAAATTGAGATTCCGCGGAATTATCACCCCGTGGAAAAAAGTAAGTCTACAGTATGTTTAAAACCCACAGAAAATGAAAATCACCTCACTAAGGGCAATAATTCATTATAATTTAATTTTGTTTGTATTCTAGTCTCTCATTGGTTGATTACCAAAAAGGAACGCAAATTACTGTATTTCATGATAACCTGGTTTGATATGGGGACACAACCCCTTGACAACCAGCTGGATCAGCTGTATCCATACAATCCCCTCATTTCCAGTCCTTGGAATTCATGGGAAATTCCAGATTTAATAAATGTATCTTTAACTTCAAACAGTAGCTCAATCTTACCTCGTGCACACAAACATCATGGCTGCTAGATCTGTATATCAGTTATTACCTCCCCTAGTTTCATATCACTTCCGTTACTAGGGATGTATTATTGAGCGGCATATTTGAACTCATAAAAAGCAATACAATTTTACACCCACAGTTGTTTAATTATTTAAAAATTAAATTATAAGGAATGACTCTAATTCTTGGCCAAATTATTCGATGACAACCTGGTTTGGGTCAGTTTACGCTTTTTTATAATCCGCTTTGCGGATTATAAAGCGTAAACTGACCCAAACCAGGTTATCATCGAATAATTTGGCCAACAATTAGAGTCATTCCGCTTCGCGGATTATAAAGCGTAAACTGACCCAAACCAGGTTATCATCGAATAATTTGGCCAAGAATTAGAGTCATTCCTTAAATAAGCGTGTTAACTATCAGAGTGTTTTACTTTATACTTACACTGGAATACTTATTTTCGGGCAAAACTCGATTTGAGTTAATTTCTTCCTGGCGATGTTGATCTTCGTTTCTTGACACAATTCTTTGTTGTACCATCTCAACCTTAGCATGACCTTGACCCTGTCTCAAGTCTTGACCCACTCCTTGACGACCTTAAAAATGTAAAATGCATTTTGGTAGAATGAAATTTTATTAATTGTTAAATAAAAGTGTTTTGTTGATAAAATAAAATTTATGTTTGGGATCCATTAAAGATTAATATACTGTGGCATTTCCTGAAAAAAAAACAAAACAGGGGGAAATCTTGAAAATTTTAACGAAAAATGATAATAAAAATTAAAGAGTAACAAATAACTAGGTATTCAGATAGAACAAGATTTCTAGAACTAACCAATATTACCTTGGAGGTTGTTCTCTTGGCCTTGAACACCAGAATCTAAAAAGAACTCTACACTTAGCATAGCACTCACTAATAGATAAAAATTGACTTGTTCCAAATAACTTAGCATAGCACTCACTAATAGATAAAAATTGACTTGTTCCAAATTACTTAGCATAGCACTCACTAATAGATAAAAATTGACTTGTTCCAAATTACTTAATTTTTTTCCCCCAATAAAGTTCACATACATCACTTAAAACCAGAAGTCTCTGTCGAGACTGTAGCTCTGCTGGTTTGTACTGATCAAAAGCCAATGCACAGAATTATGTATCTTAGTGTAGTCTACTTGTGTGCCAAGTGATATTGAAATGAGACTAAAACTGTAGAAGGAGTAGCATTTTAAAGGAATTTCTCAGAAAATTCTATTTTTAGTAACCATTGCAACACCGCTCATCGAAATCAAAAAAACGATGCACTATTATATGTAAATTGGTGTAGTTTACTTGTGTGCCAAGTGATAATGAAATCGGACCAAAACTGTAGAAGGAGTAGCGTTTTAAAGGAATTTCACAGAAAATTCTATTTTTAGTAACCATTGCAACACCGCTCATCGAAATCAAAAACCGATGCACTAATTTATGCATCTTAGTGTAGTCTACTTGTGTGCCAAGTGATATTGAAATGAGACTAAAACTGTAGAAGGAGTAGCGTTTTAAGGGAATTTCTCCAGAAAATTCTATTTTTAGTAACCATGGCAACATTGTTCATCGAAATCAAACACCAATGCACTATTTTGTGTATCTTAGTGTAGTCTACTTGTGTGCCAAGTAATACTGAAATCAGACCAAAACTTTAGAAGGAGTAGCGTTTTAAAGGAATTTCTCAGAAAATTCTATTTTTAGTAACCATTGCAACACCGCTCATCGAAATCAAAAACCGATGCACTATTTTATGCATCTTAGTGTAGTCTACTTGTGTGCCAAGTGATATTGAAATGAGACTAAAATTGTAGAAGGAGTAGCGTTTTAAAGGAATTTCACAGAAAATTCTATTTTTAGTAACCATTGCAACACCGCTCATTGAAATCAAAAACTGATGCACTATTTTATGCATCTTAGTGTAGTCTACTTGTGTGCCAAGTTATATTGAAATCAGACTAAAATCGTAGGAGGAGTAGCGTTTTGAAAAATTGTTTACAGACGGATGGATGCCGGATGCATTACTATCGCAAAAGCTCTTCTGGTCTCTGACCAGTAGAGCTAAAAACAATAGTAGTCTGCATCCCAAGATGCAACACCGATATTTATTACATGTATAACTGAGTTATACTCATACAATATACATCACAAACAGAATCTGAATTCTTTGCAAGTATGAGAGGGCAAATGGGCAAAATAACCTTGTTTTCAGAATTTTATATTACTTATGGCAAGTTTATGCTTTACATTGAGATTAATATTCATGGTAAGACATACATTAAACACACTCATGGCTGACCTGTTTCTGACTGCATTCCTCTCAGTTTCTTGATGATCTGATTGGCTGTTATATTTAGAAGGAGAATATTCTGTTTTAGTGCATTGATTCCACTAGAAAGCTGTGGTGGAGGATTTCCTAACAGCTGAAGGAACAGCGAAGCTCCCACCCTCTGTAGATTGTTTTTGGCATTCCAATCCTTACATCTCCCATTCTCACAGGGCATATCTACAGATACAGAAACCAAAAATTATATTAAATATTTCCTGCATGTTGAGAAACTGAAAGGAAAATCCTTTTCATAATTTGGACCGACTTAATATCCAAATCAGGATTATTACCTGCAAGGAGAACTTAACTTTTGTTAGTTATTGCCAATATATTGAAAATAAAATATATCTAATTGAATAGTAGCTGATGCAATGTTAATCAATTAAACATACAACCTCCAAGACTGAATAGAGAACAGCTGTGTAGTATTTATCAAACAAAACTTAAGAATGAGAGTTTCGTACGTGCTAGTGACGCTGTTGGAATTTTGCATTCAGCGTCAGACTGACACATCTTTTCCTCCAAGCTGACATCGTCTAGGTCTACCAGTTTAAGATGGTTCCCTTTCGCCGTCACAAAATCGTCCATCTTTATCCCCAGTACCTCCACACTCCCCAGTGGGCTTTCTTCTAAATACTTCAGTAATTCACCCAACTCAATGGCGTACTGTTAAAAAAAATGATAATCTGTATAGCTTTTAACATCTATATTGATTCCTTTTACTGTAAAATGAGAATATTTGGTGCACTACTAATTTTAGCGCCTTTGGCGCAAGAGCCCCTGAACGCTAAAATTTATTGTGTGCTAAAGGAATTCTAAATATTATTTTGTTATGTATGTTCAAAGCTTTCACATAAGTACATTGCAGTGTGCATCAATCGAGAAAGTTCTGCCAAATCATAATTGATTTAATCAAACTATTGTTAGTTGTTACCCAATACTTATCATCAGCACCTTTAAAGTTTGGCTTCTCGGCGTGTCAATCATCTATCGCCTCGAGGTAAACAATGCAATCAAGCAAGGCAATTGAGCTTGCAGACAATACCTGATTATGATTGTGAGTGTACAGCCTGCTCCACTAGGTAAGTTGTGTCCTTTTGTTTGTATGTCTGTGTATGTGTGTCAAACTTTTTTTTTTTTTTTTTTTTTTTTCTTTGGAATGGTGTGACTTATATATATCTGTTGCTTTCTCTTTGTATCTGTGCTGTATTGTTTTTGTGTCTGTACATGTGTGTTTTTATATGTATCTTTAACTGATAATGTCCTTTAAATTAGACTGTGTGCTGTATTGTTGCAAGTAATTCTATGTTTATATAGTGCTGCATGTTTTCATAGTTTTACTGTTATGTATATGTTAAAAAATGCCAGTCAAAAGCTCATTAGAGCTTGTGTTACTTTTTAAACTACCATACTGACTTTAAATAAAGCTTATCTTACCTTATGATTACCATTTATCCATGCAACTTTCCTTCGATGCATGCATTGCTTTAATATGAATAAAATGTGAGAATACTCCATTTCTTTTATTTAAAATAAAATTAAAATAAAATTTAACATTGTGCCACGTCTATGTGATTGCAACACCATGGTAAAGTTGACAATTGTTTACTTATATATACGGGAGTGCTATAATTGTGTTTCCATGCTTGACTAAACAAAAAGTCAAATACGGGCGTGGATCAAAAAAATAATATCACATTTATATATTTTAATGACAAGTGCAAGCGCTAAAATTTATTTGAGTCAATGTATTCCCAATAGCGTTTGCACTAAAATACGTATGCATCAAATTTTCTCGTTTTACGGTATCTCCAATCAACTGCTTTTACAATGTACTAAAATCCCAGATAATTATTTGTCATTTGAATATACTTAAGTTATCTCGACATCAATGAAAATATCTAGATCTTCAACTAATTTAATTCTCTTAAAAAAGAAAAGCAACAAAATAAAATATCTCACCCTTAATCTGGTTTCCCACTGGGTGTAGGCTAAAATGCCGGCAGTGATGGGTGTTCCAGACTCCAGTACCAGCAATAAACCCTTCTTCTTGATATCATAGTTTATACTGTCTCCACGGATACAGAAACCAAGGAAATTTACGATGCCTGGGTGTTTAAGGACGGATAGCAGAATTATCTCCCTCATGAGGTGATAGTTTCCCATATTATGACATTTATCTGCATCGTAAACTTTCTTCATACATTTAATCTTAGTATCCTGGTCATTTCCCTGACTCTTTATCACAACTTCGGTGTTATGTGGCTGGAGAATTGCACGATCGACATACTTTTTTGCACCCACTTTGATCGCTTGTGAGATTCTGAGGTTATCTACGTCTTTACACGTCAGTCCACTCTCGTACCCTAAGTCAGACAACTGAATCTTAATGTTGTACGCCATTTCGTCGGCATCTTGAGCCGTACCCCAGTTGTCTGGGTATAAATCGGAGAGGAGCCTCCTTAATCGGACAGTCTTATCTTCCTCCATCAGAGGCACCTCATTGAACAAATTCCCCTGTTTTTGCTGTACAGGACGCTGGACTTTCTGGCGCATCTCCACAACATTAGGTCCCTGTTTGTTCACATTGTCTTTGATGTTTGATTTCTTATCCTCATTCATCTGATTATACGTTAAAATGACGCCAGCAATAGTAAAAAGAAACAGGAAGGCGGTCCAACCTGAGCGGTACCGCAGTCTACACCTCATCTTCAGGTCTATAATCAGGTCATACTGTTCAAACTAAGGGTCACTGAAAAAAAAAGAAATAATTATCATAAGAAAATAATTTAAAGAATAGAACTCATCTCCCTAAACTTATCTAGAACATAAGGGCCCACAAAGATCCCTTTCTAGAACTTGCATAGGTTTTACAATATTTAATACTAGCACTAGTAGCAGCTCCCTAGTTGTGATGGACAAGAAACTCCTAGAAAAGCTGTTAGCTCATGCAAAATGCAAATAATATAAATCTTTGGAAAAGATGAACTTGAGTCGTAAAAAATGTGTCACTGCAAATTATACATGCTGTCTACTTAACACAAAATTTCCCTTACCATTTTCCTCAAAACATAAACTGGGAACAGAGAAAAAACCCAATGAAATGTGAAATGACAACTTTTACATCAAATAATTCGCCTGAAAATGAATTCGATTTCATAATTGTGAGTCAAATAAAAAAAGGATTATTACAATATTCAAAGAATATTTAGAAAAATTTACGGGGAATGAAAGCTTTGACAATATCGAACATTGGAGGATAAGAAAATGTTTCCTATCACGAATTATTTTACGTGCGACATGCGTCGCAAATCCGGTTTTAGGTTTGCTTGATTTAGAAGACTGATCAATACACTTCAACATAAATCAAAGTCAAATTATCCACTTTATTTACATTTAAGCATTAAAAATTATTGTATAAGCATTTCAAATTGAAAATTGGTTTAATTTTTCTCTAAAAATTTCATATTTTTCATGTGCAGATCTTTTCAAATGAAAATATCCCATCTTTAAGAAACCGAGTACTCCATTACATAGAAAGAAGTAAGAAACTCGGAAAGATGAATGCGCCACCAACATTTGAATCGTTTCTTTTGTTTGATGGAGAAAAAAAGTTGGTACTTTTTAACAATAGATTATTTAATTTTTTCGATCTCTAACTTACAGCAGGGTACTTAGCATTTTATCAATATTATGTGGCAATTAAAACATAAACAATGTGAATATGGTCATGATATCAGAAGATGATTTTGGCTAATATTTCAGAAATTTGATTTTAAACTAAAAATGACCTGAACAAATTCCAACAAAATATGAGATTTCATTGTGATGATGATTTTTTCTTCGACTTGTATCCACTTAAAGGATTAATGACTCCTTCAAACTCAAGTTTATCAATTTAAGCAATATGTCAATATTTTGTAGAATAACAATTGAGAAGGACACCAAAGTTCCAAATGCTGCCATATTTACTGTCAACAAGGAGGATCACACTTTGGGAAACATGATCACAGCGTAAGTATAAACTGTCAGTGAAGAAAATCATCAGCAATCGTAGAAGATGCAGTCATTTGTTTGGAATGGCTATCATTAAAAACTCTTTTATTCATAGATGAACATAATATTGAATACCTTTGTATATACTTCATGCAGTAAAGTTCTTAGCTCTTCATGGTAAATTAAACAGGTCCAGTCCAAAGACTATTTCTACCTACATAGCTATTAAAAGCTACGTAGGTATTTAAACCTGCCCAAAGGAAAATAAGCCACATTTTTACCTACTTTCTGCTTTACTTGCATTTTGTGGTCTTTATATTAAATTTGTCACAAAAATGTTTTAGAAGCCGGTTACAACGAACGGCGATAACTCCTAACTGGCTTTAACATTTGTTTAATAATCTAAATTTCTATCTTTATTTACATGATAAATAATAAACACCTTTTTTTAATAAAGAAGATGGATAGATAACAGTTAGTTCTCTTCATGGTATTTGTTCTACAAATTAATACAAAACTTCATGGTGAGCACTGAATTATTGATACAGTCACACTGATGATGGATTTGACGACTCCTATATCCTCATATAAAATTTTATTTAAATTACATTTTAAAAAATGATTACTTCGTATATTATCAATTTTGCATAGAAAGTTATGTAAAATTGCCCATTCAGGAAGTAATCGTTTTTTGGTCAAAATTTTGTCGTATTCATCATTAGTGTGACTGTATCAAAAAATATGGTATTTACCATGTTGCGCGGTTCAGTCCTTTGGCCACGAAATGTAGATAATACAAAAAGTAGGTAAAAATAGCTACTTTGGGTAGCTTTAAATACCTACGTAGCTAAATTAATAGCTACGTAGGTAGAAATAGTCTTTGGACTGGACCTGTTAAATGATTAAATAAATATGAAAAAAACATCTGTGTTTTCAGACAGCTTAGAAAGGATCCTCAGGTACGTAGGTAGAAATAGTCTTTGGACTGGACCTGTTAAATGATTAAATAAATATGAAAAAAACCTGTGTTTTGCTGTTTGCCGGGTATAAAAATCCCCACCCCCTGGAGCATAAGTTTGTCCTGAGGGTACAGACAACAGCTGACTACAGTCCCCAGGAAGCCATTACCCACGCCATCACCGATCTCATCTCAGAGTTCTCTCTCTTAGAGGAGAGATTTAAGGTAGTTTGTCAATGATCACTGTTAGAGGAGAGATTTAAGTAGTTTGTCACAGATCATTATAAGAGGAGAGATTTAAGGTAGTTTGTCACAGATCATTTAAAACAAAGAGATTTAAGGTAGTTTGTCACAGATCACTGAAAACATCCCCAGGAGGCCATCACCCACACCATCACCAATCTTATCCTAAGAGTTTTCTCTCTTAGAGGAGAGATTTAAGGTAGTTTATCTTAAATCACTGAAAACAGAGAGATTTAAGGTAGTTTTTCACATATCACTGTTAGAGGAGAGATATAAGGTAGTTTGTCACAAATCACTATTAGAGGAGGAATTTAAGGTAATTGTTACTGATCGCTGTTAGAGGAGAGATTTAAGGTGGAGTATCACTGATCACCGTTAGAGGAGAGATATAGAGTAGATTAGCACTGATCACTGTTAGAAGAGAGATTTTTTTTGAGTTAAGGTTGAGCCATATAATATGGTGTCTCAGTTTTTCAAGGAATAATCTTTTTAAATCTGTAGAGGAACAGCAGGTATAATGTAACTCAGGTTAGCATTGTTGCCCATGGGTATTTTGTTTTTCTCCATATCTTTTTTTCCTGTCGTGTACAATTAAATGTAGTTGGGTAGAGCTGTATCCAAACTTATTTGTGAGTTTTTAGCTCACATAAGCTGAGAGCTCAAATGAGCTTTTTTTGATCAGATTTTGTCTAAAGTCTGTCTGGACCTCTTCTTTAACTTAATCAGAAAATAGAGTATAAATATATGACTGATCTCATCTTTTTCTGAGCTTATTTTTTTTTTTTTTTTTGTTTTGAATAGGAGGCAGTCCGTGAGAAACAAGAAGGTGATTTGATATAGAGAAACACTCACAATCTGGCTCCATTATAGAAAAACAAAGAACTTCTACGACAATGTGTTCAGAAGCAGGCAAAGAAATATATTCCTGAACAGATTGATGAAAATTTACAAAATCAGCAGGATATGGACTATGGAGGAGAAGCATGTGAAATTCAGTACTGGAGTTAAAGATTTTCATTATTATGTGGGGTTCCCTCCGAGGTTGTGTTCTGTGTTAAAGAGAGACGATTTGAAAGGAAGTATGTTGTATTTTTAAGTCTGAGAGTATTATAGTGTATGTGAACATTTTGAGTGACTGTTGTTTAGTGTGCCTGTTTTATCATTTTAAGTAAAATATCATACTCCATTGATTATGCCATCACATCTCATTAAGTGAGACACTTCTTGTTTTGTCATATTTAGTGAATGATGAGAGAAATCCAAGAAGATTTTTTTTAACTGTAAGAATGTTGTTAAATATCTGTAACTAATTATGGACATTTATTGTTTCTTTATCAACCAATTCAGTATATATTTTATGAAAGAGAATATGTCTTGTGGAATGGATGCATTACAGATAAAGCTTTAAAAAAATTAAAATTGAACTGTTCTGATTTCATTTGCTGGAATTAATGAAGAAACAAAAATCCATAAAAATTATTGTAGAACAGTGGTTTCCATGAATAATTATGAACATGAAAATAAAAAAGTTTTCTACAACTCAAAAACTATAGTTTGTTCTTCATGAAAAGGTAGTGCTTGTTTAGTATATAAAACGACTACAACAGTTACCAAAAGGCATTGTTGTATTGTCTAATAAGATAATCATTCTTGATTTTATGTGAATATCGAAAGAAATGAGTGTAAAGATCTTTGAATTATTTATAACACAGTGTATTTATCAAGAATATCAAAATAGAAAACGTATTCTTGTCTTTAAGCCATGATAATACATTTAACATGTTTAACTTTTGTGGCCTCCTGTCACTTTTAGTACTTTGATCGTAAAACTTTTTCATTTGAAGAGTTTGTCATATACATTGTACCTGTCTGCAAACAATATTGTTTCAAAATTCAGTGTCAAAAAGGGGATTAAAGTTGCAACATATGTTTACCAATAAGGCAATTTTCACAGGATCAATCATTTGGTATTTCCTAGATATTACAGTTTTTAGATGTGCAATTCATTGTCAGACGTCCAAACTTGTGCGATCTCTCGGTAGTCTACAGTATGCTTGTTTTTATGTAAATGTTAGGTATATCATAGTGTGCTTGATAAAATGGAGAACATTTACGTGGAACACTCCCAATGATCTCCCATCGATCACTAAAACACGCCCAAGATCTCCCAGTGATCTCTAAAACACGCCCAAGATCTCCCAGTGATCTCTAAAACACGCACTGACCTCCATAGGTCTTGTATGTATTCTACAATAGACTCATGGTCTCTTCGCGATCATCTCAGACATCTCTACATTTAAAAACATTTTGAGTTCATTGAAAGATCAATTAGGCACTAAAGTGAAACAGGTACTTGAAACCAGGACATTTGGCATGACCTGTGTTCTTTCGATCGATCTGAAAGGCTAAGACCACGGAATATTAAGTGGCAAAGATTGGAAGTATAAATGCAACGAAGTGAGAGGGCACAACTCGACAAGTGCGTTTGAAATGGGATTGAAAAATCAAAGTACTGAAAGCACTCATGGGAGTTGAACATGTAAAATAAAATCTTTGATCGGGAGGTTAAGTGAGTGAACAATATTATTATTTCAAATACAGACAACTGTTTCAGATTTTTTGAGTTGCAACAATCTTGATAAAGACATTCAGAGACATTGAATAGCAAAAAAATGCATGGGCCATAATACTTGCCTGCCTACATTAGTCCTTTTTTATACCCCCTGCTTGAAAAGCGGGAGGGTATTTATTAATCGGGATTTCCGTCCATCTGTTTGTTACGCTTTAGGTATACCCATCTCCGCAACTCCTCTTACACCACTGAACGAAATTTTCATAGAATCTTAATTACATATTGCCGTTGTGCACCTTCTATTACTTTTTCATCCTACACATATTTTGGGTTTCCCATTGCAAAACATGGACACTGCCATTATATTCATATTAGAGGCAGTTGATCATTTATATAATTCACTGCTCACAGTCTTCAAATTTGTAATATATTTTTCCTTGGCACCTTTACCCATGTGTTACGAAAATTTCAGTTTCGCAGGAATAATATCAATGTTGATAAAATGTGGATTTTAACACAGCATCCTTTTAAGAGTTAACAGGTTTGTTATATAAAACTTCTCTGTGGATATAAATGTATGTCAATTACACGAACATTATACATGGAGTACGTCAGAACTTAATCTTTCTTAATATTGTGAAGAAAAAAGCAATACCAAGTTAAAAACAAATATGTAATGACCAAACATAAAAACAGTGGTATATGTGAGAGTTTGTGTGCGTACAAATTATCTGGTATGTAAATCAGGTTTTCCTTTTATTAAAAAAAAAATACATACTTCATTTTGTTTTTTTTTAATCGCGATTTTACGAAAACATGGGTGTCCGTTTTGGCAGGTGCTACTGCTGATTTGGTAATAAATACGCATGTTTCCTAAAGTTTTTTGCATTAATGAATTCATTTAAACCAAGAAAATGTTCATGAAAAGTTTGAATAAATTCTGTGCGCCGGTAAAAAAGAAATTGCTAAAAATCCGGGACCGTCGGGCGTCGGGAAGAAGTGAGTTACATAACGAAAAACTTTTGAGGTTCTTTATAATTTAGTTTTTACTTTGAACGAAATCTACTATTCAAAATAAGATTACTTTATCATTACATTTACTTACATTTCAAATTATGAAAAAAAATTTAGATCAATTCAGGATCGAGAAAATGACATGAACTACTTGTGGCGGATGTTTATGCATGTTTTCTGTTGAAGATCATCGGGGTAAATCGGTCGAAACAGTAGCCTCGCTTTCGGCTCTATATAATCAACACAAATTACTGCGCATGTTAAATGCGTGATGACCATGGGAGATTGAGCATAGTTCAACTCCCAAAAAAGTATTCAAAAATCAATTTCAATCCCATCTGGAGGCAATCATGTTCACCTGTCGGAGATTACCCGGGTCCCAATGTGGGCTCAAGATGTAAAATTCATGCAAATGGATTTAAACCGAGAGGCCTAGCATTCCAGTCCAGAGTCCAGTGCTCTACCACTCGAGGTAAAGGTTAACTAACTTGCCTAAGCGAGAAGGATGTCGTATACCCATTGGTATTATTTAAGCGATTATTGACCTTTGAGATCCTTGAAAGTGTTTTAGAGCATGGGTATTGGAAGCAAATTGAAAGGGGGGGTAATTGATTGATTGATTGTATATTGTTTAACGTCCCTCTCGAGAATTTTTCACTCATATGGAGACGTCACCGATGCCGGTGAAGGGCTTCAAATTTAGACCTATACTCGGCACTCAGGGCCATTGAGCAGTGAGGGTTCTTTATCGTGCCAACGCCTACCGTGACACGGGACCTACGTTTTTAAGGTCATATCCGAAAGGCCCGTGACTTTCACTTCTAGTGCCGAGCGCTTGGCGAAGGAACAGTCACTACCTTTGTTTACGTCTTAGGTATGACGCGGCGCCGAGAACGAGAATCGAACCCGGGCCTCCCGCGAACGTTCTACCACTAGGCTACCGTGACCGGACGGGGGTAATTGAAAGTAGGGAATAAACCAACAGAAAAAGGTAAACCCCAATTTTCAATGCCTATATAATTTTTATCCTTGCAAAAAAAGTGTGTATAGGGGGGGGGCTCCCCCTAGCCCCCCCCCCTCCCCGGTTCCGACGCCTATGTAGAGACCAAACTTTTGGAGACTACAGAGGCCACAGAAATTTCTAACTTATTGTTATGTTTGATAAAGTATTTGTCGGCAAAAGATTTACCAAGAGCAATTGCATTTATTCTGCATGAAAAAAAAAATCCGTCAGTGTTTGAAATTATGATTTAAACGTTTTTTTTTAAATATATACGTATTTTTTGTCTAAAAAATGTTAGAGAAAACAATTTATTGCAACATGATAAATAACATAAAAACGCAACTTTAATGTTCAAAATAACTTGTGTCGCCACAAATGAAAAATATTTTTTGTAATCAAAGACAAAGAGAAAGTACTTCCACCGGGAAAAAAATATATCACATTTCCCCAGCTAATAGTTCTGTAATAATATATATTATTTATAGCATATAAAATGTATATGTCTCCAATAGAATAATTGGAAGCAGTGAGGCTTAACAAGTTGAAACAGCTAGATGATAAGATAATAAATAATTAAACATAAATATTTTTCAATTTCCTTGATTTTCCTGTAATAGACACAGAAGTATTCCAACAGAACATCCAAGAACGACAATCTGCGCCAGGAACTTGCAGAGCGAGACGAAAAAGTCCGTGGAGCGATGAGGTCTGTCGGAAATCCTACAGCAGTAGATACACTGACCCAGGGCGCGGACAGCGACCTCTAGCACCGCCCACCCGGCCTTGACGTACTGGATCCAGTGAACCACACTCTTAGAATTAGCGGCGATCGCCAACGCCACCGCAATCTGAGGAACATCCTCAACCCACGTAGATAACATAGAAACCGTGTCCGCCATTAAACAAGATTTCTTTTCTTTCCTGAAGAGTTCTACGGCGAGATTGATGACCTCAAACACAAAGGTCAAGGTCCCTAGAATAGCCACTCCGAATATCACCCAGTGGAGGTAGGCGTGGTTTTTAATGTAAGATTCACTGCTGTCTTTGACCTGTGTGTAGAACAACCAATCACAGAAGAGGTCAACTGTTTCTATGACAACCACCAAGAGCAGCACCGTCCAGCGGCCGCACGATGCCATCTCGATCATCTGTAAAATTTTAGAAGACAGAATTATGAAGTATCAATACGTTGTTAAGTTCAAATGACGTGTATAGTTACCATTAAATTATTTTCTATATGTCTTATGAAAACCGATTGCATCAATCATATTTAATTAGCAATAAATAAGTAAGAACCGGTTATTTTTAAGTCATCCATTTAAAGCAGCCCTTCCATCAGTTTAAGTTCAGAACCATTGAACCAATGATACGGCAGTTTAACAATATTTATATAATATAATATACAGGTAAAACAAATGCAAATTCATTTAATAAAATAATACAATTAAACAATTAAGAATAACTTTTGCAGTCATTGCATGGGCGTCGGAAGCAAATTGAATGTGGGGGTGGCTAATTGAAAAAGGGGGGAGGTAAATCCCAATGTTCAATGCCTTAAGCCTACATATTATGTTCATCGTTGCAAAAAAAAAAAAAAAAAAAAAAAAAAAAAATTGGGAACCCATCCGGTTCCGACGCCTATATATTAAACAGAAAAATAAACATTTTAAATTTGCGGGTGATATGGTGGTCAGGCCCCAAGACCATAAACCGAGAACAGACTTAAGTCAAAATTTCAAATCAATATAATTCCAATATGAAATAAATTCATTAATTTCCTGTGTTTTGATTGGACAAGAATAGATTCGAAAAAGAATTTACACATCGATGAATTTTACAGCCGGAACTACTTTATTGACCTGTTTCTAGTATAAACAATATGGCTGCCTCCATGTTCTCGTTGATTCTCTAGTTAGTTTGATTGTGTAAAAGTCCTTTTATTTGCATTGATATTAAATTAACAAAATAAAAATTATATTAAAAAGCCTTTTTAATTACTTAAATAAAGAAATTATTTTAAAATTTGAAAAGAAGAAAATTTTATCGTCTGCATTAGACGTCATATGTAGACTACATGATATTACATGTAAAATGGAATCGGATGAAAACGAAAGTTTTGAAACACCCCCAGTAACATTCGAGTTGAATTTACCTGAGGATATGAATTCAGGAGAGGTTCTTAGTCTTCTAGAAGTACTCCAGTCAGATGTCCAAGGTTTTGATGAGATGCTTTTGAATGCAGTTACAGACATTCAAGAAGACCAAACTTTAGAAGCAGTTACAAAAACTGAGCTGCAACCTAGTAGTAGTACTGAAGTCTCACACATAAACACAAATTTACAGCCTCTACCAGACAGCATTTCAGAAGTGACTACTGCTCAGAGATTCAAGACCTTACAGGAACAGGACCTGCTGGAGATTGAAACTAACCAATACAGCAACTCGACAAAGAAAAATACCAAATGGGGCATTGGTGTCTTTAATGGTGAGAATATATTGTAAATTAAAATAACAGATTGTACTTTGATGCATAATTCACCAATTCAACCCAGTCAATGGTCAGTTTTGACATTAGAATGAAAATCAAAACATGAACATTTATGGATAGATAGGTGTGAAAATTTTAAGCCAAAGAATTGTTTCTATAGACTGGCCTACAATCTGTTTTAACCTGAATATTGTGACATACATGTACTCTTCTTCAGTGTTGATGAATAAAAACTAAATCAGATGACTCGGCACACATTATAGCACAGTGTAAACTTATAAAGACTGCCAATTAATTGTTAAACAATTAACATGTTAATAAAGAAAAAAATCATAAAAATTAAAAGTAATAATCAACAATAATATTTCAGCATGGTGTATGGAAAGACTGAATGAGGTTTTAAACTTACATACAATTTCTGCACCTGTATTAGATGAGAATTTGAGGAAATTCTACGCAGAAGCACAGCCAAAGAATTTGAGTAGTCGTGTGCAGAAGATGCCTCAGGAACATGCAGCTGAATACCACAAAAATTCCATGAAAAATGTAAGGGCGGCCATCAATAGATATTTAAAAGACATAGGGAGACAAATTGATATTGTGAAGGACACTGAATTTAAAAGCTCAAATGCCATGCTCAGTTCAAAGCTGAAATTCAACCTTAAACAAGGCCTCTCCAGACCAACAAAACACTATGGTGCAATTCCTAATGAAGACCTGATGATGAAAATAAACACCTACCTTTCAGGAAAGAATCCGGTAGTGCTAAGATTCAGGATCTGGTACCTTTTGGCAATTCACTTTGTCAGTCGGGGATGTGAATTTCACCACCAATTATCACTTCAGTCCTTGAAATTTCAAAAGGATGAAAATGGCATAGAATACATAACCATTACACATGAGACGCATCAAAAAAACCACCAAGGAGGGTTAGATGGGAGCTCTGAGGAAGCACAGGACAAACGCATGTATGCTACTGGAAAAGAAACCTGTCCTGTCCAATCTATGAAATTATTCATCTCTAAAACTGACCCCAAAGCCACCTCCTTATTCAATGAGTGTGACAAAGATGCACTGCATTCTGAGGATCCCGAAGCTCACGACATTTGGTATTCAAATGTTCCAGTAAAACCAAAAAAGTTTACTACATTTATGCCAGACATATGTAAAAATGCTACCACAAAGAGATACACAGCACATTCTTTGAGAACAACCTCCATAACAGCTATGAGCGACGCAGGACTGACAGACAGGAACATCATGTTCATGTCGGATCACAAATGTGAAGAGTCTCTGAAATCCTATTGCCGTCGCCCCAGTGTTCAACAAAAAAAAATGATCAGTTCCGTTCTAGGAAGCGTTGCTGCTGGAGTCGGTGTAGAGAGAAACCCAGACTTACCTGTCGTCCCTGCTCAAGGCCTACCTGATCCAATCTGCCCACCCCCTGCAGCTCTTGTTGCAAATCAAAGCCTAAATATTAATCGTGAATCCAGCCTTCTTACAGGTTTTGGCTCTTACTCGATGTTCAAGGAATGCACCTTCCACTTCAACCATTAGGCCTAACCACTGACGCTCTCCGTACTAAACATGTCAAGGACGAATAATTCAAAACGGTTGTGGAAAATTGTTTATCATATTCCCGATGTTTGTTGACTTAAAAATTACTTGTTAAGTTTAATGCGTTTGTTTTATTGTATGTTTTGAATATTAAAGTTAATTATATTAATGTTCTCCAGGATTACGTTTTATTTACACAGTGCGGCGTAATGTATTCCTACGCCATATATAAAAGCGGAGCATTTAATGTATGGAGGCTTCGAAGAGAAATAATTTTAACGCCGAGGAATTATTGGAATTATAAGGATTAAACGTTCTTTTTTCAGAATTTATCGATGTGTAAACTCGCGCCTTTGTACTCACAAACTTTACATAAAAGTGCTTCGCACTTTTATTCAGTTTGTGAGTACAAAGGCGCGAGTTTACACATCGATAAATTCTGAAAAAAGAACGTTTAATCCTATAATAACTTTTAAAATAATTTTGACTACAAGAAAAAAATTTTACCACATGTTTGATAAGTGAAATATTTTACAATCCTGCAAATTTTGGATGCGGTATATATTATAAATGACAAGCTATTCAAAACAAAACAAAAAAATTGACTTAAGTCTGTTCTCAGTTTATGGTCTCCAGTCTAAGGTCATTTGCAGAAGCTCAACAGCGCGTTTTTAATCGCAATGACGCACAACACGCTTTCAAACATTTCAACACGCCGTACGTCTAACACAACTCCACACAACTCACAGTCGCGCTAACACAGTTTCACACAACTCACAGTCGCGCACTATCCGGACACCTTAGGATGGCATTGTAGCCTTCTTGTCGTCCTTCCCTTTTTTTAGACGCAAGCCACAGCAAAGAGTGCTTTATGGTAAGTTTGGTTGAAATTGGTTCAGTGGTATTGGAGTAAAAAAGCGAGATGTTTATGACAATAACAACGATTGAAAATATGAATGCCATATCATGTCATTTAGAAATTTAACAATCAATCCTGAAGGTCAAGGTCAATAGGTCACATATCATAGCATGCAGGGAAATATTTTGTCACAGGTAATGCACATGTCAAATATGAAAGCCATATCTCTTCTCAATATAAGGAAAAAGACACTGAGGACCCCTAATGGCAACATAGCGAAGATTAAACTTTTCTGAAATGAAAATTAAATTCATTATTACCCAGAGATTTTTTATTAAAAGTAGGTCAAACTCCAAGGTCAAGGTCATTCTTGAAATCCAATGAAAGTTCCTGCCACAAGGATTAAATATGTGAAACTTGAAAGCCTTAGCCCTAATCCTTTAAAAGTTATGGTCAAGGTTTGTTTTTTAAAAGTAAGTTAAACTCCAAGGTCAAGGTCAAATGGTAAAAGTTCTTAGTATCCAATTAAGGGTCTTCTCACAAGAATTATATAATTGAAGTATGAAAGCCCTATCCCTTACCGTTCAAAAGTTATGGCCAAGGTTAAAGTTTTTTTCAGAAGTACAGAAATCTCCAAGGTCAAGGTCAATACGTCAAGGTTATGGGTACCTAATGAAAGGCCTTGCTACAAGAATTACATATGTGAAATATGAAACTAGTTTTTACCATTCAAAAGTTATGGCCAAAGTAAAAGTTCGGAATTTTTATGTAAAAGTGGGTCAAACTCCAAGGTTAAAAGGTCAAATTTGGTGGTACTTTAAGAAAGGTCTTGTCACAAACACATGTGAAATATAAAAGTCATAGCTCCACTTAATAAAAAGTTATGGACAAGGTTAGTTTTTGTGACGGACGGAGAGATGGACAGACAGAGAGACGGACAGACGAATGAGATTTAATGTCTCCTCCCTTTCGCGAAAGCGGGGGACAAAAAGGGACAATTCCGACCAGAAAAGCCTGTTTCAGCCTTCAGCTCAGGTGATCCTAAATGGAACGGATATTTCAAGTTTAAACACAAACGCCCATACCCTGATCTGGTGAATCTATATTCTAGTAATGGATATTCTACGTATACATGGCATCGTTGTTTAGATTTTTAGAAGATTCAAGCTTCTCTGAGGCCGGTGATAGACATCTGAATGAATATCAGAGAGAGAGAGAGAGAGAGAGAGAGAGAGAGATTTTCACTGTGTTCAGTTGTGAAATCATAATCTGGAGAAGTATAAAATTCTATCATTGTAAATTTTTATTGGGGTTATTAAAATCAATCCTCTTTGTTTAACCAGAAAATAGGACATAAACTCAGGTTACTCATTTCTGTACATAATAAAGTCGATGGAATGAAAATTCTGACAGATGCTGCACATAAATTATTATACATGTATATGAGCACTTAGATATAGCGTGATGATTGATTTTTTTTGTTAAAAGGTAAAATTTAACGATTACTAGTACTTTCTTTCCTTATCTACTTTTGTTAATTTCGTTTGTATTGCCCGATTTCACTACATACCTGTATATTGTACAAAACGGGGCAGCCTTGCATTGAACACATCCATTAGTGAAAAGTAATATATTCAAAAATCGGGGGTGGTGGGGGTGGGGTGGGGTGGGGTGTGGTGGGGTGTGCTCCCATCGTTACCTTTTAATCATATATCATAGTAATTTGTTTCCTAGTCTAAATTTTCTTCTCCATTTGACCCTTGTTGTGGGTATGTGTGTCTAAATGGGTGGACATTTATTCGGTAGTAAATTTTATCGTAGCATTTCACTCTATTGTTTTTTTTTGTATCATTAAAACATATTAAACGACCAAAGCTCCATTAAACTTAATTTATCCAAAGCATTGTCTTCAGTATTTTATATCTATTATAAAGTTTCGTATAAATCAAAATTAAATTCTCACCTTAATTTGCAGTACCTGCTCCATCTATATATGACCGTCTATCGGGTGTAGGTTATATCAAATAGATAACGGGCCAACTAACTATAAGGTGTATCATATAAATGTAACAATGCCCTGATAACGGGAGAGAAAGGATGAACAAACGCACAGACCATACGTGTGATCAAAATCGGTAAAAAAAATTAATACGCTAAACAAGTGAGTCAGGATCAAGTGAAAGTTATCTCCACTTGACACAGATTATGTCCAAACAGAAATGTTGTAAAGGTATAGATTATCATTAGGAATATCACATTTCGTGGTAAACATAAAATTCATGGATCTCATGATAGCTGGAAAACAATGAAAATTAAACCCCACGAAAATTGGTGATTTTCCGGTACCCTGATAAGCGATATAGATTAATGGTTAGGGGTTCAAAGCCCGTGAATCATTAATTTTCTTTTCCCCAATTTCTTGTGTGTGATTGATCAAGAAGAAATGCGTTTGTTTTACAATCAAGAATACCATTCTTACTATTATAATTATATATCAAAAAAAAAAAAAAATAATAATAATAAAATTAAAAATGGAAACAAATACTATAGGAATTTTTTTGTTTTTACTGACAAAGTTGAGACTGCATTATTTGTTCACTGGAGCTGATCAAAGAATTATTTGTCAAGAACCATAAAATACACAAAATAGAGGATTTTTTTTTATTTCTAAACGAAATAAAATGTTACATATGTAGAATGAGGTAATTGAGATATGTGGCGTAAACCCCGAATCCTAGACCGGAAGTGTGAGCCAGACAGTCATCTAAAAAAGAAAAACAAGCTTTTCATATGAATCGTTCTCATGCCAAATTAAAATCTAAGGTGGTTTTTCTCGTAATCTTCTACATTTTTACAAAAGCATTATATTATGTATAAAATAAAATCAGTTAAACCAGGGACAAGCGATCGATGATTTGTTTTTATCACGATCAAAAGAAGGAACAGAGCGGAGAAGTAAACAGACAGACAGACACACACAGATAGACAGACAGATAAAGAAAAGTTGACATCAAATTAATTTTAAACTTAAATTTCAAATTATTTAAGCTCTTGTACTTTGCAATCCATATAAGTGAACATTAAAGATTTACAAAAAAACCCTATATCTATTAATATAACTGTGATAGAACTGGTTATACCTTTCATTCCCTTCTCTCTCATTAGTTTCCTCATCGTGGGACCGGACGCCAACCTGTTTCAATATTCAGTTTAATTAAAGGAAGTTCACTTTGTCCAATATTATTATACGAAAGAACCTTTTAATGTTAAGGATGTCTTCTCTTAAATTAGGAAAGATAACTCTGTACTTTATTAATTATTTGTTTGAGTGAATGTATTTTTAATTAAACAATAAAATGCTTTCTTTGTTTGTAGTTACTGGAATGAACGGAAGCAGCTGTTGCAGAAAAAATACATAACCCGCGTATATTTATATCTGTTTTTAAGTAGGATTAAATATATTAATTATTGTGTTAATGATAACGTCTTTGTAATTTATTAACTGATCAAGAAATTTGTTTGATATGCCTAATGTAGTTTTTTACGCAATGGGTTTCATAAGAAATAAAGAAAAATATTCAGTGGATGTAAATATATGTATTATAAATTTTAATGCTCTGCGAGTCTTTGTGTTTGGTGGCAAGAAAGTTCCATATGAAAAAAGAGAGATGAATTTTATACAACATTATAAGAAGTTCGTCATGAATTCAAATAATAGACGAATTCTTATGACATGTAGAACTTATACACCCGATATATATAGAGTGTACAAGTCTTACCCCTCCTCCTTAAGTTCCTTCGCCTCCTCTTTTTCGAATGACTCTTTGGATTCCTCTTCCGCCTGTAATTTGGCTTTCTCGTAAGTCGCGTGGGAAACATTGAGATTCTTGTAGACATCATTCACCATTTGGTCGGTCAATTGCTCAAGATCGTCCAAGGTCATCCTGAAGCAGCCGACACGGGCATCTAACCAGCGCAGAACTATTTTCATCCAATCCTCTCGCATAAAACTTTCATATCCCAAAGGTCCACACAAAACAGCTGTTCAAGAACGAACCACAACTAAATTACAACATCAATCTATTGAAACCTAAAAGTATTTTATGTACAGAAACTTTATAAAAGCACCCACTTTGCTCCAGGAAGAGGTCTTGGTTGATTGATTTCACGTTTCCGTTCTTAACCAAAGTCTGAGCCTCTTTGTAGATTTTTTTGCACATGCGCGTCTGCACATCTCTGATTTTGTGTCCGTGTAAATCCTTTTCTACCTGCTTTAGACATCCTACCTACGGGTAAAAATGGTTTCAAATTAGTCGGTTGTTTTGACTATTAGAAGGCTTTGACGTGATTGTATCACTGTAGTGTAACAAAACTGCGAGCCGACGAAACTTGTACATTTCTCATCAATTTATTGTGTACATTTCTCAGCAATTTATAAAAAAATTTGTGTGTGTGTGTTAGCACACCTTGGCTGGCCAAAGGCGAGACTCATTGGGATTTCCCGCACTTTTTAGTTTAATAGGCTGACCAGAGAATATTCGACCTTGACTAGCGATAATGACCTTGCCAATAAAAAATACTATATAAATTGCACTGCACAAACAAATGAGTTTGAATAAATCTTAATCATTGTGGTGTTTTGCTAGTGAACGATATAAATGACAAATATATATAACTGTCAGCTGATTCAATACGCAAAAGCACTAATAAAAAATGAGAGAGACTATTGACAAACAAGTGGATAATACAGTTTCGTTTCAAGTTGACATTCTGCAAATGGTCGATCGATGGTCTTTCGCAAATGTTATAATGTTAAGAGTACAATACATATAATGCAAAGATGACTGACGTCTTTCATACAATTAAGCAAGGCTCAATTGACTTTGGATTTCTACGTTTATATACTCGATGATGAAACAATATTGGGGCGAGAGTTACCAATTAGGGGATGCTTACTTCTCCAAGGCACCTAATCACACCTTTCATGTTTTCATATGCTCTTGATTGTTCTTCTCTCAATTTATATTATTAAATTGAACAATTATTGATGAATACCGTTCGTTTTCTTTTTATTACATGCGTAGTTAAATCCTTCAATTACACACTCTTCCATGAACAACTGATAATTCATTCGATCAGTAATTAAAAGGTCTTTTAATCAACTGTTGCTTCTAAAGGCGATGTTGCTAATTTCATAATAAATATTTAACAATTTAAAACTTATTGAGATCGATCGTGTTAATTCTTAATGTGTGTTTTTTTTTTTAACTTTGGTTTATGATGTGAATATCCAGTCATTATATGGGAACTGATTCCATGGGGTTGATGTGATGTGATGTAGATATTATCACAAATCCGTCATACTTCAATAAATGTACTTTCTAAGTGAAAAGTTATTTTACAAACCATGCTCTCTGCCTGTATAACTTTTGCCGGTATCGACTTACGTGCTCAATGACGATGAAATAGAGTAACTGGTGCGTGATGGCGTACTTCGATGTGTTTTCTGAGGTCATGAACTTCCAGCATTCAGGGGTCATAGTACAACGAGGGAGATTTCTACAAATGATTAAAAAGAATCTGAAATACGAGTTAACTTTACTGGAACGAAAAATTCTAAGCCAAGAACTAATTTCTTTCTCCAACTTTTCCTCTTAGCCCGAGATCTTAAGGTTGCTCACTTGTCAAACGTTCCCATGACCCTGGCGTAACAAGCATCTCCGTAATCCTCGTTATAGGTGGAGTTTGTCCCGAGAGTGACAGCTGTCAGATCTGTTTCGTCAAATTCCATTGGTTGATATGGGAGTATCCACGCCTTGCTGATGGTCTGCAGGAATCGCTGGTAATAGGCGGGGTCAGACTGTTTGACGTAGGGGAGGGCCTTATCTGAGGTCTCGCCTATTTGGGACTCTATGGACTTGAGTTTTGACAGATACTGACGAGCACAGGCCGGTGTCTTATAACACTGTTCTACCGCCTCCACAATCTGACCTACAGACAAACACGTCAAGGGTCAAACTCAAACTCTTCGTCTTTCATTTATAACGAGACACTTTTAGTCAGGTATTAATAATTGCTTGGCAAGGAGGAGGGACATAATTCATATAATATAGAATCTATTTCCTCTTAGGTAGCAATATATCCTTATCACCTTCATATGGTTACCGCTATGTTTCTCAATTGATTTGACCTTCATATGGTTATATCTCTCAGTTGATTCGTTACGCAAAATTATGCTCTACCAATGAACAATTCTTTAACAAGACAAGCTTTATACAAATAAGTTAATAAAACAAGGATAACAGCAGTCTTCTTTGAAATCATCATTTCGAAAGTTTTGTGGTCGATACTATTACCGGTTGGGTATCTTGTGAGGAAAAACAATTTCCATTAAGTCAAGTTTCATACTTATTGTCAGGCAATTATTAAAACACTGAATTAGCTTCGGATATAAAAACCCAGTTTTTTCCCGATCATGGCAGGGAGCACAAGGAGGTTGTGACCGGTCGACAGGGGATGCTCACTCCTCCACGGCACCTGATCCCACCTCTGATATTTTTTCGAGGTCCGTGTTACATCGATCTGTGTTTAAAGCAGTATGAGCTGTAACTTTGATGTCGGAATTTGTTGTTGCAAAGAAGAATTTTAATTTTTTACACCAGTTTCATTTTTAAGAAAATCACAGGGCAAGACTTGTATTGAAACCGTACCTGGCTTCTTCTTTGTAAATAACTATATCAATAACGGAAAAAAAACGATAATATAAACATCTGTTGATCATATCTGCGATATAAGAACTATTTATTAGCTTCGAATTAATCAAAATAAAATTCTTGTCCTGTACAATATTGATTTGTTTTATCTAAAACTATGTTTTGGATTGTATATACATGTAGTAGTCTTTTTTCTGCTTTATTTTATAGTCTACTTGATCATAGAGGTTTAAAATACAAATTAAAAAAAACATATTTCCAGCAAAATGCAGCTCATAAAATTATTTCACCTTAAAAACCGAGGTTCCAAGTTGCTTTAGGCGTTGACACAATACAGAACCCTCGCTTCTCAATAGCCTAGTATGCGCCCCAAGTGCCGAGTATCTAGGGTTAATGTAAAGCCATTCACTGGTTTACTGAACATTATGACTGCTACTCTATATATATTATATGAGTGAAAAAAAAATCTCGAATGCGAGGTAAAACAACATACAGTTGTTCGATCCATCTGTTTGTCTGTTTATCTGTAAAAACCCGACCATAACTTTTACATGATTTGAAGGGATTTCATGAGTGTCTTCCTTGTGGTAAGGGGTTTTTTTTCTTCACAGCATATCCGACCTCTTGACCTTGGAGTTTGACCTTGTTTTGCCAAATATTACCAAACTTTTAACGTACCTTGGTGTTAATTTAATTAAGAACGGGTGGTAAAAGCTAGGGTTCTTATATTTTCAAAAATATTGCTATCAAAAACTTCTTTGTTTCTCAAAATACACAGCTTTTAAATGAGGGTCAGAAAACCAAATACCTTCAGCTTAGATCCGCGCCAGGTCAAATTTAACATGAAAATTCCAAAACGCACCTTGAGCCATACGCAGACCGAATAATCCGTCCACGTTGATATCGCTGTAGTCCGAACTGAAAAAGGCAATCTGTCTCTCCACATTATACAGAACCTTCCCAAACAGACCGTCGTAAGGGTCCGCCAAAAAGCCCGCGGCCCCCAGCACACTAAGGGCGACAACTATAGCCCTGATCATGATGACAGTATGGCGGTTTGAGTGGTTGGTAGCGAGATTAGGGAATATTGTTATCAGCGCGTTATCTCGTCGATAGGACAGGCACATTATGAAAGCTTCCGACTGAAAAATTATTTTATTTTTTCTCTCTAAGGCATGTCCCAAGTGCAATATTTCAAAGATTTTTGTTTATTGATATTTCAAAGGTGTTTTTTGCTTATTAATATTTCAAAAGTTTTTGTGTTAACTAAAGCTAATAATTTTTCGCACGGTAGAATGAAAAGGATTCGTGGAAAAAAAGCTACAAACTTAATTTTCATTTTTTTTTTACATTCTTATTGTTTAGACTTTGGGAACCAAAAAAATGTTTAAAAGTTAAAGGTGCTATTAAAGACGATATACTAAGTAGTATTTTTTATTTAAATGAGTATTATAATGGAACATGTATCACTGTATTGTGACATGACCCAGCCAGTTTTCTTTCCTTTCGTAAGAAAACCGTACTCTAAATATAACTTAATATCTGTTTTAGAAGAAAAAGAGACTAGTCTTTAGGTACATATATGTACTGTATCTAGGCTCGTGGTGATGGAACAGAGAATATGGACCCTTCTTTCTCAGAGTTTACATTTTAATTTCTGGTGGGATTTTCCATGGGAATTCCAGCCATCTAACTAAACAACATCTCGGGCATTTTCTTTTAGAGGTTAAATTAAGGTCTTCCATAGAGAAGAGCCCCCCCCTCCCCGTTTTCTTTTTTGCACCTTTTTATTTAAATTTTTAATTGTCCAAAATAGAAAATTGACCCTCCCTTCTTTTAAGGTCTTGTTAGTTTCCCCTTTCTCTGGCTGTTTCAACCTCTCCCCTTTCTTTAAAAGAAAAAATGCCTATTTTTTTCACTACAATGCAAAACATGTATGTCACAATAACGCAGGGTATTGTAATTGCGTTGAACATGACATTTTCTCGACACGGAAAGTAATAAAGCCAAATAAAACAAAAGGCCCAGGGGCCACAGCACTCACCTGAGCACATCAGGCTTGAATTTACTGCACCCCCCCTCCAGGCGTTCATCATTTGAACAAACTAGAATCAACACTACCTGAGGATGATTCCATATAAATATCACAAATCATACTAGCTTTGAAGTACTTGAAAAGAAGATTGTAAAAGGTTTCCCTATATATGGGTACATCCCACTAATTATTTTTAGAATCGGTAGGAGAAGAAAGTAGTGCAGAAAAAATTACAAGTTCCTTAATTTGCAGACTAGCATAAAAAAAATTGGGCAGATGTACTGAACTGAGCCTCACGCTTGTTGATAAGAAATATCTTTCCTACCAAAAAAGCTTGGCAAATGTAATTTATCAAGAAGATCAGCCGAATTATTTTGTGTATTATAACGCCAGTGAGAACTCTGAAATTCCCCTACTTTCACTTTCATTTTTAGAGGTTCCCGCAGACAGACGCGCATTTTGCCGGAAAACGAATCTGACATGCCACCTCGAGATTTTAACCAAGGAAAGACAAGTTGATGTGCTTTGATTTGAGGGGTCACTCATTTCTGAACGAAAATTAGGGACATCGCTATGAGACGAAACGTTAACATTGTCGCCTATGGGAAAACAATTAGTGGACTGTACCCATATTGGGAAGCCTATAAGTAAGTGAAAGATGTTATAGATCTTGAATTTATTTCAAAGTTGGTGTTTTCTAATATTTTCAATTGTTCAAATTTATGAAAAAAAACAATTCTTATATTGTTCATACACATTTTCAATCAAATTGATTCATAAATTAAGTGTCTAGAACCCCCCCCCCCCCCCCCCCCCCCCCAAGGAACAGTCAACATCCTCGTACATGTATCGCCCATTGTTTCATACTGCTTTAATGTTTTTGGAAGATGATGATCGACACGTCACGTATGTGACATACATTATTTCAGATCAGTTGCGCGGTCAAGCTGGGTACAGCTGTCTAGGAGTTAAACGATGTGTGTGAACATGCAAATTAACTGATTTTTTCTCATATTTTTTAGCAATTGCATTACATGTATTTGTTGAAAGTACAATTATTGTCAGTAAAACATGCTTTTTACCTATTCTGCTGAATTAATTATAACTTAATTACCAATGTAAACAGTGTGATTTCAAGTGGGAACAAATTCATCATTTAAAATTAATTTCAAGTTATGGACATAAAAGAAATATAGTCAAATTGTAATCATTGAATGTCTGTGTGTCTGTCTGTCTGCAAATGTGATATTGTGCCATTTATTTCATTGATTTTTTTTTTAGGTTCATGGCGATTGGTACAGGAAAACCATGAGGTTCATGCAGATGGTGTTTAAAATTATTGGCCAGCAAATACACACCCATTTGAATACATCTTGAAACATCACCAGCAAAATGTGACAGTCGGCAAAATGTGTAAGTTAAAGTTTTCTAAAAAAAAATAAATAATTGAAGTGGGGAGTGGGGGTGGGGGCGAGGAAATGTACATATTGAATAGGTGATTAGAATGTGAAAGTATTAATCTATAACTAATCTGTACATGTACTGCTATATACATTTTGCAGCTCATATTGATTTTCTTTTCTTATTTAAAAATTTTTAATTAATTAGATATACATCATTGTTTTGTGAATTATGCATTATTAAGATTAAACGGATATAAGAATTGAAATTTCATAGATATTTGACAGTCAAAATTAAGCGATTTGTCCGGAAATTCAAAACTTTGTCTCATTTTCCTACAAATTACAAACTGGTTACCATGGAAACAAAACAATTTTAGTAGATTATTTATTTAATCTGCAAAACCTTATAATTTTACTTTTATGAATATACATGTATTAGCACTGATTTTGTCTTAAATGAAAAGTACGGGAAAAGTGATGATACACATGTATTGAGCTATCCATTATTATGATGTCATTGTGACGTCATAGATGAGTAAATTTGCATTGGCATAAAAATTGCTTTGAAACAAATGATTCTATATAGGAGTGTAAAGGCTTATAACTTTTTTATTCATAGACCAAATTTCTTGAATGATACATCAATGGACAGGAAATAATCAGTACTTTCTTATTTTACTACTTTCGGGGTATTTGGTAACTTCATTTTTTTGTCATTTGTGGAGAAACTTTGAATAATAGGGTGAAAAATGGTCATATTTTGTGCGGAAATAGATTTATTTTTTAAAATAAGTGAAATTGACCCAATTAAGTGCTTGATTATGATTTGACTATATGTATTTAAAGATATGAAGGTGAATAAGAAAAGTATAAATGTGTTAATAGGCTAAAATTTGACTTAAAACTTGGGTGCAGTTTTGGCTAGATTGGAGCATTTTTTAAGGATATTACACATAGAACTGTAAATGCTGTAAAATCTTAATTAATGGTTGAATTTTCATGAAACTTGGCATGATGTCTCTTCTTATGCTCTAGATTGACAAACAGTGTAAAATATTGTCAAATCAATAAAATGCTTTTTCATATTGGGTACATCCCACTAATTATTTTTAGAATCGGTAGGAGAAGAAAGTAGTGCAGAAAAAATTACAAGTTCCTTAATTTGCAGACTAGCATAAAAAAAATTGGGCAGATGTACTGAACTGAGCCTCACGCTTGTTGATAAGAAATATCTTTCCTACCAAAAAAGCTTGGCAAATGTAATTTATCAAGAAGATCAGCCGAATTATTTTGTGTATTAAAACGCCATTGAGAACTCTGAAATTCCCCTACTTTCACTTTCAGTTTTAGAGGTTCCCGCAGACAGACGACGCATTTTGCCGGAAAACGAATCTGACGTGCCACCTCGATATTTTAACCAAGGAAAGACAAGTTGATGTGCTTTGATTTGAGGGGTCACTCATTTCTGAACGAAAATTAGGGACATCGCTATGAGACGAAACGTTAACATTGTCGCCTATGGGAAAACAATTAGTGGACTGTACCCATATTGGGAAGCCTATAAGTAAGTGAAAGATGTTATAGATCTTGAATTTATTTCAAAGTTGGTGTTTTCTAATATTTTCAATTGTTCAAATTTATGAAAAAAAACAATTCTTATATTGTTCATACACATTTTCAATCAAATTGATTCATAAATTAAGTGTCTAGAACCCCCCCCCCCCCCCCCCCCAAGGAACAGTCAACATCCTCGTACATGTATCGCCCATTGTTTCATACTGCTTTAATGTTTTTGGAAGATGATGATCGACACGTCACGTATGTGACATACATTATTTCAGATCAGTTGCGCGGTCAAGCTGGGTACAGCTGTCTAGGAGTTAAACGATGTGTGTGAACATGCAAATTAACTGATTTTTTCTCATATTTTTTAGCAATTGCATTACATGTATTTGTTGAAAGTACAATTATTGTCAGTAAAACATGCTTTTTACCTATTCTGCTGAATTAATTATAACTTAATTACCAATGTAAACAGTGTGATTTCAAGTGGGAACAAATTCATCATTTAAAATTAATTTCAAGTTATGGACATAAAAGAAATATAGTCAAATTGTAATCATTGAATGTCTGTGTGTCTGTCTGTCTGCAAATGTGATATTGTGCCATTTATTTCATTGATTTTTTTTTTAGGTTCATGGCGATTGGTACAGGAAAACCATGAGGTTCATGCAGATGGTGTTTAAAATTATTGGCCAGCAAATACACACCCATTTGAATACATCTTGAAACATCACCAGCAAAATGTGACAGTCGGCAAAATGTGTAAGTTAAAGTTTTCTAAAAAAAAATAAATAATTGAAGTGGGGAGTGGGGGTGGGGGCGAGGAAATGTACATATTGAATAGGTGATTAGAATGTGAAAGTATTAATCTATAACTAATCTGTACATGTACTGCTATATACATTTTGCAGCTCATATTGATTTTCTTTTCTTATTTAAAAATTTTTAATTAATTAGATATACATCATTGTTTTGTGAATTATGCATTATTAAGATTAAACGGATATAAGAATTGAAATTTCATAAATATTTGACTGTCAAAATTAAGCGATTTGTCCGGAAATTCAAAACTTTGTCTCATTTTCCTACAAATTACAAACTGGTTACCATGGAAACAAAACAATTTTAGTAGATTATTTATTTAATCTGCAAAACCTTATAATTTTACTTTTATGAATATACATGTATTAGCACTGATTTTGTCTTAAATGAAAAGTACGGGAAAAGTGATGATACACATGTATTGAGCTATCCATTATTATGATGTCATTGTGACGTCATAGATGAGTAAATTTGCATTGGCATAAAAATTGCTTTGAAACAAATGATTCTATATAGGAGTGTAAAGGCTTATAACTTTTTTATTCATAGACCAAATTTCTTGAATGATACATCAATGGACAGGAAATAATCAGTACTTTCTTATTTTACTACTTTCGGGGTATTTGGTAACTTCATTTTTTTGTCATTTGTGGAGAAACTTTGAATAATAGGGTGAAAAATGGTCATATTTTGTGCGGAAATAGATTTATTTTTTAAAATAAGTGAAATTGACCCAATTAAGTGCTTGATTATGATTTGACTATATGTATTTAAAGATATGAAGGTGAATAAGAAAAGTATAATTGTGTTAATAGGCTAAAATTTGACTTAAAACTTGGGTGCAGTTTTGGCTAGATTGGAGCATTTTTTAAGGATATTACACATAGAACTGTAAATGCTGTAAAATCTTAATTAATGGTTGAATTTTCATGAAACTTGGCATGATGTCTCTTCTTATGCTCTAGATTGACAAACAGTGTAAAATATTGTCAAATCAATAAAATGCTTTTTCATATTGGGTACATCCCACTAATTATTTTTAGAATCGGTAGGAGAAGAAAGTAGTGCAGAAAAAATTACAAGTTCCTTAATTTGCAGACTAGCATAAAAAAAATTGGGCAGATGTACTGAACTGAGCCTCACGCTTGTTGATAAGAAATATCTTTCCTACCAAAAAAGCTTGGCAAATGTAATTTATCAAGAAGATCAGCCGAATTATTTTGTGTATTATAACGCCAGTGAGAACTCTGAAATTCCCCTACTTTCACTTTCATTTTTAGAGGTTCCCGCAGACAGACGCATTTTGCCGGAAAACGAATCTGACATGCCACCTCGAGATTTTAACCAAGGAAAGACAAGTTGATGTGCTTTGATTTGAGGGGTCACTCATTTCTGAACGAAAATTAGGGACATCGCTATGAGACGAAACGTTAACATTGTCGCCTATGGGAAAACAATTAGTGGACTGTACCCATATCCCTATGTAAAACTTGGGTAGGCCATTTTGGCCCCACCCTAGCCCCGGGGGTCATGATTTGAACAAACTTGAATCTATACACTACCTGAGGATGATTCTACATGAGTTTCATCTTTCCTGGTCCAGTGGTTCTGGAGAAGAAGATTTTTCCTATATATTCCTATGTAAAACTTGGGTCGGCCATTTTGGCCCCACCCTAGCCCCGGGGGTCATGATTTGAACAAACTTGAATCCACACTACCTGAGGATGATTCCACTTAAGTTTCATCTTTCCTGGCCCAGTGGTACTGGAGAAGAAGATTTTTAAAGATTTTTCTTATATATTCCTATGTAAAACTTGGGTCGGCCATTTTGGCCCCACCCTTGCCCCGTAAATAAATTTGAACGTAGGTATATATACGAGGGCCGTTCAAAAATTACGCGGACTGTGCTATTATTTACTCTTACAGACGTCATATAGTTATAAAATTTCACAGACATATGTATCTTAAAGATTCCAATAAATTTTGGACAAAATTTCTGTATTTTGAAAAAATTCTACTAAAATTATCGGTATGTTGATATCGTTGATGGAGAGGTACGGCGCACGACAAAAAAAATTGAAGCAAAAGCATGCGGATTAAAAAAAAAACGCACTGATTTTCTAAAATTCGCGATATTTTTCAACAATTTTCTTAAATATACCTGTAAATTGATCTATTATTATGTATTTAGATTTCGGACGTAATATTTGAAGTACTAACAGAAATATAGTGATTTTTCTCTGATGCGATTCCCGTGAAAACGACTGTGAAAATGACGTCTCCTGAATTGACGGCGCACCACACTTTTGTTAAAATATGTGTATTGCTCGAGATATCGGCAACATAGATCCAAAATATGCATGATAAAACATGTAGTAAACTAGGCTACTTGTGACATTCGCCCACAAATAGCAAATTGAAATTTTAGACGGTTAGACCTCTGTAAAAAGGCTATACGGATGGACGGAAATGAAGATTATAGATGAAAAGTTAACTTTATCCGGACTGCAAAGAACGTGATTGAGAGTAACCAATATCACACTATATCTCATAAATATCTATAGTTTTTGGTTTTTAAAACAAAAAAAAAAGAATATTCTTTACTTGTTTAATAGATGTTAAGCTTGACAAGAAATGGTGTTTTGATAGTAAGTAGATAGGTAACTCAAACTACACAGGTACTCAAGGGAAAATGTTGAGGAAATGAAAGCTCAATCACATATTTTTTTATAATGCTTGTGACGTCGAAGATTTTGCTGCGCCGTGACTTAATGGTATGTAATGAAAAATCACTCAAAATTAATACCAATTCATAACATTTTGATATGAAATTTTGAAGACCATATAAGTAAAGATTCTTTTATATTATTTGTGAAATTTTGCCCGATTATGTCGTCAAATATTTCTTCTGTGCAACAAGTCCGCGTAATTTTTGAACGGCCCTCGTAAAATATGTAAATCTATACACTCAATCTCGTATTTTGTTTTTAGTTCAGATACGCCATATACACAGATGATACATACAAAAAATGGATGCCTGGATCGATATATAACTTTTTGGCCGAATTTAATTGCAAATGATGCAAATATTCAATTTCTAGAATATATAGAAATTGTAAACCTTCTGTGATGTTTAAAAACCAGCCCTTTTGAAACCATTCTTATTAATCAATATGAACATTTTTCACATCAAATCCCATTTTTGTGAAACTTTGAATTAAAAAAATTTAAAACTACGCGGTGCTTATTCTTTTTAATCATTTAAACATGACCCAGGGTCCGCTAGCATAAAATATACTTAAGTCTGAGAATGCTCTCAAGTCTGAGAATTTTCTCAAATCCAAAATTCTCAGACTCAGCGGCCGTCGTAAAAAAGTTGAGAAAAATAAAAATACATTCTTTTATTCTCAAATTCTCAGCTGAGTAATTCTCGAGTTGAGTTGAGAATTTTTTTTTGAGAATTCTCAAAGTTTTATGACGGCAGACCCAGGTTGTTATTTTCACTTTTTTTACATGAGCTTGTCTGTATCAACTGCTTATAGAAAAGAGCAGAACATCTTGCTATTACGATACAGTCGATCTCACGCACGATTTATGATGATTAGTTTTTGTAGCTTTTTAAGCCATGGCTTGTTTGTCATTATAATAACTCATTTTTAATCAGTGCTTACATCTTGTTTCGATCAATTATTCACATCATCGACAGAAATTTAACCATGGGAACACTATTAATAAAATGTAACACGAGGAAATATATTTCCTTGAAACTTACAAATTAATAAGCATTCCTGAATTAATTATAACCAAACCTGTAGAAAAGGCATTTAAAATTTAAAATAAAAATCTATATATTCGGACCAAAACTGTAGAATAAATTTTGTATCTTGAAATTGTAAAATAGATTTAGTATCTTGAAATCTTAAAATAAATTTAGTATCTTGAAATGTACAGAAAACTTCTACCCACCCAAGGCAACATCGTTTCATAAGAGGCCTATGGGCCACAACGCTCACCTGAGTCACGCCCGTCCCCCTGTTCGACAGATCGCCCCTTGTAATATTTATTTGATCCAACCCTACCTTCAAGAGTTACAATTTCAATAATTTAGATTCAATACTTCAGGATACTTCCACATAAGTTTCAGCTTTTCTTGCACAGTGGTTCTTGAGATTTTTTAATGACCCTACCCTATTTTTTTTATTTTCTTGATTATCTAACCTTGTAAGAGGGAAGGCCATTCATTTAAACAATTTTTACCTCCCTTCACCCTTAGGATGCTCTGTACCGACTTTGGTTAAAATTGACCCAGTGGATTCTAGAGTTGAAAATAAGAAAAGTTTTCAGATGGAGGGACAGACAACGGAGGATCAGTGAAGATCACTTGAGCTTTTAGCTTAGCTAGGTGAGCTGAAAATGAGTACATGTATCTATAAGTGTAATCTACAGATGTGTCTGCATGTGTGTGTAGTACAAATTTATTCTTGTTTGAATTTCATTTAGTTTTGTTTTATTTTTTTCCATTTAGTTATGTTCCAGCTTATTACCATGATTACTTGCACACTATACTTCATTTCATTATCCTCCAGTTACATGTAGCTAGAGATGTCAGTTCAAATATTTTTTCATTGATTAGTAACAAATACCAAAAATGTGAACAGTATCCTGTTTATTATTTCATAAAAATCTTCAATATTTCAAATAATCACTTTAATATCATTGTGATTACAATATTACTAATATGTGGATGTGTGGAAACAAACCCAGGTCCAGCAGATTATAAAAAACACATAAGTATTGTGCACAACAATGTATGCAGTTTACCCCCTAAACTTGATATTATTAGAAATGAATTTTCAGGGAATGATATAATTGCCATTACTGAAACTCACTTAGATCAGAGTATTGACAATAGTAATCTTTCACTTGATGGTTATTATCAACCAGTTAGAAAAGACAGAAATAGATATGGTGGAGGAGTTGCACTGTATATTTCAACTAGATTAAATTTTAAAGTTAGAAATGATTTAAATTTTTCTGATATTGAAATTTTATGGGCAGAGATCCAATCACAAAATCAAAAGTTTTTGGTTGGAGTCATCTACAGACCTCCCAACTCTGGGTCTGACTTTTGGGATAAGTTTTCAAGTACTGTAGAGAGAGCTCTAGATACAGAGATGAAATTGTTTTTGTTAGGTGATTTCAATGTAAACATGTTAGCTCCTGGGAATAATACATTTAAAAACCTACTACTACAACTTAATTTAACTAATGTTGTCTTAGAGCCTACCAATTTTACAACTGATATTGGAACTTGCATAGACCTAGTGTTAACTAATGATCCATCCAAAGTTAAGAATGTTGTAGTCGATGAACCCATTTGTAGTTCTCATTCACCCGTTTCTATAGAAATCTCATTTCAAACATATAAGCAACATGCCTTCAAACGCACAATTAGAAATTATAAAAATGCAAATTATCAAGGCCTAAACGATGACTTACAAAATGTTAATTGGGATGAAAAAGTGTTTACCTCTAATAATATGAATGAAGTCTATGAAAATTTTACATGCACTTACCTAACCTTAGTAGATAAACATATACCAAAAAAGCAAATTACAATACGTCCATCAGATAAACCATATATTACCACAGAAATTCGTAGGAAAATGAGGCAAAGAAAAAGAATTCATAAAAAGGCAAAGCATACTAAAAATCCATTACACTGGCAAAAATTCAGACAAGTCCGTAACGAAGTAATAGACTTAGTACGGAAAAGTAGGAAGGAGTACAAAATCAAACTTGTCTCTCAACTCATTGACAAATCTATTCCACCAGGAAAGTGGTGGCGTATAGCAAAATCCGTTGCAAGGTTAAAGAAACTAAGTTCTCCCCCATCCTCTATCAAATCACAAGATGGTAGAATATTGATTCATCCAGTTGATAAAGCTGAAGAATTTAATAATTTTTTCTCTAATATATCACATATTGAAAATGAGCCAGATTTGCCCGAACATGGAGCTGGACCTCCAGACTACTTCTGTGATTTTGAAATAAGTGATCAAGATGTTCTTGATCAGTTAAGCATACTTGATCCCTCTAAACCATGTGGACCAGATGGAATTTCTCCCAGAATATTAAAGGAAACTCGTTATTCCATATATAAACCTCTATGTAGATTATTTAACCTTTCACTTACAAATAAAGTTCTTCCATACATATGGAAACAAGCACATATTTCACCTATTTTTAAAAATAAAGGCTGTCCCCAACAACCTAATAATTACAGACCAATATCATTGACTTGTTCTATATGTAAACTAATGGAAAAAATACTTTTTAAATATATGTTTAATCATATTAAGGAACATGACTTATTGTGTAAATACCAATCTGGGTTCCAACCTGGGGATTCTACTGTTAACCAATTAGTTGAAATATATGATAAAATTATGTCGAACCTTGACAGAGGCAGAGATATACGCTTTATATTTTGTGACATTTCCAAAGCTTTTGACAAGGTATGGCATAAGGGAATGATTTTCAAACTTAAAAACTTTGGATTTAGAAATAATATACTGGGTTGGATTGAAGACTATCTTACTGAGAGACAACAAAGGGTGAATTTAGAAGGCTATTCATCATCATGTAAAACAATAGATGCTGGGGTACCCCAGGGGTCTGTACTGGGTCCTTTCTTGTTTTTGTTATATATAAATGATATATCTAAAGATATATCTTGTAATATTCGACTGTTTGCTGATGATACTTCTTTGTTTGCTATTATAGACAATGATATCAATGCTCCAACAATGTCCCTTACTCAAGATCTTGAAAAGATAAGAAATTGGTCCAAAGCTTGGGCTGTAGATTTTAATAGTGAAAAAACTGTTAATGTTGATTTTACTAGAAAACACGTAAGTTATCCTAATATTCAGTTTGGATATGGAGGTGATTATATAAAACAATCAAATACTCATGTTCATTTAGGATTACAATTTCAAGCGGATGGTTCTTGGAACAATCACATATCAAATATATATGAAAAGGCATGTAAAAGATTAAATATAATTAGGTTATTGAAACATAGCATTGATAGAAACTCACTTATAAAAATTTATTTTGCCTTTATAAGACCAATTTTAGAATATGCTGATGTTGTATGGGATAATTGTACCCAAAATAGTTCAGAATTGCTTGAAAAAGTTCAAATAGAAGCTGCTAGAATTATTACTGGACTTAGAGTTAATTCATCCAGAACTTGTTTGTATGGTGAACTAGGATGGGAACCATTATATCTTAGAAGAGAAAAACACAAACTTCAATTGATGTATAAAATGATTAATGGTTCTGCACCTGATTATTTGTATGATTTGATTCAACCTTGTTTTCCTGTTCAACATGCTTACAACCTAAGGTCTGGATGTAATAACTTATGCATACCAGTTTGTAAAACAATGTCATACTATAATAGTTTTATTCCATCAACCGTAAAACTTTGGAACAGTCTTACTGAAGGTGTAAAAAACTCTCCTTCATTAGCTATCTTTAAAGCAAAACTTAAGAATTGGGGAGCAACTAATAAACCTTGTAAGTACTTTAACTTTGGTAATAGGAAAGAAAATATCTTGCATTGTCAGTTGAGAAACAATGCTAGTAATCTTAATGCACATTTAAAAAATCATTTTTTATCAGATATTCAATCATGTCAAAAGTGTGGATTTCATACTGAAGATACTGAACATTATTTTATCAACTGTCCATCGTATAATGTTGAAAGAAACATATTGGTAAAAAAATTAAATGATATTAATGTTGTTTTTGAACTCGACGCTCTACTAAGAGGAAAATCTCAATACTCTTATCAAACAAATTGTCAAATATTTTCATATGTACAAGAATTTATAAAATCTTCTAAAAGACTAAATTAGGGACACTGTCATATTAAATATTCTATTAAATGCATAATTTTTTTTTTCTTCTTCAAATATTTGTATTATTTTTAAGCTGGAACAGTATGTAAATAATATGCATACAGTTAGGGGGTTGTCATTTTTTTTTTTTTAGATATATTATTGATAAATAATACTTGATTGTGAATCTTTATTTTTCATTATAATTTTATTGATTATCATGTTCATGTATTATTTACTTCTAATTTGTATCTTGACCAATTATAAAAGGAGAGGGCTTACATAGGCATTGCCTGTTGCCCAATCCTGATTGAATTATATTCAATAAAATATGTTTAAAGTAAAGTAGTACAAATTGACATGTATCAAGTTTTATTGAAAAAGATTTAGAAGTAGTTACTCTAAACCAACTATTATTTGTGTCATCTTATATTCGACAGTTTGAAATTGATCAGGGATGATTATATTTTTCGTGACCAAGGAAACAATCTCTATAAAAATAATGCTAAATAAATGATTCGCAACTTTCGCAAGAAAACTTCAGATAAAAAAATCGGAGAGGGCTACATTATTGCAGCTAATGATATAGGTGTATCCAAATGTAAAAAGTTGCTGATATTTAAGGAGGTGCATTTATATCCTGTTCAGAGCACAGAATGTCATGGCAGGAAATGCTATGGACCAGAATATCAACCCAGTCACTCCAAACTCTAGATAGATTAAGAAAGCGAAGAACCACCTCATGTATCCCACAGTATATACCTGTGTATGTACAACAATGCCTTGTATTTTATCAAATGTATTTATTGATCTCACAGAAGTAATGCACATTTTTTTTATATAAAAATGGATATTTTGTACAAAAGAAGCCAAAAGTTTTAATCTGTTCCTGCTCTTAGCACATTAACAGGCAATTATTCCTGGATTAAATCCCGAGGCAATGACTGACACGCAGTCAACATCATGGCATTAAGATCTGTTACATGTATTTCTACAGTTCTCTCACAACAACAAAATACAAAATTACAGTAAGAACGATCTCCAGTCAATGATTTAAGAAATCAAACTTTCCTTTAAGACAAAACACTGAGTGTCACAAGAGATAATCTTAAACAGCACTCTCAGATAACTTACAGAGTAACGATCTCTTACATAAAAAAAGAGTAAAGACTCGCAATCTCAACTGTTGATGATTTTTCTCCTGTCTGAGTTTTTGTGATCAGATTTTACTGTTGATGATTTTCCTTTATGAGTTTTTCTCCATATTCAGATTTATCTGAGTTTTTTTCTCATATGTACATTTTCCTGTTGAGGATCATCGTTCGTCAAACAGAGGCGTGGAATCCCCCGCCGTGTACCCCTCGTGTCTAGGGCTGGGCCTCGGGGAGGGTCTCACCCCCCGGGGACTCTGTCCGTGTCTCGGTGTGCCGGGTTTGGTGGAGCCCGACCGCTTTGCCCACATCTGGGCAGCCTTGGCCCAGTCCATGCCCGCTGTGCTGGGTCCACCCCTGGGGGTCTGTCCCTGATGCTGGGGGGTGGTGGAACCTGGCAGGTAGAAACAGGTAAATAAGTATAACACACAATGAATCATTTACTTATTTGCTTTTGAATTTGAAGCCTTTCTAAATGTGAACATAAAGACGATCGACAATTTTTCTTCCTGAATCCTAAATCATTAGCACATTCAATATGATAAAATAAATGGTGCCTCTTTTGGAGAGTAACAGTTGCAATTGACACCTCTGGAAAACCATTGTCAACCTCTGTTAAGCGTCGGTTGACAATGGTTTTCCTTAAGGTGTCAATTTCAACTGTTACCCTCCAAAACAGGTACCATTTATATAATAATGACCCATAAATATATACAGGAAAAAGACTGTAAAATAATAAAAAGAAACTTAAAATTTAAAAGAGATATTTCAAATATATTGGACATCTCCCATTCAGAATTTATTATTATATAAGACTTTTAAAAGAACCACAAAATATCTGTATATATTTATAAGAATCCGAGACAACTGTTTGTAAAGCAGGACAGTGACTGGTACAGAATCATTTATAATGTAACCCAAGCTAAATCACAGAATATAAATGAATAACATGTTAAATTTTCAATGTTTTGAAGTATAATATTTTGCTACAAAATTTGATTCCAATCTATACTGGTTTATGGTATCTTGTGAAATCCATTGAGACATAGTGTTTAAAACAACTTACCAATTCTGGGTGTGGCTTTGGGTGTTGCCCCTGGCCAAGCAGGGGTGGTTGCTGCCCGGGGGGTCGGTCTGTATGAGGGGGTCTGGGCGGGCTGGTTGGCAGGCGTTGTCATGGGATGAGATGGGGTCATCATTGGGGTCATCATAGGGGTTCCCATTGGCTACAACACAAATATAGCAGTTATTGTACAGATATATCATAGGGTTCCCATTGGCTACAACATAATTACAGTGGTTATTGTACAAATATATCATAGGGGTTCCCATTGGTTACAACATAATTATAGCAGTTATTGTACAAATATATCATAGGGGTTCCCATTGGCTACAACATAATTATAGCGGTTATTGTACAGATATATCATAGGGTTCCCATTGGCTACAACATAATTACAGCGGTTATTGAACAAATATATCATAGGGGTTCCCAATGGCTACAACATAATTACAGCAGTTATTGTACAGATATATCATAGGGGTTCCCATTGGCTACAACATAATTACAGCGGTTATTGTACAAATATATCATAGGGGTTCCCACTGGCTACAACATAATTTCCAGGTTATTGTACAGATATATCATAGGGGTTCCCATTGGCTACAACATAATTACAGCGGTTATCGTACAAATATATCATAGGGGTTCCCATTGGCTACAACATAATTACAGCGGTTATTGTACAGATATATCATAGGGGTTCCCATTGGCTACAAAACAATTATAGCGCTTATTGTAAAAATATATCATAGGGGACCCCATTGGCTACAACATAATTACTGCACAAACATTGCTGTTTCCACTCATATTTTTTAAAAATAACCATGATTTGATATTTTAGGACTTTTCCTAATACATGTAGTAGGATGCAGTAAAACAAAATAAATGAAAGCAATCTACATGAATTAATGCATGATCAATTTCTAATTAATTAATAATTATTTTCTAATGTTGATATAAATATGCATTAGTTCAGCATGATTTGCAATTTTCAACATTTCCTTTCATGGTATTTTACTTCATTAAAATAGTCACCTGAGACAAAACATGTTAAAACATATTCTGCAAATTCATGGACATCTTAGTAATCACTTGATCACTTGAAAAATCTTAACCACGTTTTTTCTTTTCACAACTTGAGGAACAGACAATCTTATTCACTTAAATTCTAATTTCTAAAAGTATTAAATAAATGAATAAATCCTTAAAAAAACCTATCACATTAAAGTTGTTAAATCTTCATTCAAATAAATGCTAATTTAAATATTACAGTGAACCTTCAGATATCCGGATGCTTCAGTATCCGGACGATTTTTTATTGGCACAGAATTTTTTTACGTTACTTTGTCGTGTTAAACTGGTGATTCAGGTATCCGGACGCTTCACATATCCGGACAAATTGACAGGGAACCAAAGCGTCCGGATAAATGAGGCTCCACTGTATATCCTTTTAAAAAAAACCTACCACATTAAAGTTGTTAAAGTTTCCAGCGACTTGTGGAGTGGCACCCGGTGTGACCCCAGGGGTCATTCTTGCTACGCGGGGGGTGGCACTAGCTACCTGGGCCAGTGTGTTGTAGATGTTGCTAGGCAACCCTGCAGCAGCTCTCTGGATTGTTGCTGCATCCACACCTGAAAAATAAAAAGTAACCACATATTAACCAGGTTCGGCAATAAAATTTTATACTTTTAAATTCATGAGTTTATTTCAAAAATAAATCTAAATTATGACTGAAATGTGAACAACTTTAGCAAACCTTGCAGTGCAAAATTTTTATACAATATGAAATCTAATTAACAATTCTAAATGGAAAAAAAGTTAATTAGTATCTCTTCTATCAGAGTAGCCTTATATTAGATCTTAATCCACTGCAAATACTGTTAATTTTTCTTTTTTTACAGTTTTTCTTTGAATTCTCTGCATAAAATTACCTAAGTATGTCTACTTCTACATCAGTCATTTTAACATTCTACCTACCCTGTAAATTGATGCTGGGTGTAGCAAAGTTTGAGCCCGGTACAGGGGTTCGTGCACTGGCGGGGGTACCTGTCAAAATACATATAATTCTGAGTATCTGAAAACTTAGGAAATAAGGTCACTTGTGAACAATCTGAATCAGCTTACAATTCTACATTGAAAAGGAAATAAAACACTGATAGGAAAACCTTTCTCTAAACAGCATGGGAGCTGAAAAGTTGCCTATAACATACATGTACAATATAAGTATAGAGATTAGACTTAAAGAGATGTACATGTACAAATTAAAACAGAATAAAGTCACTGAAATGGTCAGTATACCCCTGGAATTGGGTACATGATGTAAACATGTTCAAATTCTATTTAAGATAGAGCTCCTGAGATGAATAATATCTTCTGGGATGTGATGCCATAATGAAGTATTACCTGGAATGGGATCCCTGAAATGTTCTTTGAACCAGCGCATCAGTGAGTTGAGGGAGTGGAAGTTCTGTTGTCTGTAACGGAGCCCGTCAGGTGTGATGGAGATGTACTCGTGCCGAGCCTTTATACGCGGCATGTAGGACAGGAGAATCTTCCCGGGGTACTGCTTCGTCAAGGACAGGAAGTACGGAATTCTAAAGAAAGCGGCAATTCAACACCAGTTAAAGTGATAAAAAGATGACATATTATCTATAGGATGGTTAGGTGGTTTGAAAGCTTGTCTAATATATTGAAATCTTGAAGAAAGTTTTGTACATCTAAGATATAGTATAATGTTTCTGAAAATTTCTTCTAATTTGTATTCAGACTTTGACCCATTGGTGGTGTCTAGAAATATCATGCAATCCATGTTGGTTTCCTGTACCTTGATGGTCCTTTTTTCTTTTCCTCCAGAAGACATTTCTCCAGAACGTCGCGTTTTGAGTTATCCATGTCCTTGTAATACTTAAAGTTCATCACGTCCCGAGCGAACGCTGCCATTGGCTGAATGTGGCGCGCAATGATTTCATCCAAGTCTTCAAATTCCTACAATTTATAACATCACAAACATTAAAATAGTAAGAATAAGAAACAAACTTATTAACTGTGCTTGTTCTGATGCTTTATGTATCAAAATCCTTTACATACATTTTGATAATAAGACAAACACATTAGTATTGAAGCCCTTAACTTATTTATATCTGTACTGAACTAGTACCTCATTTCCTATGAAGAGGGAGCTCCCCAGACTGAAGGCGTTCTCCTTGCCCTCCTCTCGGACGTCGATGTGCTGCATGATTCCGTCCGCCACCTTCCATGTCACGGTCAGGTGGTCCGAACCCTGAAAATGGAGGAGGAAAATTTAGGACAAATTTATCTTAACTAAAGAAAGTAGCCTGACATAAAATGACAGCCGCTACAGATAATTAGTGACTGTTCTAAATAAAATCCTTCTGTGAAATTGAAATTCAGTTCAAATGTCGGCTTAGAATTGTTATGCATTTTCATGATACAGGTATCCCTTTAAAGGCTAAAATCATTATGATTTTTTCTGAGATTTACAGTAAAACGCATTTATAATGAAGTCAAAATAAATTCATGTCTACAGTGAAGTGATTTTCATTCCCCAACATTTTTAAATGTACCTGAGTTAACAAAGAACTGCGAACGATAGCATTGTTCTCCCGGCTACCTCCCAGTTAATTTTCAAAAGTTAACAAATTCCATGAAGTTTTGCTATTTTTTTTTTATAGATAATTATATGGACTTTCAAAAGACATTACTTATTTGGGAAAACAAAGAGAGATAAATCTAAAAATTTGGCAAAACATTTTTTTTTTTACTATAGAAATCAACTGTACAGAAAATGGAAATTATTTTTAAAACATCCCCCCCACGCCTCCATGTCACAAAAATTCCTTTTCACAGGTAATATGGGCTGCTATTTCACAAATTCATACCAAAGCTTTTTGACAAAAAACGACAAAAATGCTTGTTTTCCACCAATTCCAAAGCAATTTACAATTGATACATTATATTTTATTAATATACTTATGTTTTATTTATTTGCCTAAAACATAAGAAAAGATATAAGGAACATTTAATCATATCCAAGACTATTTCAAAATATGGTGATGCCTGAAAGTCTGATTTCAATGGAAATTTTCCTATACCCCCCTTTTTCAAGAGCTAGAAGTATAGCTAATTTACTATTTAGCTCTGGTTCCAGGTATTCTGACAATTCATCAATTTCCATTGAACTGTTCTTTGTATTAAATAAAGAATATATTGAAAAATTGCCATTTATATTGAATGGTTGCAAAATGTAGGTGGGAATCTAGAGTTAACATGCATATTTCTTTAACAGATTATGTTTATGATGAAGCTAATTGGTTTATCCCTTGCACTTCACTACAAGCTTATTTTATGGCATATACTGCAGCTTGCTGTACATGCAAGCACAGTGGCAGGCTAGAGGAATATATCTCCTACACTACAGGACATAATAAAAGAAAAACACTTGTCATTGTTAATATAAAATGTATGGTGAAATTTGATATGAACTTTTATTTACATATACAGAATTGAAATACTAGACTTTAGTTCATTTATGTTCATATAAAAGCAAAGTACCGTAAAAATATAAATAACATTAATGTTGATTTATCATTAAAGTTGGTGGTAAATCTTTTTTTTACAGTCTATTCTACTCATAGTCTGAATTAAGGCAACTGAAGTATTGCATTTTATTGATTTTATTTTATGTCTAATGGACCAGTCAAAATAATTTTCTTTTACAAAAGATTGAAAAAGGTTTTGAGGCTTTACTTGCATCATCCAATACATGCCTTCTCACAATAACACAGGTTTTTTGAAAATATCGAATCTAACATCAACAAAAAAATCTTTTTTTAATCAGGAATTTCCATTCTATTTATATTTCTACTGTAACATGCAGTTTACCCAACATCAGATCGCACTGGATTTTCCAATAATTACTTATTTCTTGAAAAACATGCAGACTTTCCAATCCAAGACCTCTTTATATACAATAAAACTATAAAAATAGATGTGGTGCATTCCTTAGTTTGCTGCAAGTTTTTATTGCACATGACAAGTCCCTATAAATAACCATCCCTTTAAATATCAGTCCTGGGAAATAATTTATCCATATATATATAGATTCTTACCCATTGGTAAACTTATTACCCTGTGCTGTGAAACATTACTTAACTGGTAAGTTTTATCTTGCATTTGTTAATATTGGTGGGGCTTTTGGGTTTGTTTGAAAAACATTTTTAAATCATTAAAAGTAAAATCATAAAATTTTCAGACATTATAAACTGCCACTCTCTTCTTTACTATAACCAAACAGATTTATCAAAATTTGGTATAAAAAAAGGTCCTCTGCCCTGTTTTACAAAAGATCAAATAATGTTTTATCAAAAAAAAAAAAAAAAAAAAAAAAAAAAAAAAAAAAAAAAAAAGAAAATTCCAATTCATTTAATTTCAACTCTATTCTTAACATTCTAGTACTTAGATGAGAACATAGTGCAGAAATTAATGCGATCTTCATGCCTTGAAAAGAAACAATTTATCCTATATATTAGATTATATATTGTCTAACAATTAGATAAAAACACATGTGAATTTTAACCAGTTGGCATTTCTGCCTTTTTTCTTTCACAGGACAAACAAGTGACAAGATGTCGTGTAGAAAATGTTGGCTGGTGTTGATTTTTCTCACATTAGAAGTCCCCGATCTGTGCCTGGACTGGGATTTCTTCATTGAGTCAGTGCAATCAGAAAGTACCTTCTTCAAAGACTACCCCGGTGTGCTGTGGAGCATTCTAGCTTTCGCCATCGTTGGGACAATCTTTTTCATTTTGGAGCTTGTTAACTTGTATAGAGAAGTATTCCTGGATAAACCTTGTGTCTACCTGGATATGGCGTCCATGTTGTCCACTTGGCTTGAGGATGTTTCTCAGATCGTTCTCGCCACGATTGTCGCCGTGTACATGTCAGAGGTTATAACCCTGGTCCAGTACGCCAAGGCCGGCTTCTCAATTTTCGAAGTCGGTGTCAGAATTATTATGACCATCTTCTACATACACAGAAAGAAACATCTACGTGAGATGAAGCGGCAGGTTGGAATCAGTGGATTCAGTTTAGCGGGGGGCATCATCATCCTGGGATGTGCTATTTTTATCTTGGTGGAACTACATAATGACAACTTCAGTCTATACAGTTAGAAAATTATTTAGTTAAGATGTTAAAGTTAAAACTGGAGAGTCAAGAGGTCAAGCCAGTAATATGTTCACCTTGTGTTGTAAATACTCTAAACATTGTAACTTATTCTGTGACTCATTGCATAATTTGCAATTCGAAAATTTGAAATAAAAGAGATAAAACATATACTGCATTCTCGTTGTTCTTTATATTTATCGTTATAATGCAAAAGTTTGTTTTCTGGATCAATTTTTAAAATTTCATATCTATTGTACTTGAATAAATACAGTGTACTTTATAAATATTAACCAGGTCTGGACGATTTCTAAATAAGGAAGTCAAGAACGATAACCGTGAATTGCTATTAATACACAGAATAAACAATCCTTTGACCAATATATATATGAGAAAATAAATAAAACACGTGGTTTTAAGTTTTTTGCTCAAAAGATTTTTTTAGAATAAACTTTTTGTAAACTTTATGCGCATTTGGGAATAATATAATATTTATGACAATTCTACCGTGAACAAACACGACTTGAAAGCTTGGAATACGTTTTAAGTGGGATAAAAAAAATCTTTCTATAGGAGTTAGCATTAATCCCAAAAGTTTACTTACGTTAAAAAATTGATATAAATACGGTAAATTTTCAGTTTTTAGAGCCTGACATAAAAAATCGTATCGAAAAGATAACAGTCTTTTTTATTTTTGAGTGTTTATTACAGAATACTAGTAGTCCATGCAGTTTCTGATATGCGAGGTAAGATTTTATTCATGTATAATGATCTACGTTAAACGCCTTTCCTTATGCCCATTTAAAGTCTGCTTAGCTAAGTCTTCGGCACTCATGAAACCCGTGATAATGCAAAACTATATGTGTATACTCCATACGATAAACACTTGTGTGAGTTGATCTATAAACATGGAATTTAAGCATTATCGATGAAAATCGGACGGCTAAGCAAAATTATATTTACCATCATATAATATATTCTGGTAAATGTTATAATTGAACTTGATAAAAACTTGCTGGTGCGATCTATACCTCTGTAAATGATTACATTTTATCGTGCATAATTTTTTTTTTCTTTACTGAGATAAAAATGTCAAGGTTGTTCACGGTAAAAATGTGGGGAATACCTTATTCTTCAAAAGTTTTCATCTTACTTCTACAGATTTTTTGTTAAAAAAATCTTTTTGAGGAAAAAAACAAAAGCACGTGTTATCTTTTTGTTCTTTTAAAATATGTTTTGGGGTGTGTAAAAATGCTGTTGTCTGATTGGATAGAAAAATAATTACGTGTACTTGATGTACATTTATAGCAACTTTCGGTTATCGTTCTTGACTTCCATATTTAGAAATCGTCCAGACCTGTTAACTGTACAGTACAATTGATATATATATTAGTAAAAGTTTGTCTTACTCAGACAAAAACCAAGTCTGCATAAAGATAGAGTATGTGACACTGGTAACATTTTTATCTAAATGATTAAAAACATTACATGATGAAGACCCAGTGTGTATATAAATACCTTAACAGATAACACACCTGTAATTTACACCTGTATGTTACACTTGAGTAATCATGACCTTCCTGACATTATTTATAAATCAGTGACTGTCAGTGGCATTAGGGTTGATTTTTCTGATTTCTGGAGAGTTTAGGAGTTCTAGGAGAGCGTGTGTTTACAGAATCAGATATGACAGATAAACAGAAATCTGTAGTGAGCCTGGATATATAAACACAGAGTAACCAAGTAAAACCAAGTAAGTATCCAGTAAATCTAATCATTTTATCACCATGTTAATAATTTTAAGCCACTGGAATAGCCAATATAACTTTGTTGCATTATTTCTCTGCCTCTCTTGGTAAATTATCTGTTCATGCTTTCATAATTAGGTAAAAATGATTTAAAAGCATTCCACAACACTTGTGCTCACTTAGTCATGGCTAACACATAATAATCCAGCATACCACTAGTCTACACAATCTTAATATTTTTTTCTGTGTACATTGAGTGTTACACGGGAGGGTAGATTGACCTACTTTTTTCTTACTCTAACATGACTGTTATAACTTATCTCTAGAGCTATTAATTTTTTTTCTACTGCAATCCTTCTTCGTAGGGCAGGTAATATAACTTAAGTCTTGTAGTATTCGTTGTGATACATGTACTAACAAAACTGCTTCCAAGCCTCTAACTAACACTGAATTTATAACCTGACAAACAAAACATCATTACATGTGTTGAACACTCTTGCCCCCCCCCCCCCCTCGGCAGCTCTTGGCCAAGATTAGTCTTTCTGAAGTAGGTCTAACTCAAAGAATAAGGTTATAAAGTCAAAATAACAATGCCAAAGAAAGACTTTGTCACAAGGAATGCACAAGTGATATATGGAAGCCTAGGCACCAACTATTCAAAATTTATGGCCATGGTTGTAAAATGAGACAGATGATCTGGGCCAAGAACAGTTACTATAGGCCCCTGCATCTCCAATCTTACATTTACTAAGAGAGTAACATTTTAAGTCAACCTCAATCATAAACAGAGGGGCCAGCAATTTGCCCATATCAAGCTTTTGGTAAAATGAGCAAAACTATTTAGTTTGTCTTCTTTTACCTACATGTATCTGTTGCCTATGATATCAAATACATGTAGTCCTTCACACTTGCTTGTCAAGTTTACATGATATAGGGTTATAGCTTTTACATTACTGGGTAGGTGTTGAAGTGGAGATGGACAGAGTAACATCTCATTTCTCCTACAATAACACTGATTGTAAATTGTTGATTTTTTCAGTAAGATGGCTAACTGCCGACAGTTCACCCTGATGACCCTGGTTTTCCTGATTGAGGCTGCAGACCTGGCGTTTGATTGGATCTTCTATATCCAGCTCCACCAGACAGACGACGAATACGTCACACAAAACCTCCACCTTCCCTGGATCAGCCTCGGCTTCTGTGTGCTCGGTACGATCGTCCTCATCTTCGAGATGATCAACCTCGGGTTTGAAGTTTATAAAGAGCGTGGCCCCTGTCTCTACGCAGACACAGTTTCCATGGTAACCACGTGGGTGGAAGATGTGCCCCAGATTTCCTTGGCTCTGGTGGTGGCTATACATCAACAAAGCCTGATACACTGGGTTCAGTTTGTTAAGGCTGCCTGGGCCTTGGTGGAGCTGATTTTCCGGGGGGTGGGGCAGTGTCTATACTGCTGTGTAATCTCAGAGAGACACAATAAGTCTGTCAATCACTGTATAGCTGTGTTTAAGTTCCTGGCTCAGTCTGTTATTCTAGGCTGCTCTGTAGCTATATATGTACACCTACTGAAATGATCTAGGCCATTCTATATTTATATAGAATTCAGAAAATTAATGATGCCTTCTTCTTGATCAAAGCATTTTCTGATGTGCACCTCAGATTGAGTTCAATCAAGCGTTCAAGTGACACTGACTGAGAGACAATGTGCATAGAGCAATGATTGTATGAATCTTTATTTATTGTTCTGCTGAATTTGTATGTGTTAACTTTTAGATTAAAATCGAAATTGAAAGAAATATTTTTCTATTTATTTTCATAAACCAGTCACTGTAACTTACCTGATTTTGGACAATATCTAACGTTTTTGTGGTTAGTAAAAATAAAAATTACTTTATGAGAAACACAAACAGTATTTTCACTCACTGTTTTGCTATTTCTGCAGCTATGTATGTAAATCACTTTAATCTTATCCATTTTGCAATAAGGTGAATTATCAAAAGACTGTAGCTATTTATAAACATCATGAGCAAATAATGTTTAAGTTTTGCGCGTTGTGTTTTATTTTATATAGGTTGCTCTAATTACTTAATAACTTGTTTCATGCCACTGATAATAAATTTAAACATAAGTTTAACAATTGTATATGAAAAGCAGAACACAATGCTGCTACACTGACAAAGATGAAATAAAATGCTAATGTGATTTGATATAAATTTAGAAGTTGAAAAGTCTCAAAATAAAAAATTTTCTCCTTCTTATGAATAAACAAATCGAATACGAAGATAAAGAAATTACGTAAAGAAGTAAGTTAACTTTATGTTAAATAAATAATTTAATGGAAATAATGCTACATAACTTGTACTACCACACAATATATTATATTAATATATGATAACAATGTTATGTGGTTAAATTGTATATCAATTTGTTTGAAATAAAAATGAAATCATTTTGCATGTAAATTATGTGACTAGCATTTAATAATAAGAAATGAAAAGAAAAGATAATTTCTTAAAATTTTTAAACTTCAACTTTAAAAGGAATGGCTTAGGACCCTGACTTTCTCAACAATGAACTTTTTACAATAAAAGTTTTTACAATTTTTTGCTCCTATATTTGGACTGGTCACTTTTAACTTTGGGCTAGTAATGTATATTTTATTGCTGTTACAAGCCTGTGGGCTAGTACTTGATTTTTTTAAATTGCACACCCCTGATGTAAGATGAAGTGTATATCCCATTGTTGATAGCCCAAACAAAAAGAAAGGCACCGTACAATGGTAAAATTTTGTAATTCAACCATTTCATTTTTGTGTATAAAAAAATTCAGTAAAATAAAAAAAAAACCCAAAGATGTCAGCATGTAACAGTAAAAAAGATACAATGTTAACACATTTAAACACATTGTTCTGCTGAATTTGTATGTGTTGAAGATTAACATGATTAAAGAAATATTTTTCTATTTATTTCATAAACCAGTCACTGACTTCTGATTTTGGACAATATCGTTCACTTTATGAAGTGCTCTGCAGCTATGTATGTACACCTCGTAAGGTGAATTATCTGTAGCTATTTATAAACATCATGAGCAAATAACTAGCGCTAAGGTTGCTCTAATTACTTAATAACTTGTTTCATGCCACTGAATTTAACATGAGTCGTGGACACAATGCTGCTACACTGACAAAGATAATTAATGCTCTTGCTTTATATTTTACTCATAATTTTCCCTTCTTATGAAAAGCTCAGTTCAGTAGCTCTAAGGGTAAACACCTATGTAGACGGATGTATGCTACATAACTTGTAAAATATATTATATTAATATATTTAACAATATTATTATTCTAACCAATTTGTTCTAGTCATTTTGCATGTAAATTATGTGACTAGATTTAGTAAAAGAAATGAATAAAACAATTTTGTTACTTTCTATCGAAAATAACCATATCGAGACAAATTTATACAGTATGTTTCACCCCTAACCAGCACTAATGCGTACTGACATTACATGCTGATACCTGTGACAATAAAGCAGTCAGATGAAGTGTATATCCCATTGTTGATATAGGAGATAGTACCGTATATGTGGAAATTTTAGCATTAGACATTGTCTTTTTGCTCATATCTCAAACTAGAACCCAAAGATGTCAGAACAACAGAAAATCAAACTTAACACATTTAAACACACTTACAGCAAAGTGCAAGGGGTGTGAAATTTTGATTTGTTATAAACTTGATTCGTTAAATCCATTAAGATAATAATATCTTTAAAAACCACAGGGATTGAAATTCACTTTGCTGTAAGCTTAAATTCATAGAAACATGTTTGTTACAACTGTGTTTTACTGTAAAAGGAAAGATAACTCTTACCTTACTGCTGGGTCTGATGATTGCCTCCCCTTGATCCATGTTTTCTAGAAGTTTCTCACATTCCCTGTACCCCACATTGTGGAAGGAGGGGTGAGCTATGACTCTCTTTACGTACGCTGTCAAATAAAGAAAATAAGTTAGGTATCCATGGCCAAAACAAATATAACACAAAGAATCCGATTTCCAAAATCTTTGGTTTTGTGTCTATTCTCTTTCCAGAAACTTACTGCAAATTTCACCAAATCGAATTAATGAATATTTTTTATTACTAGGTGATGCCAGATTTATCTTGATCAATGAAATCAAATTTAGTACCAATATAATGTACCTCAGATCAATTTTCCTTTGGCTGAATACCGTATAAGTGGAAATTTTAGCGAGACGCAAATTTAGCGATTTAACCTTAAAAATTGGTAATTTATTTTTAGCGAGATGTAATTTTAGCGATTTTTAAAATGCTCACTAAAGAACCTATTACAAATAAACCAACATTAATAATTAACGATATGAAATTTTAGCGATCTTGGTACCTTCGCTAATAATGCCAAAATTAAATCCTCGCTAAAAATTCTACTTATACGGTATATGAAATTGCAATGATGAAAGAACCATGTGGAATACTAAATACTGAATATCATGATATCAATTTCTTTAAATTGTATCATGACCTACTGAATTTGTGAATAATAGCAGTCTGGCTTTGTGCTTAATACTACATGTATGAAAGTAACATTACCCTTCTCTGTCTAGGTTTGTGTGTGTTTACTTTAAATAGTAACATGACCTACTCTGTCTTGCTTTGTGTTTGATACATGTACTATAAATAGTAACATAACCTACTCTGTCTGGCCTTGTTTGATACTATAAATAGTATAGTATAACTCTGTCTGGCTATAATTAGTAACATGACCTCTGTCTGGCCTTGTGTTTGAACTATAAATAGTAACATGTCCTACTCTGTCTAGCTTTGTTTGATACTATAAATAGTAACATGACCTACTGTCTTGATTTGTGTTTACTATAAATAGTAACATGACCTATTCTGTCTGGTTGTGTTTGATACTATAATTAGTAACATGACCTACTTTGTCTGGCCTTGTGTTTGACTTTCTCTTCCTCCTTCTCCTTATCCTTATCTTCCTGCTCCTGGTCGTAATACAGATCTTTAGGCGGTCTGAAGGAAAGACATCAAATACTCAGAAACATTACACCATCTCATTGCTCTATGAGTCTCCATATCAACAAGTGTAGATTTACAGAGGCAGGCATAACAAGGTAATACAGACAGCAGCAGAGAAGCATTAAGTCATTAGGTCTACATTTACCGGTAACTCAAATTGCTTCCTCTTTAATTGCATGACATATAATAAATCTCCAACATGGTATTTTTGTAAAAAGCAAAGTCTCTTCCTCAAAGAGCTAATATGTTAAAGCATATGAAAACCAATGTATCTTGTGAACACTGATAAGATTGACAAGTTTACTATATAAGACAAACATCTGTTTCTGACTGAGACAGATCTATTTTAAGGATGTAGTTCTGAGCATGCTCACCTCCAGTGGTTATCGGAGTCCATCAGATCTGAAGATTTACTCGTCAAGTCCACCTGGAATCGATCAATGTCGATCTTAGTGATCCGACAGTGTATAGTCATCCCAGGCTAAAAAAAATATCAATGATATAATGAATATCAACCATAAAATCGACACTTAAATCACACTACAAAGAACTAAAATAATTCTACAGTAACATTGACCTATGCAGTTAAACATGCTTAAAGTGCAGCGCTAAAGACGAATAATTTATTATGAAGGTAATTTATAATATCCATTCAGTTTATAATGCTTTAAACTATGGGGGAATGAAAAATCACTTTCTTGTAAGTTCCGTAATAGCATGTCAGAGTAACTGGATTTATGTAACTCTACAGTGACCTTGACTTGACCTACCTTGGCCCTTTCCTCAGGATTCTTGATATGTTTATCAGTGATTTCCTGTGACAGATTGTAATTTTACAGTTTTACAGTGACCTTGACTTGACCTACCTTGACCCTTTCCTCGGGACTCTTGATATGTTTGTCACTGATTCCCTGTAACAGATTGCTCCTGTAATGTTACAGTGACCTTGACTTACCTTGACCCTTTCCTCGGGACTCTTGATATGTTTATCACTGATGTTTTTGGTGTGTAAGAACCCACTGACTCCATTATCTAGTATGATCTTCACCCCTACAGCGGATCCAGGACAGCTCCCAGCATCAAAGTGACTCCACACCTTCGCAGATAAATCAATAAGGTCACATTTATATAATCTAAAATAAATTTCTGTCCAACTTAGTAAATAAATAGGTTTAACTTGCTATCAAGGTCATGACAATATTTCAGAATAATTAAGAAGAGAAAAGAAATATTTCATCTGTACTACATTTAAGATTAAGGTCAGACAGGGTCAAAGGTCAAGAAGAAAAAGTTACATGTATTTTGAAATTCATAAGAAAGTAACAAACCTCGCTGAGCTCGGGGAAGTCACTACGGTTACAGAACGGACACTGCCAGAGGCCCGTCTCATCGTTCCTCACCGGATTAGCCTGATCCAGCTGTTCGCCTCGCGGACGACGATGAGCGATTCCGATTACCTTACCTAACACCAGTTTGCCTGTAAAGCAAAATAAAACAAAATTGTCAAATTTCAAACAAGATCTAACTTGTAAAATATAAAGCCCAAAGATTTTGTTTTTATGGAAAACCAAGGGAGTTAGAGTGACAGACAGATAGGCAAGGAAAGGAAGAAACATATACATGTAGTTCCCTCTGGCTTCTCCGAAGGGGACTAAAAATGTGTGAACTGTCCTAGTTATGTCATATCATTAAAATAGACAAGAAAATTTTCGTTTGTTAATGGAACACATACCGACATAGAAGGTCTCTGGTGTTTCCTTGGTGATCATGTTAAATCTCTCCTCGTTTAGCGGTGACCTGTAGGGGGTTCGGAGATCTTTATAGCGATGATTCAGCTCAGCTCTAATGTCGTACAGGGTGATGTGTTTATCTCCATACCCCTGTAAAAGTCCAAAATCTAATCGCATGGATTCAAGATACAAAATGCATGTATTACTATTCAATCTTGTCCTTGTCTAAAATTGACGACAAATTGTATGACCTACAATTATCGTATCTTAAATAGTTCAATACTAAATCATTATCTCTCCTAAATTTGACAAACTTCCAGTATTGACTTTATACACGTTTCACTAAAAATTAACCCTAAAAGGTCCAACATTAAAATATTCAATGAAATTTAAAATAGATATGTATCGTCTATCTAGATAAAACAGTCTGTTCCGACTCCTTAATTTTCTGACATTCTACCTGTCTCTCTAGTTCCTCAGCAAAGGCGTCTAAGTCGAGGCCTCTCTTACCTGTCTCTCTAGTTCCTCAGCGAAGGCGTCTAAGTCGAGGTCCCTCAATCTCTCGGGGCTCTCCAGAATTTCCTCCAGTGCCCCCGCAGGATTAGCGTCCTCTGCTGTATCGTCATATTCCAGAGCGTCCACCGCCATCTTACGAGCCCACTCGTACGTCTCAGGGTGGACACGAGAACCGTCCAGTACCTCAACATACGAGTCTGTGCTGTAGCAAGGAGAGCCAAATATAAATATGATGCAACATATTGGTTAAATCAACTACTGTAAATCAACTTTTATTTATTTACAGTATCTGAAGTCAAACACTAAAACGTTAAATGAATCAACAGATTTGAGTTTATATCAACAAAGATCTATATGCGGTAGATTGCATAACTTTGCCCCCACAAAAGTCAAATTTTGAAAAATTCTTGAAATATGCTTAATTTTATAAATTGTATGAGAAATATAAATTACAGAACATATTAAAGTTTCAAAGTAGTTTATTGACAATTTTTGTCTTAATGACGTCACAAACTAGTCCGATTTAATATCATTTTTCAGAAAGAGGACAAAATGAACAAAATTTCAACAGTTTTAGCTTTAAACTTTATAGAGCGCAAGTTTGCTCAGGAACAATATTTACATATTTTATTGATATTATCATTCTTCACAGTATATCAAAATAATGAGCCTGATCAAACCTGCGCTCTTGACTTTTTCTCAAAATATCGACGTAATTTATACATTTTCTATAGAAATCATGGAAATGTTAAATTTGCGTCACTTTCGTGACATCATTTCAAACATATGACGTCATTGCCTATGAAAATATTCAGTGCTTTGAAGTCAGCATATATTCCCCTGTTTAAGAACATAATTAAATATATCTCTGTCAAAGTTTGATTTGGGGGGCAAATATTGGTTATTACCGAATAAAGTTCTTTTCACTACATCAGCAATGAAACAAAGTTATGGCCCAAAAAAGATAGGAACAGTACACGTCTTCTGTTTTTGTTGCCATTTAAGGACATATGCAACGTACATTATCTACTGATAATTTTTGAAGATATTCTTAACTTAAGATTATAGTGTCATCAAATGTTCGAAGACAAAAAATCAGCATGCATTACAAGGGGTTTTGAAAAGATATCAATTGATGAAAATTCTTTTAAAATTCAAACAAAAATAGACAAAAACTAAAGCATATATTTTCCATATTTTGATTATCCAAACTTGTTTCAGAAGAAGTGTGCAACAGCGTATATAAACATTAAAACGTAGTACATAGTTCCTTCAAGTATTGGAAATCTTCAACTTCAGGGAAAAACACAATAAAGTTCAAACTACATTGCGTATTTCCTTAATGATCATGATAATTTCCCAATTCCTTGTTTATAACTCTTACCTGTCCATCAGGCTGTATGTATCAATCTTAATGAATCCAGCACAATTAATGAACACTTTAGGCCCCATGTGACACAGAGTTACAAGCTGAGTTCTGTTTTCGAGGCGAATGTTATTTTGTTTGAGGATTTTTAGCAGATGAGTCCCCTTTCTAGGCCCCAGGCCACACACGAATTGTACGAGGGGTGCCGTGTGGGAGTGAGCCAGTGCCCGATTAATGTCCACGCCCACTTCATTCACACGATTTACAAACTCCAGGGTCAGCGCGTTCAGTAACACATCCTTAGGAATCTGATCCTGTGATCAAAAATATAAAATTATTAACAAATTATCAACAAATAATTTTAATAACAACATATTTCTTTTGCATGTTCATTTTAAAAACAATTGTTTGCTGTCTACAAGATGAAACTATCAGACAGCAGCAAAAAATCTAAAAATATGATTACTACAATATAAACTACATTGTACAATAAAAATAAAAGTATAAATGGAGATTTTTATTGTCCTAGATCTAAATACTCATGTGAAAAGAAATCCTATAAAAAATGCATTTCTTTATGATTGATTCTGAGTTTATGAATTGAATTTTGAATTAAAACTTTTTTCTGATCTTTCACTAACCTGGAAGGGATGGTACTTTAGACAGAGAATGTCTTCATCAGGATTGCACAGCTGAGCGAACTCAATCAGCGGATCTTGTAGACGACGAGCGATGGAGATTGCATGACGAAGAACTACAGGGTACTCACGGAAGTCACTCTGTCATAAAATAAAAACAAATACATAATATCGTAATAAAATGAAACCTACATGTACATATAGAACAGAGGTATCCCATACTGTATATGACTTGCTTAGCACAAATTTAGATTTCTGATAGATGTTAGCATAAATATAAAAGGTTAATAATATTGCTATGGTAGCCTTACATGTCCTTTGTTGGAGTTTTCTAACTGTTAGCGTATAACTACATGTGTTGCTATGGGTCCGACCTCGTTATCCACTAACTCCACATTGATGGCCGGCATTTCCACCTCCTCCGTCAGTTCTTGGATTATCCGCTGGATGTCCTCAATTATCCGCAGAGCATTATTAGATTCTGCCGTCACGGCGACCACATGGGGCTTCTTAGTCGAGATAAACTCCTTCAGCTTAGCAAGATCACTTTCCTGAAATCAAGTTAAATTTCAAAACTCTCATCTAACTATGACATTTATATAAACACTGGTCTAATTCAGCTTTAATAATGCGTATCACAATGATCTCAATACTGTTGATCACTAAATTTTCGAGACACCTCAATTTTGCAGGATTGTTATATATTTTTTATTAGCAAGACAAAATCTCCATGGATTGTGGTTATTGCTCCATATAATCTTAAGGAATACTAAATAAATATACAAGAGAATGAAATTTTTGCAAGCACACTGTCTCGCTTAATCATGCAAATATAAAGTTCTCATGAATTAAAAATCATTAACAATAATCTACTGAACATTACCACACCCACCTTTCCCTTGCGATCCACCTCTCTGAAGGCATTCTTCTTCATACAAAGGTACTCCAGTCGGAGGAAATCAGTCACCTGACCCTCGGGGTCAATCAGTACCCCAAAGGATGCGGTGTCGCGATCCGTGGAGTATCCGATCCCCAGGACACGCAGACCTTCGTCCTCATAGTTATTGTCCTCCAGTTGCTGGTCGGCCTGATATGGAGCAACCTTCAGCCAGTTATAAAGCTTTCTGCAGCAGGCCTATACCAACGGAAAAATGTTTTAAACAATGTCAAAAATTTGGAAGTAGCATACACGTTCATAAAATGCACATTCTTAAACATGAACAAGCGCCATCATCGCTGATCCTTCTGTACTCTTTAGAAGTTTTTAATCCTGGCTAAAATTGTATTCTTAAACAAAATGTGTTTGTACAATACTGATGCCCATGTAAAGCAGCTTATTGCCGAGGTTAAAATTTTTCAAATATAGGTCAAACTCCAAGGTTAAGTTTTTTAAGTCTAAGGACAGATGGTTGCACCAAAAACCATATGCCCCTAAATATCTTCCACCTTAACATGCTTAAAACAAATTGTCTCACTGAAATAACCCAAAACTACAAAATGCTGATAACTACTAACTTTCCAAGGCAGTAAAAGTGAAATTGAACTTATTCGTAAGGTCAGTAAGTTACCTTGACAATGCCGTCCTTGGCCTTGGCTAACAGTTTGGCTCTCACTAATTGGTGAGGTCAGTAAGTTACCTTGAAAATGCCATCCTTGGCCTTAACAGTTTGGCTCTCAAAAATTGGTGAGGTCAGTAAGTTACCTTGACAATGCCGTCCTTGGCCTCGGCTAACAGTTTGGCTCTCACTAATTGGTGATATAAGTTACCTTGACAATGCCGTCCTTGGCCTCGGCTAACAGTTTGGCTCTCACTAATTGGTGAGGTCAGTAAGTTACCTTGACAATGCCGTCCTTGGCCTCGGCTAACAGTTTGGCTCTCACTAATTGGTGAGGTCAGTAAGTTACCTTGACAATGCCGTCCTTGGCCTCGGCTAACAGTTTGGCTCGCAGTTCCTTCTCCATCTGAGGATACAGGAGTTTAGTGAGGGCTCGCTCGAGAGCCTGAGTCCTCTGTAAGTTCCACTGCTGGACAAGGTGGCTAAACTCATCCTGTAACACAAGGTACAATGAGCTGTATAGGATTAAACAAAACATGACAAGGTGACTAAACTCATCCTGTAATATAAACAAGGTACAGTAAAACTCAATTATAACCAAGTCACTGGGACCTATAAAATTACTTCACTATATCCGTAATTCATTATATCCATATAAAAAATTCGTTAAATTTATATAGCTGGGGATCCAAGACAACGTTGCTATATCTGTGAATTCGCAATATTCATGTTCATACTAAACAAATTTTGCTGTACAATGAGCTGTATGGGAATAAACAAATTAAAACATGTAAAATATGGTGTTATTGATCTGTACATCTATGTATGTGATGAAAGAGCCCACAGCATAAAAATCTTTCATAAGGTAGCCTTGAATAACTGGTTCTATCTAGTTTGGTGTTAATAGGCTGATGAAGGTAAGTGGTTTTCAGAAGAAATAAAGGAGAAAATATTCAGTGGATGTAAATATAAGCTTTCAACTGACCCTGTAGTAAAGCTGTCTGATTTCTTCAAAGTAAGTCTGTGTGTTCTCCGATTCCTCATCAATACTGAAGGTCATGGTCAAAAGGCGATCCTCTTCTGCCTACAATCACCATGGAAACATGTCCAGGATTAATGGTTCTCACAGATACATGTATGCTTTACAAATTCAACTATTGGTCACATAATACTTTTCTTTGACTATAGCTTACCATGGTTAACTTGAGATACTGTTCGTCCTTGAGATCTCGTACAGGTTTGTTTTTGAGATACTTCATACTGTAGCAGCCATGAGACTCATCAATTTCCTGAAGGAAAAAACCATTAACATTCATGAATCACAAAAACAGAAAGGGGTTAAAATAATAGGTAAATATCCTACATTCATTGGTAGCAAAAATTTATTATTTGTAATTAATTGAGTATATGATACCTTCATTCCTTTCTTCGTTGGTCGTACTGTGACCTTGGCTCTCTCATAGTAAGCCTGTCTAACAACCTGTCTAACTGTGGGATCATGGGAAATCTGCATAGCAACCATGTGACGTGCCCCTAGTAACACTTCCTCCTCCGTGGGAAACTGCCTGTGATGGTAAAAGATAGACAAATTGATTGACTGAAAGCAAAATCCTATGAAAAAGTTCAAACCTACAATAAACTAGATTAAGAATCATTAAATAAGATGTACAATGTATGTATATGATTCACTGGGACTTGCTTCCCTCTAGAGGGACTTGGTACGTACCCACAGATTTTTTCCTTTGCCAGCTCCAATGGTTCTATGGGATACTGTTCAACGTCATGTCTCTGGTAGTTATCTCGTAAATTCTCCCCAAACTGTTCAGGAGTCAATCCAAACTTCTCAGCAATATCATCTATAGAGGAAACAAACTCACATCAACTAATCCAATGTCATATACAATTATTTCTTTTATGCTGAATATGATTAGTAAGATAACAAGGTGTGGGTCTACTGACTTATTTGATTAACCTAGCTTGTGACTGATCTAGTTGCATAGCTGACCCCATTGTGCAGTTGACCTAGTTTGGCTAAAGCTGATTATTACTATAATTTGACCTAGTTGTTTAATTGTCCTATTTGTATCACTAACCTAGTTGTTTTTATAACTGACCTATTTTTTTTTCTTGGCAGATGTTGTAACTGGTATTCCTGACCTAGTTGTATTTATGACTGACCTATTTTCTTTTCCTGGCAGATGTTGTAACTGGTATAAAAGACCTATTTCTATATATAACTGACCTATTTTCTTTTCCTGGCAGATGTTGTAGCCGGTTTTCCTGGTGGCGTGTTTGATGGTGTCCGTTGGCTCAATGTCCGGTTCCGGCTCCGCCTCCCCGTCTTCTCTCTCCCCCTCAGACTTCTTCTTTGTCTGGGCCATCTTCATTTTGGGGATGTCCATACCGTAATACAGGAGAAAGTGTTGATAGACGTCCTTCAGCTCCTCCATAGTCTGTACATTTCTTACTCTACAACAAAGAATTAAAACATAAGCTGATAAAGTGCCCCGCCACAGCATGATACGCCCGTCAAATATATTGTTCAATAATCATAAATTGGTTAAGGTGAAACAAATCACATAACCTTGATTAACAGATTGACACAGATTTATACTAATTTATTTCTTTCATGTTTAAAATATTGTACATATTCTAAGAGACTTACAGTGTAGGAATTAATTATAACAAATAATACATCATATAATTCTAAACTGGTGTGTTAGAACTTAACAAATATCCACCTAATTGTTTATTGCATATTTAATGGAATAATGGAAATGCTACAGTCTAATAAAAAAAATCAAAAATAAATTATTCTGACTATAAAATTCTAAGTGAGGCATGGTGACTGCAATTTGTTGCAAATATATAAAAATTGAAATGTACCCCGGTAATTTTATTTCAATGAACACATGTATTATTAGTTTTCATTATATTATACAATACTAATTTAGTTTTAATCACACATTAAACATCAATTTGTTTTAATTACATTACTCCAATTGAAAGATCTTTATCTGGACTATAGCCACCAAGAACTCTTAATTAACACAAGCAACTATGAGGCCATTTCTTTTTGCCCAACTCCCAAGAGATTAAAGATAAAGATAACAGCTGCATTTTCAGAGATCTGCTCTACCACTTAGCACCTGACAATAAACTCATTAAGGCCCAAAAAAATTAATCAATAGTTTCTGTATTGACATATGAAAAGGGAAATGACCAATTTTCTATTTTTCCAAGTTGAAAAAGAAAATCAGTTATTGCCCTTTTGTAAATGCTAAGATAGACGTTTTTATTGGAAAAACATTATATAATCTAAAGTATTTTATATACTTTTATAATGTTTGAATAACATTATTTAAAGTTGAATACATATTATAACTAATTTCAGAGAACAAAACTTAAGAATTAGTAGATATTATCATTTTATTGAACAAATGACTTTTAAAAAAAAAGGTGTAGACTATTATTAAATCCTGCTTCAAAAAAAAAAAAAAAAAAAAAAAAAAAAAAAAAAGCCTGCCTGCCGCATTGAATTTTGATTTTTTTGGCCTGAGAAACAATTGATTAATTTTTTTTGGCCTAATTTCTCTCTATTTCTGCTATCAAAATTCTTCTTGACCAGTGCTTGATAATTATGCCCATGGGACAAACTGAATTCCTCTCATTAACATTGACATTTGTTACAGATTGCTGAAGTATGATGAAAAATAAGTTTTTACTTAATTTAACATCTTTTCATAAGGATTAGTTTTAATTATATTATACAATATTAAATTAATTTTTATCATATATAAGCATCAATTTGTTTTAATTACATTACACCAATTGAAAGATGTTGAACTAGCCATCAAGAACTCTTAATTCCTATGTGGCCATTTGTGTTTGACTCCCAAGAGATTAAAGATAAAGATAACAGCTGCATTTTCAGAGATCTGCTCTACCACTTAGCGCCTGACAATAAACTCATTAATTTCTCTCTATTTCTGTTATCAAAATTCTGACCAGTTTTAATTATGCCCATGGCAAACTGTTCCTCTCAAAACATTAACATTTGTTACAGATTGCTGTAAAGCATATGGAAAAAATAAGGATTTAACATTTTTAAACAAGGATACAACTATATTTTTACATTTTTTAGGATTATGAAATTTAAGATTTTAAAGACTTAGTTTTTTAAAAAAATCACTTAAATTAAAGGTCACAGTGACCTTGAAATAGGCCCGCGACACACCTTCTACCTCTCTCTCCAAGTTTGATGACTCTGAGTCTAATAGTTTTCTAGTTATGGGCCATCATATTTGGCTATAACTTCTTAATTAAAGGGGGACTTTTTGTGCGCGACACACCTTAATACCCAAGACGCATCAGATGACAAAGTTTGATAATCCTAGGCCTAATAGTCTGAACATTTCTTACTCTACAACAAAAAATTAAAACATAAGCTGAAGACGGGCGTATAACAAAAAGATGGCATTAGAGAAGTGGTACGTGTGGATTTCTGAGGAGAGATCTTGTATAGGACCAACATTTTGCTACAAATATCTTTTGGTCAATAGCATACATAATAATAAAGACTCCATCTTTAGAATGTACTCCTGACAATAAAGTTGACACTTTATTACTAGTATGTCACTAACCGCATGAGCACTGACTTGTGTTAATCTGATTTTGGTACATAGACTTTTTTCCCAATAACTCCTCAATACTCACACTAACTTGTCATAATTTTCATCATTGACAATGGATAGACTTTAACCCTGTTACAACTACCTGTCTAGATCTTCGTCTGTCAGTGGTCGTATATTGGACTCTAGCACTTTATCAGGGTCTGAGTTTGTGTCAAACTGGTAGTTCTGCATCTTCTCAAACAACTTGATCAAGTTCTGCTTCCTTGTTCTCAGTTGAGTCCACTGAAAACCAAAAACTTTATAAACAGCTGATTCAAAATGTATGAGTATTGAAAGTAATTTCTATGATTTGAGCTTAAGGATCTCTGTTTAGTTGAATTATTTTGTAACATTTTTGTCACCTTTTCGTCCCACTGCCACACCTTCCACAAGTCATTAATGTTAAGATCTGACTCGACATACTCTTTTCTGTAGAAAGCAATAAAGGGGACCTACAAAAAAAAAAGATCTGTACATTGATAAGGTAATTTTTGAGAAATTAAAAAAAAAGAAATGTTTCATTTACAAGTTTTAAGGCAAAACTACAAAAAAATTCTTTGAACAGCAATTTCGTTAATTTTTAAGATTTAGGGGAAAAAAATAGTACATTTACATATAGAAACAAGTAAAATCTTAAACTGAATTGTAATTATTCTTTCCATAGAACACATACAACAACACATGAAATGCCCTACCTCTAAATGCTGATTCCTCATGAAGTCGATGGCCTTCTTGATTTTGTTGATCATACTCGGGCCCCGACGATTGTATGTTCCTGACTCTTGTTCCAATAAGTTCTATAATTAACACAATTAACAATACAAATACTTCATTAACTTTCATAGAGAACAAATTTCCACTCTAAATTGACCGACTTGAGCAGAGTTAATAAAGTGAAAGATTTTTTGGGGGTTAAAATTATTTTTTTTTAGATTATGACAATGCTATACTATTTAACTGTAAATCAAACATTTAAATAAGCTGAGTACAAAGATTGCCTATTTGGATCTTAACCAACCCCTAAATATCTGAATTCTTACATCATACATGTATGTTAAGTGCTTGGGGGTTCATACATACACTGTATATGTACACCCCTGAAACTCTGAGATCCTCTCACCTGTTGTGATACACTTGGGGTAGAGAATGCCTGTTTATAAATCCACTCTGATTCCTCCTCCACTTCTCCCTCCTCTGTTGGTTTGACGGGCACCTGTCGCAGCTGAAATCGCTCAGGCATGTCTGTCGCCCGAATCTCATTATCCTGGTCAGTGAAGAATCCTCGCTCGATTTCTGATGGTTCAAAAGCCTAAAGAAACCAAAACAGGGTCAATATTGCTTTGTATAATTTGGGGTTAATTTTCTTTATCACAACAATGGAGTCAATCACTTGAGTACTATTTGAAATGAAAAGTCATAAGGTTATTTTTGATAAGGGACATGACCACAGCTACTGTGAAATTCACCATTAAGTCTTGCTGGTTCCCTGACAACAAATCAACAGTTTATGTCTGCGTCTATTGGAAACCAGATCCTTACCATCATTAACACTGCCATACCTCGTATATGGTCTTTTTCTGGCTCTTTTTCTTGCTTCCTTTTTTGGGTCTCTGTCTCCCTTCTTCTTCCTCACCTTCTTCAATGTACTAAAAATAATAAACGGTTGCAGTTGTAAGTTCTGAGTAAGGGAAAATAACAAACCAAATAAAATAGAATTCCCTAAATAAAGTAAGATTCCAAAATATTGTACATAAAATTTTATCATACTACATTCACTGATGGATAGCAACAATCGTCTATAAACTTGACGATTTCTGGGAACAACTTACGTCATCGTCATCTTCAAATTCATCTTCCTCCCCATAACCAAACTCGTCAAAATCAAAGTCCACCCCAAAGATGTCCTGGGCCTCCTGTAACGCTCTGTAAAACAAACAATTTGTAAAATAATAAAAAATTAAAAAGTGCTTTCCTTTTAAATTAAGAAAATCCTTCACATGAATTCTTCTTTCAAAAGTTTGTAATCACAGCATTTGTTGTAACTTGGATGCATAAAATCAGTACCGTTTATACTCGCCTATATGTCATTTTTTTGGGAGATATTTACCTGATTAAATTTTGGCCCTCCCTTCTTCGAAGGGGGGCATAATTAAAAAGTGCTTTCCTTTTAAATTAAGAAAATCCTTCACAAACTCAAAATTATCCGACTTATAGGTGAGTCATTTAAAGATTGTTTTTTTTTCTGGATGACGAAAGGTAGCATTAAGGGTACTTACCACAAACAAAAAAATGGATGCACGGCTTGATATATATTTTTTGAAATGACATCAATTATAAATCCCTGAATTAAAAAGAATTCGTAGGTTTTCCTTGGTGCTTAGATATGAGATTTTGTTTTGCCTTCTATACAATTCCATACAAAATTTTGCACATTTTTTTAACCTAATGACAAAATCTTACATAATTCTCCCATTCTACTTGGTAAACATTATTAAGGTTACCAATTTAAATGTAAATCTATGAGAAATAATGCTGATTTCTGAAAAAAGTTTGTTTGTGTTATTTATCCTTAGGGACAGACGAGACGTTCCTTAGTAATAGATAACATTTTCTAAGAGTTTGTCATTGAAGTATTGCTACTAAAACATGTTTACACACAAAAAATTGAGGTACCTTACCAGACATATCTGCAAAGATACCAGGGGTAGTTTTTCTTATATAATCCTCTGAGGAAGAAAAAAATTTCCAATTTCAAATGTTGAAGTGTTTGGATTTTTTAAAAACGTTTAGAAACTGGTTTAGAAATCAGAATGGTATTAAAATTTTGAATATTTTTCATACATTACGAAAATATACAAAACAGATTTTGAGGAACGTCTCGTCTGACATTAAAAGATTATGCTTAAAGTACAAGTATCCATGAATTATAGCAGCTTTATTAATTATTCTGTAGGTATTACATGTACATATTTTTTAATGATTTAGAATTAAATATCGATGTCCTTTTTTAAAAATATTAATTGAAACCATTCGTTAAGTTTTCACTACACCTCGCTAAAACATCACAGGATTTATGTAAAATTGTCATCTTATTCTGGCAAAAGGTTGTACCGACTTATAAGTGGGTCAATGACAATTAACCGCAAAACTCACAACCAACTTATAGGAGGATCGACTTATAAGTGAGTATATACGGCATTTTCATACTGAGTATATCTGAAAGAAGCTTAGGGGGAAAAATGAGTTTGTGTGTTGTAGATGACAGACAACTTAAATTGTCATGGCAGGGGGAGGTGTTATTTGGTGGAAGGTGTTGGGTGAAATAATGTGGATGATTGGTGGATGATTGCACAACTTACGAGTCAGAATGAATTATGTGTTTCTTCTTCTTGAGTCTGTTTTTAATTGGTTCACCATTTTCATCAACAATAAAATTGTCCATGTCTGGAAAGAAAACAAAAAGCATAAAATAGCCTGTCAAAAATGTGAGAATGTAAATTTTAATCAGGTCTTAAAATTTTTGAGCCTATTATCTTTATAACATTCTAAATATCATATTGGAGACTTAACATGTAACATGTCTAAAGTATTACAATTGCATTTACAAATTCCAATTCCAATGTAAAGTATTTATATGTGTAATTTACATTGTTAGGTAATATATTTATACATGTAATTTACGCAATAACAGTTTTATACAATGTCATGTAATTTACGCAGTAACACATTTAACACTTTACGCTATAACTTATTTATACATGTATCATAATTTACAACATTACTTATTTTAAATAATGTGTAATATACACTATTCGTAACACATTAATATGTGTAATATACACTATACATAACACGTAAATATGTGTAATATACACTATACATAACACATAAATGTGTGTAATTTAAACTATATGAAAACACATAAATACGTGTAATTTATACATCAATATGTAACCATGTAGTAATATGTGTAATTTATACGTCTATATGTAACCATGTAGTAATATGTTTAATTTATATGTCAACATGTTACCATGTAGTAATGCGTGTAATTTACACTATACTTAACACATAAATACAATCAATATGGAACCATGTAGTAATATGTATAATTTACCGTCTTCATCCTCCTCTTCGTCCACGTCCAGGCTGTCAAACTCGTTAGTGACTCTCTCCCGCGGCGCCTCGGAATCATCGGCCTCTCCGTCAAACAGTTCATCAGCCAGAGCGTCTCTCTCACGTTCCTCGTTCATTTCCTCTTTATCGGAATCCTCCTCATCTGACACCATACGGATTCTCTTCAACTTTGGCTAAAAAAAGCAGAATTGTCAATTATTAGTTTCAGTTTTTTTTACTATACCACTTGACTTTGTACAATGGTAGCTCAACAACTGCAAAAATTTTGGCTCTATCCATATTCTATAGAGTTTATATTCTACATGGATTTGACATTCTGTATCAATTTAAAGCTGACAAGTACAGTTTCTTTCTCACTTCACTAACTTCTGTTTTATTACAAATATTTAAAGCTTGGATAAAAACTTTACATTTAAGCATCTGTTTCTTTCTTAGTAATAAAATGACTATTTCATTGTCAACACATTCACCTTCTTTCTCTTGACCCCCAGATTTTTCTCAATGAGGTTGTAATCTTCGTCCTCTAGCTGACACACTCACCTTTCTCTTGACCTTGACCCCCAGATTTTCCTCAATGAGGTCGTAGTCTTCGTCCTCTAGCTAACTCACTCACCTTTCTCTTGACCTTGACCCCCAGGTTTTCCTCGATGAGGTCATAATCTTCGTCCTCTAGCTGGTCGTCAGACTCGGAATCTTCGTGTTTACGTTTCCCGGACTCGCTCCCCGACTCATCGCCCTCCTCCTCTTCTTCTTCATCATCCTCGTCCTTAATGAAGCCCTCCATCTCCTTCCTTATCTGTTCCTCTGTGTACATAGAGAAAAGTAAAGTTAATATCATAACACAGTCATTGTAAATTTCTCTCATCTCTTGTGGTAGCTACACCCATGACTGTTATAAAAGTGTTTTCATCAGTGTAAGCCAAATTGTACCATACAGACAACTGACAGTAGACTGTATGTTAAACAAGAAATGCACAATCATTAACAGATTCAGCTAGCCTATAACAAAAATACTACCATCTTCTTCTTCTTCCTCCTCATCTTCTTCGCTGTCTGAGATGATCTGTCGACTTTTCTTTTTGGATTTTTTCTTTGACTTGGACTTCGCCCCAGAATCACTCCCGGAGCCCGAGGCTTCAGACCGGACTTCGTCCTCGGAGTTCACATCCGATTCCTCCGCCTGGTCCTCCATGAAATCCATGACTGAGGACTTCTGTCTAAAACATCAATCATAAATACTTAATTTTGGTTGTAACATGTTAATCAACTGGATAAAAAAATAGTCTCTGTCGTTTAACCTGTGTTGTCTACATCGCAATGATGGGGGTCAAAAACTGATCAACCCGCTTGATGCTACATTAAAATTTGCTCAATTTGAAGGCACTTTTGAAAAATATTTTTAATTAATTTCCATGCTTCATAATGGAAAATGAAATTATAATGAACAAATTTAATAGCTACCAAAGTTATACTGGTATATCCTGGGTTAGAGTAGTTTATCATTAAAGTGCTTTGGGATTTATAAAGCATAACCTGCTCCAACCTAGGTTATACAATACAACTTAAGAAGCTATTAAATCATTCCTAAGCCCCTGTTCACACAGAGCTGTGACTTTACAAAGATCATCCAATCAAGCCACAATCTGAAAAAGTTTTGGATCCAGGCGGATCGGAGCTGATTGGCATCTAAATCAAGAAATTTGGCAAATTATAGTCTTCATAACAACAGTACCATTATGCCTGTATGTCAAACGCTTTGCTATGACGCTTCTACTTCAATGTTACACAGACAGTTGCCAGCCTTGTTAAATGCGATTACGCTACGCTGCCACTACAAAATTCAAGATCATACTATGACGCTATGCAGGCGTAGATGACTGTATGACAACACTGCTATGGTAGTGCTGATCATATCATGATTGTCTTACAGTTCTGGTATGATTATGGGAAAAGTGTTAATATATCTTGCAACCACAGATTTTTCTGGTACGATTTAGGTGATGATGCAAATATGTCTTGCAGCCACAGATTTTTCACATCGTTTACGGGGCATTGTTAGATTGTAAATGTTACAAGATGTGATAAGTTCAAAGTTTCAACTGCAAATGATCATCACGTATAGTGTCACCCTTTACATGTAATTGACAGATGATGATTGGTCAAATACAAGCTCTATAAAAACAAACTGCTGCTTGATAATTTGTGAAATGATTGGCGTAAGGTCATTGTAGGATTGTCAGAAATGTAGCAAGAACGTAGTGGG